GATCTGTACTTCAACAACAACTAGAGGGCACCATGTTGCCTACCCCTGGACCAAATAGCCGTCTACAGCTACCCAGAGGTTGCCTTTGTCAGAGCAGAACATGTCCTTGCTGCTTCTCTCATTTGCACACTGCAACAACACGGAGGATTGAGAAGAAAGCAGAATTTAACATGGTTGCTTAGTAAAATTAACAGCTTTTGATTAGTTCCTTATCAAGCTCTAACATATGTGTTTGTGTAATGGCTCTGTGCATTCGTGTGCCTTAGTTGAGAACTTTCCAAATTTAACAGAGCAGGATTCCAAGTCACCTGAATGTTCTGCCTCATACACATCGTATGACAAACATAATATTCTAGGTCCTTTTAAAATCCCTGACCACAAACCAATATAGGCTGGAGCAATCTAACTGACACCTTGTTCCCAAATCTCCCCACCCCTCCCGCCTCTGTCTCTCTGCAAATATGTGCTTAGAAGGGAACAAGCTAACAGGTGCATAAATTCTTCTTATAAAGCATCCAATTCGCAGGATGTCGCATTGAATATTGGTGGCTCAAAATTTACACATACATGTTTTCCAGCCAGTTTTGATCTCTCTGATCTTGAAAGTCTGTTTTTCCAGTATGTCTGGGGTTTTATTATTATTACTGCTGAGGGATTCTTTATCTGCTCACTTCCATACGCTCAAGACAGCACAGGAAGTAAAACTCCTAAGATGTGACATTGTATAGCACAGCAGGACATGCAGGGAGAAGCCTTTTGTAAGTTTGTATTTGAAGGTACATCGTCTGGCCCATTTTCCTGTGCGGTTTTTGGAGTCACAGTAGTTGTGATTAAAGCAATATTCATCACAAGGGGTAACTGCAGGCAGAGAACTGATGGGTAGGGATGCAGGAGTATTTAGATTCGGTTTGCATTTAAAGATGAACCAACCTAAGCTGTGCTTTCTGAAACAATATGCAAACTGAAACACAGCTGTACATGAAAATTTGAACTTTTTTGAATTGTGCCATGCAGTCGTCCAGTCAAGTAATGCTTACAAAAATGCATGGTTCCCAGTCCCGCGTCCCGCCCCTGCTTTCACAGAATGGTGGTCCGTGAGCCACTGTTTGGGAACCCCTGTACTAAACTATATGTTGGGCACATAGAATATTACAGGGCAATTGGTTCTGTAATGGGCAAACCCCCTTTAGGATTCCTCTTGAGTCATTACTAGCCATGCCAAGCCACAACACACAGAACTATCATGACTTTGCCATTAGGCTACCTAGTGGCCTATCAGTGTTACAGTTCATCGACTGTTGATGGCTCTTGCCAGTGTAGTTGCTGTGCCAGATGAGTGGGTTAGGCTAATGATGAATTTAATTCTATTTTTAATACTTTCATTTTGGTAAAGGCTGGACCTTTTGAATTCTAAATCATTGTCCAGATCCAGTTCCCATGCTTTGGGCTAAAGGGAACCTTCACTGCAGAAGTTGTTCAACCTGTTTCTAGGTTAAAATCCAAATGTCATTAATGAGTCACTTTATGATTTATTTTGCAGGTGTCTATTCGTTAGTGGATGATGATCCGGAGACCTGCTGTATTCCCTATTTTATTTGCATATCATACAATATATCATATATCATGATTTCTTATATTTATTATCTTAAAAATATAATACAGCCCACCCCAAAATACCATCCAAGAAAATGCATATGTATCAACAAACCAGATGGTATAAAGAGAGGGACTCTAACAAAAATAGCTCAACTGTCAAAGGCTAAGAAGATGTGAATTTTCAATGTCTGAGAGACTGTGCCTGATGCTCCTCTGTAAGGGAGGAGTTCCATAGTTTTGGGGACCCATTAAGGGGGCTTGCATTTCGGAGGAAGATGGCACCACAAGACTTTCTGCAGGTTGCAACATCCTACAGGTAGCAATCATTATTCATTATGCACATAAGATATGCTTGGCTTTTCATTCTCAATTATCCATGAAAGAATCATTGGCTACAAACAATTACAGGCAGAACATTGCTATGAGGTTTTAAATAAGAGCCCAATGCCATAGCAATTATCTATTGCTATGGAAGAAATACGGGTGTGAAATTTACTGACCGATGCTGCATTCCGTTCTTTAATTTACAAGAAGGCTAATAATCCTTTAAAATCCCACTCCTAGCAAAAATCCTAAATCTGCCAGTCATTTTAATCCTTTTCACAAGGAGCAAGAATTTCCATCGTGAGATAACTGGCCCTTCGCTGAAAATATGGTTGTCACCTTAATACTTATCTGTTAATTGCAACAAGGAAATCAACTCCTGCAGCTTCTCTCCACTGATAGCCAGATTCCTCTAAACCCCTCTCCACTTTCTGTCCTGACTACGAGAGCAGAACAAGGGGGAGCTGCAACAAAACATTGCAGTGTCAAGTGCTGCAGTTCAGGATTCCAGCAACTTCATTCCGTTCTGAAATTGAGAGCTCTCTGCTTCCCTCTCAGTTTCACCCTCACCCTGCTCTCTACTTAAGTGCCTCATCCTTTTCAGCATTTCAAGCCAGCCTCTTCCCACCTGTGCCTTCAGCAAGAGAGGCCCCTCTCTAATCTATTGCAGACTCCCTTGCCACAACTATAGTCTAGTCTTGCAGCAGTGTTTATGGAAGTTTATGGATGCATGCCAGTGGCTGCATTAAGGAAATGTTTCATCAGGGATGCGATGCAAAATTATCAGGATTTTCTTTACAATCATTAGGACCCTTCAGACATCCCTTTTTGTGTGTGTGTGTGGGCATTCACAATTATTTGTGCTTACAGTGGTATCGAGACAGTTGTACATGATCCTGCTTTCGATACTGTTCGTTACTGCAACAGTTTGGGGGCTCTGTTTTGTTTCCAATCAGTGCACTTCCTTTAACTTCCTTGTGGAATCCTGCACATTTTTGGACCACAAATGTTCTGGTTCATTTTTTGTCCTGCTTTTGTTGCACCACTGATGGATTTACCAGTGCATCAATGACATGTTGCAGTATATCTCCCTGCCCCCCCCCCCCAGAAACCCACCAGTCTAGAGGGGCCCTAAGACTATCCTAAATAATTTGAAAATAAACTCAGGTACTTAACTAGTACAACAACCACACACACACACATATATAATATACACCTTTTTGCAAAACAATTTCCCTCAATACAATGTATTTTGTTACATTATTCTCACTAACATACGCATTTGTATGCTCACTTTACCCTATTGTTTGCATTGTTGTACACATTACGTAAAGGTAAAGGTAAAGGGACCCCTGATCATTAGGTCCAGTCGTGGCCGACTCTGGGGTTGCAGCGCTCATCTCACTTTATTGGCCGAGGGAGCCGGCATACAGCTTCCGGGTCATGTGGCCAGCATGACTAAGCTGCTTCTGGTGAACCAGAGCAGCGCACGGAAACGCCGTTTACCTTCCCGCCGTTTACCTTCCCTAGTTATCTACTTGCACTTTGATGTGCTTTCGAACTGCTAGGTTGGCAGCAGCAGGGACCAAGCAATAGGAGCTCACTCCGTTGCGGGGATTCGAACCACCAACCTTCTGATCGGCAAGTCCTAGGCTCTGTGGTTTAACCCACAGCGCCACATTGCAAAATTCAGAGAACCATGAATTTCGAAGGATGGCTGTATGTATTCTAAATATATATGTATTTATATATAATATAAGCATATGTAAATTTTGCAAGCTGCACCATAGTTTGTCCTCTTTGTGGTGATGTATTTCTTCTCTTCTTGGCAGTGCATAAGTGGCCACCCTAGGCAAACCACAGGTTTGGATGAGGTCCTTAAGACCCACTGCCCTGCATTGCAATCTAGAACACAATTAGGGCAGTCACCAAATTAAAAAGCAGTAAGAACAATTCAATAAATTATTTGTTGATTTAGCTTGAGAGCATCCTAAGCTTACTCAATTGTCCTAATATCCATAGATTTGTATGGGGCAAAAGCAACACTCTGAAAGCAAGAAACATACTTCCTTTGCTTCTGATGCAGGTGTGGTAGCACACCATCCACAAAGGTGGGGTATTTGTCACCCATCATAGGTTACGGACTCCAACTCCCACCAGCCAGCATAGCCAATGATCAGGGATGGTGGGAGTTGTAGTGTAGCAACTTCTGGAGAGTAATACCTGGTCCCGCATACCTGCTTTTGGAGGAGATATTCCCTCCATTCCATCTGATCACTGAGGACGTTGGTGTTGAACTAAGAACAAGCGTTAGATGCTTTTCCCCCTCTCCCACCTCTTTCTGTTTTCATGCAATGTCTTTCAGAATGCTAGCCTGATAGCAGGGCCTGTTTGACTAAACCCTAGTAAGCTGATTTGGGAGCTTTTGCCGGAGCTGAAGGGGAGGTGGGCTGAAAAGGCCCTAAATCAGGGGGGAGCTGGCCAGAGTGATGCCCCTCAGATACTGCAGACTCCCATCACCCCTCGGACCACATGGCAGCCGGGACTCATAGACATGGGGAATCTGAAACATCTGGTGGGCACCACCTTGGCCATGCCTGTTTTAAATTACATATACCGTATACATTATGGAAAGGGAGGAATGTCTCATTTAAGATGGTGCTTGCTTACTACAGGGTTGTTTTTTTTAAAAAAATATAATATGCTGCATATGCATTAAATTAATCTGTGGCTGATGATCAGCGGCACCCTTTCAATGCAAAGTTTCAAAATCGAGGAGTCTGAAACGCTGCATTCCCCCCAAGGCGCCGTATGCGCTCCTACACGTATCAACGCAAGTCTCTCTCTCCTCCACCCGCAGCAACTTTTCCTGGGATTTGGCCGCAGCGAGCAAATCCTCGGAGCCCCTCCTCCAAGCTATCCATCGATTAACTTGCACCTCGGAAGGAGCCGGGGCCAAGCTTTCTCCCGCCCCCGAGAAGCCGGGTGTGTGTGTGTGTGTGTGTGTGTGTGTGTGTGTGTGTGTGTGTGTGTGGTTCCCCCCCCGCTCTGCCTCTCCCCGCCCCCGCCTTGTGACACGCACATTGTGCGAGTGTGTGGAGAGGGCTCTTCCCTCGCCAGCCTCTCTCTCTCTGCTGTTGCTGCTGCTGCTGCAGTAGTCATGGCTGCGGACGGGGTGGACGAGCGATCGCCTCTGCTGTCAGCCCCCAGCTCGGGCAACGTGACGCCGACGGCCCCGCCGTATTTCCCGGACAGCAGCCCAAGAGGTAAAAAACGGCGAGGGGGGGGCAGCGTCGCCCCACCTGGCTGCCCGCACCCCAATCTCCAGGTTCCCTTTTCTACCCCAGAGGGGGAGTTTTATTATTATTATTATTAATTAATTAATACGTATCATTATTTGCATGCACGTTCGCGTCCCCCCTCAAACTCCCTCTCGCCCCGGTGCCAACTTGTGCGGGTGCAGATCTGGTTCGCGGCTGGGGGGGGGGGTTTCGGGAGCCGCCTCTGGGGTTTCGTACCATTGCAGGGGTCCCCCCCCGTTTCTTTCCCTGCATATTCAAGGAAAGACGGGGGTTTTCTTGGGGTGGTGGAGGAATGAGTTTGCAATGTGTGTAGCTGCGTGTCTTTTCTCTTGTGTGTCCCTCCCCTCCATCAGCCATGAGTATACATGGTTAATGGCAAGGAAAGAATCGATCACGCAGGCTTCCGCACTCTTCGCGAGTTGAGTGGGGGGCCTTTCCCCCCTCTCTCTTTTGCTTATAAGGTGTGCGGGGGAAGGAGCAGGGGGGGCAGGGCAGGCATCGGCGGCCCACATGGTTCTTGTGTCCTTGAGAGAAGGTTTTCCAAGAGCCTTTCATTCAGTCCGTATTGCTCCCCGCCTCTTCAGTTCTGCTGATTCAGGGGGCTCTTCCCTAAAGGACAAGGTCAGGCACACCAGAGACGACTTTTGAAGCTTGGGGGGCCTCGATCTTTGATATAACATGTAAATATTCTCTCTCCAGCCTGTTCCCCACCCTCCGCCTTTCTTGATTAAATAAAAACACACGCCCATCTCGGAGTTAGTAGGGAAAGGGCTGGCTTACAATGTGAGAGATGAGAGGAGATAACGCAGCTCAATACAATTTATCAAAGATTATGCAAGTGCCAAAAAGGCTCCACAAGGCTGGGATGTGCCCCTGTGGCTGGGATGCAGGCTGTGTGTGGTTTCTCATAGAGATTTAGCAAGCTGAATCTGACACTTGTGCCCTTTGACCTGGAAGCACATGCTCCCCTTCTGTAGGTACATGGGGCTTGCCTGATTCTCATTTGCACTCTTCATATGCCCACGAGACTCATTTTGATCACCACTCTGCATGTTTCGGTGTGGAGATCAGCTATTGAAAATAGGTTCTGATGTGCAAGGATTTCCCTTTCCTTCTCTCTTTATCTCACCCTTGCCCTTCCACTTTTTATGATGGTGTGTGTTGGTGATTGCAATGTGGTCGAATAGATGGTTTAAATCACAGCTGACATTTATTTGCATAACTTGATGGCTAGCTGTATCCTTAAGAGAGGTGAATAGGGAGTAGGATTTGTTTAGGCCTCACCAGATGATATGTCAACAGCAAGGGTTAAGGACCTAGTAGATCCAGGCCTCTGGTTCTGCCTTTTATTTACTGCCATGTCAGGGATGGGGAATCTAAGGCCCTCCAGACATTGTTAGACCATAGCTCCCATCATCCCTTACCACTCTCCAAGCTGACTAGGGCAGATGGGAATTGTAGTCCAACAGCAACTGGATGTCCAAAGAGTCCTCGGCCCTAATATGTGTCTCTTACGCTCTGTAACAACCCCTATAGTTCTGTTGTTTGGTAGGCTCTTGTTTGAATGGTGCTTTGTGATTATTATTATTTAGTTGTAAGGCAGACTTGGAGCAGAATGAGTATAATGTTTGAAAATACATGCGACTGCTTAATGAGATTAAGGGGTTAAGCCAAAATACACAGTTAAATTCAGGTACTGTAGCAGCAGGGTGGATTGATTTGCAATCAAACTTCAGTCATAAATCATCAAGAAAAACTGCCACTTTCAAGTTGTTGATTTTAAATTAAGGCTCCCATCTGCACCATGCATTTAAATCATTTGGCTTCCCCCAAAGAATCCTGGGAACTGTTAAGGGTGCTGGAAGTTTTTTTGGACATCCTTATTCTTCTCTCATTTTCCAGAGTTCCCTGGGAAGGGGGAAAGATTGTTAGCCCACTCTGGCCATTGTAGCTGTGTGAAGGGAACAGGGGTCTCCTAACAATTTTCAGCACCCTTAACAAACTACAGTTCCCAGGATTTTAGAAGGGAAGTTGTGCTTTAAATGGGCATTGGATGTGTTTTGATTATATGTGGATCTGCCCTGAATGGGCTAATCTAACCAATTGCAACATTTTAATTTACTACAGAGACTGTATCCAAAACATGCTTCTTAGGCCTCAAAACACTCTAGTAACTAGCAAGTAATCCTATTGAACACAGTGGGGCTTGTCTCTGAGGAAATGCGCAAAGGTTTGTGCTGTACTGCCCCATCTAGGATTATGGTTTTCCTATTTTGGTGGAGAAACAGCTGTAACATGTTGTGATACCCATCAGAATCCCAAATCCCTTTCTCTTCTCCGTCAGTAAAAAAAGAAAAGAAAAAACTGCAAACTAGTTGAGACTCGACCAGGCCACATGTTACTCATGGATAATTCAGCTCCTAGAGGCAGGAAGGTGAGGGCAAGTGAGGAAAGGGAAGGCCCTTAATCAGAAGCTTGCAAAACTTCTCAGAATCCCTAGAAGAAGGTTGTAAAACCCTGGGTGCAAAATACAGATCTAAGAGAATGTACTTCTTTTTTGTATTGCTCCTTCCTTTTCTTATTTAATTTCCACTCTGCCTCCCTGATCTCATTCACATCACATCAACACAAAGCAACCAACAATCCAAAACTTTTGCTCATTGCAGCTCATGTGGTTTTGCTCATGTGTTCCTATCTACTTAGAGGCAGATGAAGCCCCACATTTCTAACAGAAGCAAGGACTGGTAGTTATTGGTCAGAGCATTTTATTGTCAGGAGATAAAATAAGAACATCCTTTGTTGTATGGATATAGAGAATATATTTATATCATTTGAAAATGGAGCACACAGAAGAGTTTGTGTAGGTAAAGAACAGGGAAATATGGCAGATTATGTAGGTGAGCACTGTGGATGTTCTTTCTAGTGATACATTGGAACGGGACATAGCTCAGTGGTAGAGCATATGTGCATATTGAAGGTCTCTGTTTCAACCCCTGACATTTCCAGTTAGGGCCTGGAGAAGTGAACCCCTCGAGAGCCACTGCCAATCAGTGTGGACCAGTAGTTTCCAGTTATCTAAGTGCAGGTGCCGGGAAACACCCAAATAAACTATAACCTGAAATGGCGGGAGAGAGCTGGAAAGTCCTCAAGGCTCAAAAGGAGACCCTCTCCAAAGCCCAAAGAGGACGCCAGTGAGTCAAAAGTCCAGAAAAGAAGACTCCCAAGGACTCCAAAATTACATGCGGGAGCTCTCGTTGTTACCCAGATTTATTGAATTCAGTGGGGCTAACTCCTGGGTAAGTGGAGTTAGGATTGCAGTCTACGTTGGCAGCTATCACCACAGCTTGTGATAGCAAAATTCCATATTTTTCACCATGAGCTATGTGAAAATGCAGTTCCTCCACTTCATTGGATGACCTCAGGTTCTAATATTATGAAAGGGGGAGAGAAGAAAACATCTATCTATTATGCTGCCTTATTAAACTAGCCAGTTTGTTTCAAACCAGGTTTGTGATAACCATGCAACGCTAAGGTGGGATTCATTAAAAGGGAAAACCAGACTTGGCTGAAGCCCACTTCCCAGCCACAAGGGCAGAGGAGAGGGAAGTCAGGCATAATTTTTTAATGTTTCTATAATATTCCCTCATAGGAGAGATTATTCAGCCCCCTGATCATTTTGCTCGGCCTTTTTTTAATCAAGCCCATAATAAGGAAATAGGACATGGCCTCTTGATATAGCATATGACCTCCTAGTGCCTCGTTTAAAATGCTTGACCTCAAATATATATTTTTCCATGAATATTTATTTTCACAGAAAAGCGCCTTTGTGTTTGATTGAAGGCTGAGATTCAGTTAAGAGATGATGACTATTGAATCATGTATTAGCGCCACAAGAGCAAGCCTGCATGAGCCTGGGCTCACCCAATTCCCTCTCCTCTGTCCTTGTGGCTGGGAAGTGGGCTTCAGCCAAGTCTGGTTTCCCTTTTAATGAATCCCAGCTTAGCATTGCATGGTAGTCACAAACCTGGTTTGAAACAAACTGGCTAGTTTAACAAGGCGGCATCACAAGCCATAGTTTGACGTGGGCTTGTTATGAAACATGGCAGAGTTTGTTTTAAACCAGTATCCCTGGTTCAAGCATAACCCTAAACTAGGATTTTAGCAAAAGTGAAAGTAACTCTTCTGAAATCCACCTTGTGTCTGCATGGAAGGAGGGAGCATACAAGTTCGATGCTTTGCTCAGGCTTGGCAATATAATGTTGTGTATACAGTATTCACCAGCAGTATTGATAAGAGAAAACAGTATTCAGATTTCATGTAATTTAGGCTGCAGTCCTAACGCCATTTACCTAGGAATAAGCCCCAATGAAGTAAACCTACTTCTGAGTAGACGTGGTTAGGACTGCATTTTTCCCCTAATGAGAGATGTAGAATATACAGTGGTGCCTCGCAAGACGAAATTAATTCGTTCCACGAGTTTTTTCGTCTAGCGAATTTTTCGTCTTGCGAAGCACAAAATCCCATAGGAATGCATTGAAATTCAATTAATGCGTTCCTATGGTCAAAAAAAGTCCAAACAAAGCCAAATTTGGTACAACAAGAGTTTATTAAGTGCTCTTTAAAGTCACACATACTGTAAAGAGCATTTCAAAAATTGAAGGAACAGTAAATTCAAAAATTGAAGGAACAATAAAAATCAGAAAAATTCAGAAAAAAACCACACAAGCTCCCAGATTCTTGCAAACCCCTCCTCAACTGTTCCCCCAGCCACCCACCACACAGAAATTCAAACCCAGAATTTTTTTTAAAAAAAACAGCAGAGTGGCCCAATGGTCACAAAAAATCATAAAAATGCAGAAAAAAACCACACAAGCTTCCAGATTCTTGCAAACCCCTCCCCAACACCAAGTCCTTGAATTCCAAACACCCCAACCCAAAATCCAAAACCCCCCAAAAAGTTTTAAAGTTTAACTTACCAAATGGCTGCAAAAGAAGTTTTGGAAAAGCTTCAAAAATTGCCAAAGTCTTCAAAAACCTCAAAAAAAGGCTACCACACTGCGTGCTATGAGTTGCTCCTCGAAGTCAAGTCGCAACTGCACCTCTTCAAGCAATGCACCTTGGGTTTTAAGGGTTTTACGAAAAAGGAAACAAACTTGCAAGACGTTTTCGTCTTGCGAAGCAAGCCCATAGGGAAATTCGTCTTGCGAAGCAGCTCAAAAACCGCAAAACCCTTTCGTCTAGCGAGTTTTTCGTCTTGCGAGGCATTCGTCTTGCGGGGCACCACTGTATAAAGTTTTTTAAAAAACAAATAAATAAATATGGTTTAAGTCACCTAAAACATGCATTTAAAATGATGACCTTCAAAATATTTTTAGGAACCCTAAAGTACAAAGAAAATCCTGTGGCACATAATAGCACTCCAACTAAATGAGGCTGTAAACCTGCAGAATGTGATCTGGCAGCAACACAAAAGTGAACCTTCCCTATAGCGGTGCCAACTTCTGGAATGCTCTCCTTTCTGTGATTTGGGAGTGCACCCAAATTTCATTAAAAACTCATTTGTTTGTTCAGACATTCTCTGACTAGTACATTGATTCTGCTACACTATACCATTAATGATACCCATAACACTTTTTTTTTATAAAAAAAAAGTGAGATGGTTTTAATGCAGTTTTGTTTCTATCTCTGTAAACTGCTTTGAGATTTAATTGTAATGGCAAGCTGTATAAAAAAAACCCTATCTAAAGAAATAACCCTCACAATCTTCAACAGATAGGAAAGATGAAAGCCACACTTAGTTCACTATTTGGCTGCATATTTGACAAGTAAGTACTTGTGGTGTGGTCAAGCCAAAGTGAAGTACTTGAAAAACTACATGTGCTGAAATCTGGGCAGCTTGAAAAGTGCTAAATGTTAGCTGGATAATGCCCTTAGTGATTTCAGACAACAAGACAAGAAAAAAACACATAAGCTTCCTTCTTACTAGGAAGCACATGAATACATTTTTAATACTTAGCATTTAAATAAATATAGGACAGTAGCATTCAGTGTTAACAGGACATTCCAGAGACAAGAAGTGTGTGTTGGTAAACACTGGACACTAACATACTTCTTGTGGGAAATCACTGTCAAACATTACTATGCATGAGTGCTAGTTAGTGCATGAAAGGGTTAAGACCAGAGAGGTCTGTTCCTAGACTCAGCTAGGTCACATCCCCTTACCTCTGTGAGGGAGGAAGTGAAGCTGCTTCTCTTCCTTTCTGTCACTCTCTTCCAGCCATGTAATCGATCAGGGCGGATGTGTCTGAACCAGCTCCAGATTTCAGACCAAATGTCTGAAACTATATTCAGTATTTTGTATTCCTTGTTTCTTCATGGAATAACACATGAACCAGACATTTGGATTTAGTAAGTAAAGCTTTTTAACTTACTCAACAGTGTGTGCGTTCTGATCATTGCTAGATAGGTAAAGAGAGGGGACAAGAATTGTAAGCAAACTAAAAGGGATATGTGAAAGGGTTCAACAACCTATATCCCAAGCTATGCTGCTGGTTAAGAGAGTGTTTCTAACACTGCTGAGGGATCTCTCACACTCTCAGAGTGTACAAAGTCCCATGTTTTGAATCTAGGCACCCAGCTGATACTTTTGTTAATTACTCACATGTGGGTGAGATCTTTTTCCACTTCCACATTTCTGACGTATAATTACAAAGCAGCTCTTTGCTTTGGCATGAACATGAACACTAGATTCTACAGTCCTGTATCTCTTCATCTTCTAATAGTTGTTCTTTTAGGAAATGAGTTTAATGTACGTTTTTATGTTGTGAACCTATTTCAGATTTTCTTCACACTAAGCAGTATAACAGATATTTTAAATAATAAAAGTTATTGCCAACTTTAGAAATGGATTCCCAAATTAATGAACTTAAATGTGTGAATAAAGGATAAGAAATGATAAACAATGAAACTGGTCAGAGCATATGCAAAAAGCCTTCCTCATTAATATCAATGACAGGGGTGGAGTTTTGCACGGATAATGAAGTGAACATGTGGCGCTGCCATTGATAATAAAGTGAGGAAGTCTGAGCACATGGTGTGGAGGTTCCTTCTGTGCAACGAGACGATAAATCTTTGGATGTGAGAAGTGATGAGGAACGTGTGACATCTCAGATGTTGGACATCCACAAGGATCTGTGCTTGAATCAAAGTATTTGTGGTGCTGACAAGAACTATGTGGTTTTTACTGGACAGCCTACCAGTGTAATACTTTGTCTGATGGTGCATATTTTGGCTTCCCATGTAAAATCATGCCAATTCAAGAAGATCCATTTTAAGACTACTGGATCTGACTTCTACCCAGAGATCATGGATAAGTTACAAGTGTGTGTGTGTGCATGTGTGTGTGCTTTCTGACCATCAAGAAAGGGGAGTGTGATTCAGGAGATGGGGGAAAGACACAACCAGAGAGGGTGGTGCCCAAAGCACAATCTCAAATTCCAAATGTGTTCACTTCACCGGCCTAAAAAGTGGCAAACCCATCTGGCCTTACTGCTTTTGGCACTCATACAAAGCCACCACTTAAAATCAAGTGGGGGACTGCTTGCCCCCTGCCCATGTCCTGTGTTGTTCTGAGGGTCCCCCAACCCTCTGGAGTGGATTTCTGTGGTGCACAGGAGGACACAGTGGGACAGGAGGTAAGAAGTGTCCATTGCATGAGTGAAAATCTGCTCAGGGAAGTTAAGATCCAAGTCAGTAGCTAGTCCAAAGAGCTTTATAACTTGACAACATATTTGAACCCGTCCCCGCTACCTGCCCAGAGCTCCATCCATTACAACATCATATAGAATGGGGTTAGCTTCCGGTTTCCCTAGCTGAAGACTAGGTGTAGGATGCTAGGAGTGTTCTGTATTTAATAAATTCATGTAATTCGTGCACGAGGTACTGAAGTTTGTCTTGATTTATGTACAATTTTAAAAGCAAGCCCAAGTGACTAGCTGAAAGACTTCTTGCTAAATAGGGCTCTGCAGCCTTGCTCAGTTAATACAAAGCAATTGTGCCACATGGTTAACTGTACACAAAAGAGACACTTCAAAACAAATTATACTGAAGACAGAATCTGTGGGATCAGTTGAGTGTTCTCATTTTTCAAAAACGAAAAGCTTGCATATGCTTTCTTCGCCTAGATGTCAACACTTGTGTCAAGGCTGTGGTTTCTCTGTAGCCATTTCGAATTCTCCTGAGCAGTGAATGTATCTAGTGGCCTTGATTGCAGAAGCCTTGTCTCTGTGTGTTCTGATAATAAGATTGCTAATTATTTTAATGGAAGCCTGTCAGAGCTGGCATACAGATGCTAACCTGCTTCATTCCAGTATCTCCTTTTCAAAATGCCGCTGTTAGTGTAATGAGTTCTGCCTTGTCAGAAGAATGAGATTGTCCACATGCATTTTCTTTAAGCAGAGATCCTGCTGATAGTGATGTGTCTTCCTGCAGCTGAGCATACCTGTGTACCTGTGGAGAATAGGTGGTGATAATGGAGAACTAGTGATAACTATCTATGGCCACCGGATAGTAACAGGTAGACCATGCTATGCTTTACACTAATTTAATATTTTAATTGTTGGCATTTACATCTGCCACATTCCCCCCCTTTCATCAAAATGGGAATCTATAGTATCCCACTCATGTATCATGTGATTCCACCTAATCAAGGACCATTCCTCTTGTTATTGCTGATTAAATTGCCACTCTGGTGTGGTTCCGGCCTGGGTAGAATTTTGGAATACTATTCTTGAAAACACTGGGTTCTTCTGAACATAAATCAAAGAAGAATATAGGTGTTTTGTATCTTCCATCCTTGGCTTCATATTTGACCAAGGATGAAAATGTGCATCCATTATTTAATTGGATCTAAGATAAAAAGAAGCAGAGTTTTGGTTTTACTTCTTGCTTGACCTAATTATCTCCTACCTCCCCTGATTGACGTCGATAAGCAGCTATAAATCTCTCAATGTTAGTGCCAATGGTATGAATCAAACTTTATTACTTCAAGGATGCTGGAAAGGCTTGTAGCTTGTAAAACTAACAAGACTTACTGGAAATAACCAGAAAGCAGGAACAAAAGAAAGAGTTTTATGCACATTTCATCCCTGCCAGTATATTCTCTACTGAATAATACATCGACCCATCTTTATGTCTCAGGTTACTGGTAAATCTTGATTTATGTTCCAGGAAGTGTATGAAACAGTGGCAGGATCCTTTACTAACCTAGCTTCTACTTCTGTTTACTTGTTTGTCCTAATAAACTCCTGAAGTGCTACTAACTTGGTGTTGGAGATCCTCTATATGCATGTTTTACAAGGTTCTTGTAAGCTTGTGCTCACCTTTTGCCCAGTTCACAATGCACCTTGCTTGACTAAGCTAAATGCCACTGTTGCCTCCACTACTTCTGAAGGAAACCAGGTTTCCATGTATCGTAACATGTACAGTAGGACCAGATGGAGAGTGACCTGGTTCACATGTTATACTTACCATGACCACATGGATGTGCTGGCTCCTGGAGAGGAACTTGCACCTGTCTACTTTGGCCTCTCTGGGCGTTTTAGCTCTGCTCAGTGAGGCAGCTATGCCATGTCCGGCTTAGCATGTTTTCTGAAATGCGGATCATGGTGATGCTCTCTTCTTAATCATGATCTGAAGCCAAGGTCTGTCCTATGGTTATAGGTCATGGTTAAGTAGGAGAGATCTTAAGCATGATCACAGGCAGGTGGGGAAAGATGGCAGGGCAAAGAGGGCGAGGCATTGTCTGTTTGCCTCCACTCACCTGTATTTCCCAGTTTGATGGGCCTGCAACAGCCTCTCCCCTTGAGCCAGAAAGCAAAAAGACTCCTTCCTCCCTGTCAGCCTGGATAGCTCAGTTGGTTAGAGTATGGTGCTGATAATGCCAAGGTTGGAAGTTCAACCCCTGTATGGGGCAGCTGCATATTCCTGCATGGTAGGGGGTTGGACTAGATGATCCACAGGTTCCCTTCCAGCTCCGTGATTTCATGATTCTATGACTTGGCTGTGCAGAAATGTCTTTGAGAAGGGCTGCCACTGTTGCCCCTTGGCTCAAGTTAGGAATTGCCTGGTGGAAACTTTTTGGACTATATTTGGATTCTTCCAAGACATCAAGCGCTGGAGAAGTTTTGAACATATTTTGATGAATGTAGCTCTTCCCCCTATTTTACACAATCTGCAATATGCCATAAATTGCTCAGGTGGATTTCTTTAGGCTTTAATACTATCAGAGGTCAACATACTTTTCTGATAACTTTTATTGCCCTATTCTGTAGAAATGGGCACCTGGGAATCCAAGCTAAGGTGAAGAATACTTTCTTCAGCCTTCTCCAGCTGGCACATCTTTGGGTCTCTCTATGCCAATTTTGGTGACTTGCAAAAACAGTTGTTGGTAAACACAGTCGCTGAGTGTAGGCGGATACTTTTGATGTCTCACATAAGAGACACTTTTCTGTGCATGCAGAATTTAGATTTCTGAGAAATGTAGTGTCCTCTTGATGAAGAAAGGGCTGTAGCTTAGTGGTAGAATTCGGTCCCAGATTAAATCTCTGACCTATCCAATTACATTTTTAAAAGCATCTTAGTAGAGACGGGAAAGATCTCTGCCCAAGTCCCTGGAAAGCTGCTTTGAATCAGAGCAGAGACAATACTTAGCCTGCTGTTCCAATGGCTTTGCGAATATAGTCCCTATCCCTTATGAAAAATATCCACATGCAGGAAAGACTCAAGTGCCGAAACCAGAACAGAGCATGAACATGAAGAAATGTAGACAGTCAGCTGTGGTGCATGTACCTGATGAAGTAAACTTTAGTTCACAAAAGCTTATGCCATGTCAACATGTTAGTCTTTAAGGTGCCACAAAACTTTGTTGTGCTTGAGACTATCTGTGACACATTGGTAGGAGGGCACAGAGGTTAAGTTTCCCTGCCTTTATCTGTTGGTACAATTAGCTCCAGTCTGTACAGGGAGAACTTGTAGGAATCAAATCCCCACCCCAAGAGTATGGCTAGAGTGCATCTTTCTAGTGATGTATGAAAATAACTTGAGTTTTCTGTTCTCAGGGTTGGATGCTACCAGTTAAGTTATAGTTTGATTCATGTGGATATCATGTCAGTTGCTGGAGAAGCAGTTATAACATCCCATGATACCTTCAGCAGAAGCTGCCAAAGACTCATCAAAGCTGTTCATTGTGAGAACATCTCCTTTCCGAAAGCCCTTGTGTTGTGCTTATTGATGCTGTTCCTCATTTTAGACCTTAATCTGTGGTAAATATGTAGTCTGTATAATTATTAAGCATTGGCAATGTACCTGAACCTATACAGAACTTTAAATTGACATAGAGGGCTTATAGTTGACCTGTGCATCTTCCTGAAGGGTTGGTCTGATAGCTCTGGGTGTATGACTGACCTTTCCTAGCAAGGTGCTGTATTATAATCAATTGCTCCTCTTTCTGTTCCTTGTGATTTACACCTTAGACAAATCTTCACAAATGCATTTGAAGCTGGCAAGCAAATTCTCCAGAATATAAAGGACCTGTTTTTGTAAAGGAGGTTAGAACAAAGGTTTTGTAGGAGAAGTGAAAAGTCAGTTATGTTTGGGGAAAACATTGCATAGGGCAGAGGGATGAAGGGCTTTAAACTGCGTACAGTAAGAAGGAAGGGCTGTTTGGGAAACAGTGAAGTTTGTAAGGAGGGTTAGCAAGAAAAGCTTGGAAGACTATTTTTGGTATAAGAACAATCAAATATATGTCTGGAAAGCAGGCACTGGAGTGAATGAGAGGCACAGTTGGCAGAGCCCTAGGGAGGAAGGAGACGTCAAGGGTCTTGGACAGAACCGCACACAAAGCCTAGTAACAGGAACATTTTGTACTGTGGGCAGTTTACCCCCCGCTCAATCTCATTTCACTTTTAAGTTGTATACCGCCTTTCTCTATTACTATTAACAAGCCGGTTTACAACGACAAAATATACAACGAAGATCATCCACCTTACAATAATCTGATCCAATACAATAAGGTCATAATAAAAACATAACCTTAACATAAACTCCGCTGGGAGGACTCAGCAGGCTTTGCTCTTGTGTCCATGATTATCTGCGGGGTCTGGATGGACTTTGCAGGTCAGGTTGGAGCTCCAGGAACACACAATTCACTTGTAGCCCTACAGAAAGGAAAAACTCTGGTGTATTGAAACCCTTGCATGCCCTCTGATTTTCCCCATGCTCAGTTGTAAACTTATATTTTACTCATTGTTCTTCTATTTTTTAAAATTTATTTGTTGATATCGTGATACATATGTGAAATATTTACATAGTATTGTTCTATATATTTGGTGGGGTGGTGGTGATGATGGCAAGCATTATAAAATCTAGGCTTCTTTTTCTAATTTCCTATCAGAGTCTACAATGCTATGTTGCATCACAGGTTTGTTTGTTTTTATTAACCATTTTTGATATTAAGAACGGAATTAATGTTTGCCTCCTGTACCTAGCCCTTCAGTAGTCCAACTGCCTCCCTGCTTGTAACTGTTTACAGTATTGCAGAAATGCTTGCAGTGTTACTGGAGCTGTTCTGTCACATCATATTGCTTTCCGGCTTAGTGATGGGATGTCCTTGCAGCTCCTATATTCTCATGCCCTAGTTTTGTAACCACATGTGGTATGCAACTTGGTGGAGAAAAAGAAGCTGCTTCAGCCATTCAAGTAAATGGAGGGGAAAGGGTGGTTTAAGGTACTGTAATAATATACCTTTGTGATACAAGGAGTTGGAAATGCAGTGAGAAATGCTCAGGAGTTTATTCCTGATAGCATATTCAAATGATCAGAAAAAGGACATAGTTCACTCTTCTTGGGACAGTATGAGTTCAGAATGGAAGATCATACACTAGCTTTTTTTGTTACCTGTGATTATTTTTGTGGAAGAAAAGCCATATTTATTTTACCAAAAAAATCTTTGTTTTGTTCTCAATTGGGGTACAAGCCAGGAGGGAAAAAACACACGTTTGCATTTCTTCTTCTTAGATTTAGCTCAGGGGAGAGCAAGGGAGCACTTTGGTACCATGACATGCCTTCAACAAGGCTATTTGATTTCCGAACTGCCATTTAATTTGAGAGCTGGGAGGAAGAGTTGAAATTTAAATAGGAGATGAATTAATCATCTGTGAGATGTTACTCATTCTGCCTTAAGAGTAATTTGGCTTAGTCTGCTCGCTTTCGCCTTGCACTTCCTTTTGCCGAGATTGATAGGGAACTGAGAGGACTACTTTAGTCCCTGTTGTACTTTATCTCAAGTGAAACAATGTCTTGATTTCAGCAGTTGTCTGTTCCTTGATTAAAAGGTGTTGTTTGGCATAATGGACAAGTGGGTTATCTGCAAGGTTGGTGTTATCTATTAGTTTAATGTTGCCTGTGCAACTGCATGTTGGACACTCAGGACAGACCAAAGGAAGCACGTACTTAACACAGCACAGTTAAACTATGGAACTCACTAGCACAATAAGTAGTCGTGGCCACCAACACGAATGCCTTTAAAAGGGGTTTACACAAATTTGCAGAAAATAAGGTTATCAGTGGCTGATAGCTTGTATCTTGCTTGTGAAGAAGTGGTGAAAGTGTTATTGCACTCCTATCCTGCTTACAGACTTCCCACAGACATTTAGCTGGACACTGCGTGTAGGAAGAAGATGCTGAACTTGCTGGGCTTATAGTCTGATCCAGCAGTGCTCTTCTTACATTCTTATGATGCTTTGCCTTTCATTTTATTGCTAGGATTATTCTCCAACCCTTTCACGTGTTTGCTTATTCTGATGCATTTTACTTTTCATCCTTTCCTTGCAGCAGAACTCCCGCCACCGTATACCGCCATTGCCAGCCCAGATGCCAGTGGCATTCCTGTAATAAATTGCCGTGTGTGCCAGTCATTAATCAATTTGGAAGGGAAGCTTCACCAGCATGTTGTCAAATGCACAGATTGCAATGAAGCTACGGTAAATGACTTTGCGGGCTTCTCGCTCTCGTGACATGTTTTATTATGCCCTTTCACAATAGAAGAGACTCACATCGGTGTGACTGCTCAGCAGCTGAGAATTAGCATGCAGTATGAGGATCATTTGGATGCAAGGAAAGCCACTTTGAGTAGAAAACAGTAACCAGATGATGATGTAACTAATTCATAGACGCTACACTTATGGAGATAGTAGTTCCCATGGCCTATAATTAAGTCCGGAATGAGTAGCTTCTCTATTTGCAGTCCAGTCCAGGTGTGGTCAGTTTCTGTATTCTGCAGTGCTTTATGCAGATCTTATAGTTTGCCAAATCACCATTTTAAGAGCGTAAAATCCTGACTGCCTACTATTATCACTAAAATGTAAGAGAAAGAAAAAAGAGCATCTTCCACTCACTCGTATTAACAATAAAAAATAATTCATCAGTCCTGGCTTAAACATGCACATTAATATATGCAGTCCATATGTCCAAATAGATAGCCAAACAAGAATGACAATTAGAAGATGCACTTTCAGATACAGAAAGGGAAGTGAGATCTTTGGACCGCTGGGTAATAGATGGTGGACCTCTCTTTTTTCTACTGTGTGTGTGATGGTGGGAATTAAAATTAACTTGCTTACATTTCTATCTTTAAATACAAAAAACCTGGTTATAATGGAAATATAAAAACATTAAAATAAGTGCACCCAGTCCATAAACTTTCTGTACTAACACATAACTGGCTACTGCTGGTCCAGCCCTTTGACACGTAAGGCAGTATTCGATGCACTTGTTCTGTTGGGACAAGGATTTACACTTGTGCAACAAAACTCCCTTTCCCCCTCATCCTGTGCACAGCCTCCCCAAATCTGCTCCAGAGGGTTGGGGAAAACCCCAGAGCAGATTTAGTGGGAGTTGTGTATGCAGGGAAGTTCTGTTTAACAAGCATAAATCCTTCCTGTAGTGGAGATATTTCGCACAGCTTTGAATGCAATCCATAATGCTTATGTGTAAGTTATGCTCATGTGGCTGGCATGTGCACCTGTAGATAGGATTATAATCTTTGTTACTGTTTTTGAAGTTTGCTTAAATTTTTATTGCTTTTATTTAATTGCTTTTGTTTTGTCCAGCACTTCCTTTAACTTGTAATTAAAGTACTATTGGTATGTAAGGATATATATGCTTGTGTAACAACTGTTTTCATGTGATTTGTATCTAATAGTACCATAAACAGCTTGTGGAGTCCAAAGATCATCCTGTGCTCTGTCCATCCCCAGTGGCATGCTGCCTGTGGTTTATTTTTTAAACATAGAAGTACATTTTTTTTTAACTTCGTGCAGTCTGTTTTTCTTTTCTTAGCAGAATACTGTAATGTCCTGCATGCCAGCTATTGCCCTAACACTTCCCTCCCACTGTTGCAGTTTTTTTTCCTATTGACTTTTTAAACCGGATTGTTCATATCCCATGCCCTCTTCCACCTTGACTAATATTCATCACATTTCTGTTTTTTCCTCTCCCTAACACTGAAATGGCCCAATAAGTGGTGGAATCCTCCCTTTGGCCCCCTCTATTTCAGCCTTGTAAAATCTATCATTTCTGCACATTTAGTTTTTGCCTAGTCTCAAGATTGCACTCAACACTAAAGAGTGAATGAAGAACAAAAAGAAAGTAAAAGAAATGTAAAAAGTGTTCTAACAAATAGGTGTTGGCACAGACCTGCCTTAAATTATTTGAAATATCACCATGCTAGAATCAGTTGTTATGCCTTGAATATCTATGTAGTCTTCCACCTTGAGTTTTAACTTTTCTGTCAGTCTGTTTAATCACTGTAGAATATTTTTCTTTTGACAGTCGGTACATTATATATGTAATTGCTTTTTCTTGTTTTGTGTAGCCAATCAAAAACCCTCCTTCAGGGAAAAAGTATGTTAGATGTCCGTGTAATTGTCTGCTTATCTGTAAGGATACGTCACGGAGGATAGGATGTCCAAGACCCAACTGGTAAGGGCAAACCAAATTATAATTTGCTTTTTCTCTTTGGTTTTTCACACACACAAAATGGTCTGACTGTTGTGATATAAATAGTATAAGGAATATAAAAAAAAGAATATTGCCTCTGGCTATTTCTCTGTTTAATGTTTCACATAAATTTGTGGCTGCTAACCTCTGCAGAACTAAATCAATCTTTACCAAGGACAAAGAAGAAAAATAACTTCTGCTTCTACTGTGCTAGAGATCATGGGAAAGACAGAAAGATGGATGCCTCTTGCACGAGATAAAAGGCAAAAACATCATATTTGATATTAGGAATGGAACAAGTAAAGAAGTGGCTGCAAAGGAACCATTGGGTGCATTTAAACCGCACACCCAATGGTTTCTTAGCTGGTGGGGCTTGCATTTGGCACATTTTTTTTATTTTGTACCAATTACATGCCCCGCTGGGATTGCCTTACTGAGGAAACTTATGAAATTAGGGGCTGCAATTGGCACCAGTTGCACTCATTGTCACTGGCTGCAGCTGCTGCTGGGATTCACTGCACTCCAGAGTGCCTGGTCAGGAGCACGCCCCCCCCCCCCCCGGTGTAGCCAGTCCCTGCCACCCTGGGGGTGGTTGTCAGTGCTGATCAGCTGATTGGCCCTGACTGCTGCACCTGCTGAGACTGTTTGCAGGGGTGTTTTTTGCAGACCAGCTAGGTACTTCTGTGGGAAACTGCTAGATACACAGCTATTACAGTATCGTTACTGCCTAACAACTACAAATAACCCATCTTTTCTCCAGTAAACACTTCTTACGTACTGAATGTAGTCAGATTGATTTAATACTAATTTTATTCTTTATAACACAGCAGTAGTAAGACCTCTCTTTGTAATAGGCAGTAATGGTGCAAGTCTAGGAATGTTTGTTCAGAAATAATTTTCAATATATTCAGTAGAGTTTTGGTCCCAAGTGTTTAGTATTGCAGTAAATCAAAATGAAGAAGCGTAGGAAAGAGGAGGGTACTTCAGTATATCCAGGAGAAACACAATAAGCCAATGTATTAGTGCACACTGCTGTTTTATGGAATGCCTAATCCTATATTGTGTTGGTATAGGAGCAGCAGAACATAGGATGTATGTTAGGAGCCCCAGTTCAGAACTGTGTAACACCTTACTCCCTACTTCCAGCAGTAGGAGCCTCTGTCTCTTCCTGCGCCAAGGACTGCACTAGTTATTGATGCTGACACACTGATGACATTTGGGGAAACAGTGGGGCTCTGTACTGCGCCAAAGTACCCATTTGCCTCTACAAACAATGCATCCAAGTGCTTGAGAAAGGGTTCAGCCAAGGAGTAGAATGGTGGCTTATCTGTGTAATGGTATGGAGCTTAGACAGTGCATACATTGCTGCTTTAGTTTTGTGGCCATTCAAATTACAAAGTGATAGGGTTGCTTGAGAAAGACTGGCTTCAAGGCAATGTATTCAACTTAGATATCAGTGCCTAGTGAGCAAGGTGATATATTTGAGGACTAATGCATAAAGTATGCATCTCTACAACAAAGGTTTGTATTGTAACCTTATCAGTTTTGCCTTATCTGTTTTGTATCTTAAAATGTTGCTTGGGGTTTGATGTTAGAACAGGCCCATTTTAGGTGGGCCAAATCGGAACAAGCTTTCATTGTTGAAGATATATGGCTAGGGAATACCTTTTTTCTGTGCTGTATACAATGACATGATGGGTTTACTTTTCTCCATACAGTAGGCGAATCATTAATCTTGGTCCAGTTATGTTGATTCCAGAGGAGCAGCCAGCACAGCCTGCAATTCCTGTTCAGCCAGAAGGCACTAGAGTGGTGTGTGGGCACTGTGGAAATACATTCCTGGTAAGTAGAGTCCAAATACCTTATACGTGAGGCATCACTATTTGCCCTCAAAGAACCAACTCATTTTTGTCAAGCATTGGCTTCGTAACTCCCTTAGGATATTCAGTCTATGTTTTAGTTTTCTCTTCTGCCAGTTGCCAGAGCTGGTCTTAATGTCTGGGGTGGTTCCCTAATAAAATGTTAGCTTTTCATCTAAGAATATGGTTTTTCTTCTGTCTAGAAGGAGATGTTCAACATTGGCATGTTCAGGTAAAATAATTAGGCTGCAGATAATGTTAAAGTCCTCTCCATAAGCTACTGGCAGTCCGTGTAGACTATAATGGGCTATTAGATCGACAAATAGTTTGACTTGGTTTAAGATCTCGTCTGATGTTAAGACTTTAAACAATTTCCTTAATCATGCCATGTTTAGTTTCTGGTAACTTTCTTCAGTTGCCCTTTCCTCTTGAGACCATTCTCTGCGGAAAACATTGCAGACAAAAGGGGGTGATCTTGATCAATGCTTGAAGTTGGAAGAAAAAGGAAGTGGGATGGTTTTGATTTCTATTAGACCAAACTTAAATTTAGCCTGTTTTCCATTAACCATCTTTAACTGCATAAGCTGTCTGCTAACAAGTTTGAATTAGTGCATTCACACTTCGATAACTTACTAATTATTTCCATCATTACCATGAAAAGAACAGAGTTGCTATAAAGGAAGTTAACACCATAAATGTATATGGCACAATATTGGGCATCACGAGACATAATATTAGGTGTGCTGTACCATCAAAAAGTTTTTAGATATTTGTATTATGGAATTACCTGCACTTAAATGCCACAGAGGCAGGGCAAGAACTGTAGTCTGCATGATGATGTCCCTTACCCAACCATTGTTTTATATTAATTGTCTGCATATGACATTAAGGTATGCTGGGCATCGTTTGCCCAAAACAGCCTGGCACGCCTAATTCGGCCCATGGACTGAAGGTTGCCCATCACTGGTTTAATGTGAATAAGCTGTATGCTGCTCAAAAGTTCCTGTGGCACTCCTCTCTTGCTCCAGCTGCTAACACACCACAGGCAAAACAAGTTAAGACTCTGGCTACCATGTTGTCTGAGCCCAGATTTGTGAAGCTGAAAGTTGGAAGATTCAGGACAAACAGAAGGAGGTGCTTCTTATACACTGCATAGTTAAGCTATGGCATTTGCTCTTCCAAGGTGTAAGTAAGGATGGCCAACAATGTGAAATGCTTTAAATCGGGATTAGACAAATTCATGGAGCAAAAGACTATTGTTGTATACTACCTCCAGGATCTGGGGAAGTGTGCTTCTGTATACCAGTTGCCAGAAATCAGATGGCAATATTGCTGTTGCACTCAGGTATAGCTTGTAGTCTTCCCTTTGGTTGGCCACAGTGAGAACAGGATGCGGGACTAAATAGGCCTTTGGTATGATTCAGCAGAGTTCTTATATCGTTCTATTGGTGCTAATAGCAGGTTCAGTAGGTTTTTTTCCCATTGGGACTGCAGTTTTGAGCGAAAAGGTCCTGATCTAAGCCGGAGGCCACATGGTTTTTTAAATAAACATACCAATTGGAGGATGAAGTACCAACTAAGGAGTACCAACAATATAATCCTAGGGGGGTGCATGTGTCTAGTTTCGAAAGAAGAGTAATAGCTGCATTAGTGACATGAAAGTGCTACTGCCATATATAAACAGAGTGTATAGTACGTCAGACATCCTAGTAAGCAGCAAGTCATGGGAAATCGTTTTGTAAGGAAATCCCAAACCACAGAGTGTGGGGATACTGCTTGCAAAAGGGCATCCCAGTGACGGAAGGAAACAAGAAATAAAAACTAAGTGAAGCATGAGAAGTAAAATCTTGTGCTGTGATTCCCAGTGACATTTAACACGAAGCAAAATAAACAGTTTTCATACTGGCATTTTTTCAGCACTTCCTTCCTTATTTATTACAGTGGATGGAACTGAGATTCAACACTTTGGCAAAGTGCCCACACTGCAAAAAAATGTAAGTTTCAACAAGTGCTTTTACTAATGTTGTTATTTTGGGGGATATATGTATTTGAAATATAATCCCTCAGTCATTGGACAAAACATTTGTAAATGCTGATAATGAATGTCAGTGCACCCTTCTCTTGTCATTTCTAAATTTCCTTAGTCAAAAACTATTGAAAATTATTACTGAATTGGAAATGCTTGGATACAGAGAGAAACAGTTGCTGAAAGAAATATTAATTTCCTATTTAGCATGAAATGGTATTTTTAAAACCACAGTTTTGGAGCAAGTATATGAAGAGCAAATAAGTTTTTCTTTGTTGATATGAAAAATATGCATGCTACTTTCTTTAGTGCAGCAATTTAATTAAACTAGAAACAATAATAAAAAGCAATTTATTACCTGTTTTGATTATTGTTGTGATGGTCATTTTGATAATGCCTACAGATTAACCTGATAGAAGTTCTTACTGGAACACTTCTTGACGATGAATAATAGGCTTAGAACAATAAACAAAACAAAACAGTATCAGTAAGAGAACAGCCTTCCTGGAACAGTAGCAATGACATCTAATAGTGCTACTAAAATGAATGAATAGTTTGCACTATTGTATCATTTTTGCAATTGAAAAGCTCTGAAAGAAATTTTGCTTAATTTTCATGATGCTACAGAGACTAAATGGTTGTGTGCACATTTTAAAATGAAGCTATATTACAACTTTCTAACTATAATTCAGAACAGGAATTGCATCCAGATTCCTATGGTACTTTAGTGACGTGGCAGGCTTGTGGTGGTGTGAAACCTCTTGCCATACTGACAGAAGAGTGGTGAAACACAGGGTAGGAAAGTAGTGGCCAGACAGCATGTGAGCCCAGTCCAGGTTGAAAGGGTACATGGCTGAGCACAAGTGGGTGTGCACACAGGGGTAAGAGAGGGGAGAGCTGATGGGGTTTTTGGAGTGAAGGGTGACATGAAATAACATGGGAAGAGGACTAAGGCACAGGAAAGACTTGGAAACTCCTTGGTTCAGTTATATCTTGTGCGAGGTGAACGCTCTACCTCCTTCCACATTTTGAAGCCATTTAAGTGAGGGAGGAACAAAAATGAGGGAGGAAAATGAAGTGTATCAAGACAGTTCTTGATAACTGGGCTTGCTGCAGAACTTTCTGTACTTGGTATAGATACGTAATTTTAACCACGCTGGAGGTGCAAAATAGTTCAAATATGACATGTATAAAGTTTTGTACATGACGATAAGCTGTGTGCAGAAAACAAAAACAAAAGTGACCTATGAAGCTCATCTAAATAAAACTACAGAATTTTCAAATCACAGTAGCTTTATTCATCTTGGTTAAGTAAGGACCAATGGAAAGCCCTGGGCACCAAGGTAGTATCCAGGGGACTTCATCTTTTAGTTTGAATACTTTGAAATTACTTATTGTAGTAAAGCTGCATAAACCAGGCAATTAAAAAACATTCCAGGAACATTAAAAAATAATAATAAGTCACACGCTAGGCATATGAGCCCTTTCTGGGCTTTTAGTGGAGTGTTTGAGCATTTGAACAATCACATGACAGCTTACAGAATTTTTTTGTAAGCAATGTTGCTGCTGCTATGAATTTAATTGGGACATCTGTAGCCTTCCTTGCTCCAGAATGTGGTGAAACTTTGAAGTCCAGATTGAGATTAGACTCTAACAAGATTAAACTCATAACTTCCATCAGGGGAGATGTAGAACGTATACCCTTTAATGAATCCTTTATAAAAAGTCAAAACCTTTTTTGGTTTTTTGGTTTTTTAAATTCTCGCTGTGGCATACTGTTTGTTTGCAGTTCTTCTGTTGGATGTGCACTTCCACGAAGACGGTGTTGTGCATATATTACAATTGGAATGATATTTATCTTCATTGGAGTTGGATTAACTGTGAGTAATCTAAATTAAATCAGTAATGGTATCCTGCAGTTGAACACAGCTACTGGTATTGTTAAGGTAAAGGTAAAGGTACCCCTGCCCATACAGGCCAGTCGTGTCCGACTCTGGGGTTGCGTGCCCATCTCGCTTAAGAGGCCGGGGGCCAGCGCTGTCCGAAGACACTTCCGGGTCACGTGGCCAGCGTGACAAGCTGCATCTGGCGAGCCAGCGCAGCACACGGAAACGCCGTTTACCTTCCTGCTAGTAAGCAGTCCCTATTTATCTACTTGCACCCGGGGGTGCTTTCGAACTGCTAGGTTGGCAGGCGCTGGGACCGAGCAACGGGAGCGCACCCCGCCGCGGGGATTCGAACCGCCAACCTGACGATCAGCAAGTCCTAGGCGCTGAGGTTTTACCCACAGCGCCACCCGCGTCCCTACTGGTATTGTAGTGGTGCAAAAAATTGGGACTCTTTGCTTATGTGTCCTAAAGGAATTCATAAGCTGGTGTGTATCAAAATGTATTTTATAAGCCTCATTCCTACATTTCATATTATCATGCATGGCATCATAATGCTGCAAAATAGTCTTAGAATAAAAATGGAAAACTTTTCTGTGTCATTGGGAAAGGCCCCTAGTGTGACCCAAACTACACACTGCAACAGCTGACTCATGTTTTTCCCCAGTGGTATTCCCCAGTCAAATTTAAATTGGATCCGGTGTTGTGGTTTAAAGCAGGGATGGGTAGCTTTACTGCGTGTCAGCTGAGCAGCTCAACAAAGCCCACTGCCCCTCTGTGTCAGTTCTGCAGCTTGAGGTACTCACCCCGATTTAAAGTGTCAAAAGGGTATTGAAGCACTGCTGGGGAAAAGATAGCAGGGGCAAGGATTTTGTCTTGTACATTCCACACACAGCTCAAGGAACATGTGGTGATGGTGGATCTATGCTCAAATACCTGGCTTTATCACCACTGTATGTAGTTTGGGGCTATCTCTATCCTCAGTCTGTCCAGATGGGTATCCCTTTCCTTGCCCACATTGCCAGGAGGGAGATATTGAATAGCTTTCAACATATGTAGTCATTGGAGATTTAAAATAACCTTTCTTTTGTTTAGATAACTTCTGCTGTGATTTGTGCACACAGATGCTCATGCCCTTGGTGATGTCAATCTAAACAAAGAAAGTGCAGCCAGTGTGTTGAATGCAGAAAAAATGTGGTTCCTGGCTTCCTTAAATTCTATTTTGATCACGAAAAGGATCAATAGCTATAGAGTTACAGTTATGTCCATTTTCATCTTATTTGTGCCTTGTTGCATAAATTCTCCCATGATACTTGGAACTGTAGTAGGAACTTGCTGCACTGATGTAGGCTGGAGTTTTATACACACTTAACTTAGGAGCATGTCCGTCTGAACTTAGAAAACAAGCATATGCAAGATTGGACTGCAGATGTGCATGGAAGTACTTCTTTACTCCTGGGAAGCTGTGACCTAACTGTGAAAGGGCAACATCCCCCGAAAGATTTTATGGTAACTTTATAGTGCACTGTTCCCAAATGAACAAAGTTACATATATATTGACCCAAGAGGTGATTCCCCACATTGTCTACTATGCATGCAAATATGCTCCCTCGGCCTGAAGTGAGATGAGTGCCAAATCCCATAGTTGCCTTTGACTGGACTCAACAGTCCAGGGGTCCTTTACCTTTTACCTATATATTTTATGAATGACATTTAACCCATTGAAGACAGCAGCAGGAATTGCTATATTGCAAAGCTCTGTTAAAGGCAAGGCTTTGAGGCAAGAACTGTAGCAGGAATAGCAGAGTTCCTCAAAAAAGGGAGCTGGAATATTAGATTCTCATCCCCCCCAACCAAAGTTTTTCTTTTTTAAGAAGAGCGAGTATATTCCAAAACAATAAATGTAAGTTGTAAAATATAGCTTTAAAATGGTAACTTTTAATGTCCAATTTATTATTTTATTTCACAATTAAAATACAAAATTTGTGGTGATCAGGGTTGCATTTATTGTTACACTAAATATGATGGCAAGTACACCTCCAGCAAACTTTTAGAATTGTTTATGGTGTAATTATTATGGACATCTCAGTAAGTTTGACCAATCATATACCCTATACAGTACTTCCATTGTTTAGAATGTAATTGGTGTTCTGTGTCTGTTGGAAAACAGCATGTTCTTTTGGGTAAAAACTAAAAAAAAATTCCTGGTAACTTACTGAGTTACTCTATGGCAATAGATTTCTGATGTGCTAATAGGATAAGGCTATCTGTGTCCCAAATAAATTAACTCAGAACAGACTGCAATTGCTTCAGAAACCTATAAGGTTGTGTTATTTCCCCCCCTTTAAGTATTAATTTTATACCAATTGTTAATGCTTCACCTTAAAGATTTAAATGATACTTATTAATTGGTGTTCTTTTTATTTTTAACAGGTTGGTACGCAAGATTTTGCCAGAAACTTTCATGCCACTTATGTTTCTTGGGCTATTGCTTACCTCTTAGGCTTGGTCTGCCTAATTCGAGCCTGCTACTGGGGAGCCATAAAAGTCAGTTATCCAGAACACAGTTTTGCATAGACTCCTTATGCTTTCTTATAGAAAATGGAGATTTCTAGAGGGTCTGATAATATGAACTGAGTAACTTAAATATTTTTGCTTTTAATATTTCCATTCTGTTACAGATAGTTATAAGGCTGGGGATCCTTTAAGAACAAATGTTCATTGCACTACATTATATGCAAATAATTTGTTTTGCTGCTAGATTCCCAACCTCTGAATACTAAAGCTTTGTTTACACTATCATACATCTGTCTTAAAAGTACTGTTGAATTCAATTCCAACTACAGTATTCTTTTACTATATTAAACAGTCTGTGCCATTTGAGATGAGTATGTAAAAGCAAGGTGTTTGAGTTTCTACAATTGCTTCACATTTGTATGTACACTTACAAACTGTATCAAAGCAGCCTGCTTTAAAATTTTAAGCAATAAGCATTTTGCTTTAACTGCTTACTGTAACTTCTACTTAAGAACAAAGTGATCTTACTAAGTGTGCATCATTTTGAAGAATGGAGCTTTTGCTAGGGTGTCACCATTTGTAAACACAGTATGCTTTCAAATTTCCAAGTCAAGGTGTAATATTTTGGTAGTCCATCTTAAGAAAAATGTTAATTTAAACACAATTAAAATTCAGCTTGGATAATTTTTTCTTTCTTTCTTTCAAGGACCCTGGCACTTAATATTTTTTATCTTTTTACAGGCAAAGCCATGATTGGATTAAAGGAACTTAATTGCTAGCAATTTGTATGAGTTCCTTTACAGGGTCTAAGTAAGGGAAGCATTTGATATGACTTGTTTTATAAATTTAGATGAGTATAGGGTGATGTTGGGTTACCTCTCAGTTTGCTTGGATTGTGGTTTATTTTCCATAATAGGAAAATAATTTTCCAGTCCAGTCACTGCAAAGGGAAATATAGCTTTACACTAACTAATAGGAAATGAAATAGAGTAAACAGTTACTCTGATCATTCCATAGATGTATAGCTGGTTAGTATAACACTGAAAACTAGTTGAACAACTAAAGATGATTTTCTTGAGGTCACAAATAAATTATGGGGACCAGTTATTGCACTGCCCATCTTTGAAGTTTTACACAAAGTGTTTTTTAAAATTCTGAAGGAATACCCTGAGCCCTTTAGATTACAGTAGTCCTTAGATAATGGGAGTTGAGGTTAGATAAATGTGAATGTTCCAGGGTTGTGCATAATATTTTCAATGATCTATATTCCTGTTTGGGGGCAAAGTGATGCTTGGGTGAGGATTTGGAGCACAATAAATGTATCCTTCAAACTGTAAATGAAAGTCTTTGTATAATGTTAAATGTACAAAAGCAGTAGCTCAGGATTACCATGTACCTTTTAAAATACACTAATAAAGATTATTATTCAAAGCTATTATTTTTGGATTCTCATTGGGGAACCTCTGTGGTGGGTTCATCGATCTTGTGAGCCAGTAGCCAGTGACTTGGGATTCATAGGAAAGACACTGTGAAGAACAAGAGGGGGTAATCTTTCTTCCATGGGGTACAGTGACTAATCCCATGAGGCAGGATAGTTTAACCCATTAATCACCAATGCAGGCCCTCAGAAGTAAATCACATTCAATTCTATGGGGCTTACTCCTAGGTTAGTTTTCTTATGATTGCCACTTAACCACAAGCAAGTCTTTTTCACTGCAACATTTTAGTTCATACATGTGTATTTTATACAGGAAATGGTAACAGGTGTGTCTTGATGAAACAATGCTCTTATAAGAGCCCACTACTCTAGTACACTGTATATGCTGCTTTCCGTGAAGGCTGCTCAGAAACTTCAGCTACTACAAAATATGGCTACTATGTGCTGAGGTTTTTTCTGGGAGCAGTTGAAGGTCTTTTTCATTTACCCAGGTCTTTCAGTGACATTTTTTAAAAGTTTTGCTTTATATGTATTATTCCTGGAGAGAGTGCTGTTGCATTTCTATTTTTGATCTTTTAAAAATAATACTACACACTAAGTGGGTCTAGATGTCAAATTTTAAAAATAACAACAATGCTTTGTTTTGACCAAAGATACAAAGAAATAACATCACCAAAAAATTGTTTATTGTGACCAGAATAACAACTGAAAGGAACTTGAGGATGTTAAGGAAAAGGACATTCTAAAAGTAGGTTTCATCTGGAATACTTCCAAGACCTTCGTAAAATGAAGAAACATTATCAACCTTGAGGCTTGAAATGAAAAATCTATAAGGGCAATGGAACAGCCAGTTGTAAAATTGGCACTGTATTATAGTATTTCAACCTTATGATAAAACTATTTTCTCATTGCCAAAGTCATAATGGACTTCAGGTTTTTTTTGTAAAATATTTTAAGTTCTCTAGTGCATGTGTGAAATAAGCAAGGTTACACTATGAAGCAAATGTAGACCACCAGAGTTGCTGTGATATTTTCATCATGAAAGGCCTCTCTCTCATGGCTGGTGGGCACTGAAGGTTAACTGTATATAAGACAGTTTATGATTTAAGAATTAAGGACCCTGAAGGGACCATAAAAGCCCTTGAATAATAGCATAGGGTCAGAGTGTAGCTTGCTGCCAATGATATACACTGAGCAGAATGTGAAGGAGTCTACAGAATCGTAGTTAGAAGGTACAGATCATCTAGACCAATCCCCTACAATTCAGGAATCACAGCTAAACAATTCCCAACAAATGGCCATCCAAGCTCTGTTTCTTCCCCTGGACAAAAGCAACAATGCATGAGACCAGGGCCACATAACGGAAGATGTAAAAATTTCTAAAAACAGAAGATGGCAACTCTTTTCATATAAAAGATTCCAGGTTCAATTCCTTTTATTTCCACTTAAATGATTTGTGACAACAGGTGTTGAGAAAGATGCCTGCTGTGGAGGCTGGAGTTACTGTCAGCACACAGTATTGTCCAAAACAGACAATGGACTGATTTTGCTGAAGCACTTAAAAGGAAAAGCATAACCTGGAAAAGTTGGGGTCAAAAACTCCAGTCTAAGTTGTTCCATGTAAGTTTAATCCATATGCAGCTTCATCCTGACCTGAATTTAAATGTCTAATAAAAACGTATCTTCATTTTCATTGCTTTAAGCAGTTTTTTCAACCTTTTCACTCCCCATCCTTTCTGCATTTAGTCTCCAACAGTGCAATCACACTGAGGTCATTAAGGCACAATGTAAGTAGGCATAGGCTTGCAGCTCCAAACCAATACGCACTTACCTGAGAGTAAGTACCACAAAACTAAACAAAATTCCATTGTTAGGTTGTAATCCTATGCACGCTTACCTGAGCAGAAGATCCATTGAATGCTGCAGGATTTATGTATACATAAGCTCAAGCAGCAAAATGGGAAACATGACTCTACCCACTTTCCATTCTATACAGTAGATGTGTACCATAGTTCTACACATTAGTTAAGAACGTAAGAGCCTGCTCGAGCAGTCCAATGGTCTCTATCTCGTCCAGCACCGTTACTTTACTTATTTCATAAAATTTATATACTGCTCGATTCTTATATTGGCCAAGCAGAAACCACAGGCGGGACCTGAGCACAGCACCCAAGTCCTACCCGGTGGGATTGATTCATAAGCAACTTCAGCCCCAGTAGCTCCTGAAATAGATTTCAGGACTGTGCAATCATAATCTGAGGCCCTTCTTCATGTGCCTGGTCCAGGAGAAATCCAGAAGGCGGCAACACCAGAACACGCCTTTTTAGTGGTGGCTACCCATTTGTGGAAAGGGACGTGGGTGGCGCTGTGGGTTAAACCACAGGGCCTAGGACTTGCCGATCAGAAGGTCGGCGGTTTGAATCCCCGCAACGGGGTGAGCTCGCATTGCCCGGTCCCTGGTCCTGCCAACCTTGCAGTTTGAAAGGACATCAAAGTGCAAGTAGATAAATAGGTACTGCTCCGGTGGGAAGGTAAACGGCGTTTCCGTGTGCTGCTCTGGTTCGCCAGAAGCGGCTTAGTCATGCTGGCCACATGACCCGGAAGCTGTATGCCAATAAAGCGAGATTAGCACCGCAACCTAATGGACCTAATGGTCAGGGGTCCCTTTACCTTTACCCATTTGTGGAATGTTCTCCCCACTATCTTTAGGTGCTCAACGGGACACTGTGACAGAAACCAGAGCGCACGAAGATGCCGTTTACCTTCCTGCCGCAGCGGTACCTCAATAAATAAAGACTGAGGGCACATAACCAAATTAATGACGCTGTTAGGATGCGGGACACAGCAGCGATGCGCTTTGACAAGCGGTATACTCTGCAAAAGCAAAACAACCGAGACGGGACTGCTCAAGTTAGAACTTGGCCCGGACAGGCTCTTCCTAGAATCATAGAACTGTAGAGCCGGAAGGGATCCCATGGGTCATCTAGTCCAACCCCCGGCAATGCAGGAATCTCAGTTTAAGATGACAGAAGGCCATCGCATCCAACCTCTGCTTCAAAACCTCCAAGGTGTCTTTTGGAACAAGATGGAGATAGACTGAAATTGCAGAGTTTTGAAAAACTAAAAAACAAAGTGCGAGACTGGCTTCATTATCATCAGATAATGGAGGCATACAATTTGGACAAGAAAATCGGCTTCCAGGTGGAAAAATCAAAACTAGAAACAGAATTGTTAGAACCCAAAACTAAGATTTTGTCAAAGATGTATAACTTGCTGTTGAAATGGAATACTCAGGATGAAACGGTGAAATCTGCTACGATTAAATGGGCACAAGACGTTGGACACAACATAATGATGGCTGACTGGGAACAGTTGTGGACCACAGGTATGAAGTTTACGGCATGTAATGCCTTAAGAGAGAATATTATGAAAATGATATACAGGTGGTACATAACCCCAGTCAAGCTTGCAAAAATCTACCATTTGCCCGATAACAAATGTTGGAAATGTAAAGAAACTGAAGGTACATTCCTTCACCTCTGGTGGACGTGCCCAAGGATTAAGGTTTTCTGGGAGATGATTTATAATGAATTAAAAAAGGTATTTAAATATACCTTCTTAAAGAAACCAGAGGCCTTTCTCCTGGGCATAGTCGGCCAATCGGTGTTAAAGAAGGACAGAACTTTCTTTATGTATGCTACAACAGCAGCAAGAATACTTATTGCAAAGCATTGGAAGACACAAGACCTACCCACACTGGAAGAATGGCAGATGAAAATGATGGACTACATGGAATTGGCGGAAATGACTGGCAGAATCCGAGACCAGGGAGAAGAGTCGGTGGAAGAAGATTGGAAGAAATTTAAAGACTATTTACAGAAATATTGCAAAATTAATGAATGTTAGAATGATGTTGGATTGAAGTTAAGTGGTTTCTAGCTGTAATGGTATAAGAATATGGAAAAATTGGATTTTAATAGGTCAAAACTTAATGCTATAATATATTAAGATTAAAGATTAGGATAAAATAAGGAGGGAAAGGAATTGCTGAACTAATAAATTGAACCAGAATACAAAAAAGGGAGGCATGAGGAGGTCCGGGAAACAAGTAAATGAAAGATAAGTGATGAAAAGATGGAATTGTTTTTAATTGTTGTTTTTTTTTTTGTATTTTGTATTTTTCTTTTCTCTATTTTTCTTTTTCTTATCAATGTAATTTTTTTTGGAAACTTTAATAAATATCATTTAAAAAAAAAAAACCCTCCAAGGTGTCCACAACCAATGTCGAGCAGCTCCTTACCAGTTCCAACTCCAGGAATTCTCCAAAAAAATAATGGGGGACCCTTCCCCTTTAAAAAACAAAAACCCACCTAGGTCCAGAGATTGAAGGCGCGCCTTTCCCTTCCAGCCAAGTCTGTCAACCCCGGGTGGCGCGAGCGACCGAGCACGTGACGCCAACGGCCTCCGCCGCCTGCACAGCGCAGGCGCGAGAGCGCGCGCCGGCTTCGGAATGCTTAGCCGCACGCGGGGAGACCGTTAGTTGCTTAGCCAGGGGAGAGAGTTCCGGCCCTGGCTCCACCCACTTTCACAGGCGGCCCCGCCCACTTCGCGCTTCTAAAAGTGTGAAGGCGGCGACGGGTGGGCCTTGTCAGTTGTGGTTGGAGCGGGACGCCGAAAGCTGCCGAGCCTTTAATTCGTCGGAGTTCGCGATAAACGGTAAGGAGGGGATATTTGGAGAGGAAGGAGGAGGAGTTGTTTGTTCGTCGAGGTGGAAATTGGGAGTTCGTTGTCATGGGAGAGCGAGGCCTGTAAGCCGCCTTGAGTCCCCTGAGGGGAAAAGACGGGGTATACATATTTAAAATCTAAACGAAACAAGCACCAACAATTAAGAGCCTCAGAAAGATGGAGGAAAAGCGAAATTTTATGGAGGCCTGAAAACGCGACTCCACCACCCCAGGTTCACTGTATGGGTTTTCCATTTCAGTATTTGGCCCCCGTCCCGTCGAGGTTGCCCTTGGACTTTTTCCTTTTAAGCGGTCTCCTGAATCTCAGGGATTTTTTAAATTTAAATTTATTTATTTATTTTGGAGTTCTGGTGTGTGGACCCAACCAAAGCGGGACTCCGCCCCTCGCACTTCTTTGCCAAGTCGCCTTTTAAAAAAAGAATATTTCTTGGTATTGTTTCGAATATAGCAGACGGTGTTGTTATAGCTAACGGGCAAATAGGTCGCTGAAAATTAAATCCGTCACTTTAAAGTTCAGCAGCGTACTGTCCTGGGAGTTTTTACTGGGACCCAAGCCCAGGTCCAAGACCATTTGGTTTCTCTGAACGGTTCAGCAGCAAGTAGGGGCTGTCTATCTAATATATGTGTGTGCTTTCTTTTGATGTGATGGGTTAGGAAGCGGATAGGGTGGCCATGTGGTTAAATCATTTGAGTAAATTAATCATATCTGATTTGATTAGGTAAAGCTACATATGTTTGTATACCAAAACCAATAATCCTGAATTCCTTATTTTCTCATAATGCACACAGGTATTGCAGCTGACACCCTCACTCTTTGTCAGTACTTGTATTTTTTTTTTTTTAAAAAACCCCTGAAAAGAAACATGCTGCCCAGGCACAAGAATGATTCCCATGCCTAGTGGTGTGGGTTGTCTGGAAAATCTTGAATTGGAAGGGTTTCCATGAATTTATGAAATGGAAACTTCCCCCAGAAAAGCACTGGAAAACCTCACTGCCCATGTTACATTTTAGACACAGAAAGTTGTAAAATGTATTTGTATTAATGTACTTTTAATCTTTGTTGGAAGCCTCCCAGAGTGGCTGGGGAAACCAAGCCAGATGGGCAGGGTACAAATAATAAATTATTATTAAATTATTATTATTAAAAGTGGAGTTGTCTACCTGGTTCATTATGACAGTAGCAATCTGCAGTATCTGGCTGCTATTATTAGAATTTTGCTTTCAAACAGACAAACCCAAAAGTAGCTGAGGTCTATTTAGGTTGGGAGAAAAAGTAATTAACATATTCAGTTATAATAATCATTATTTCATGATAACTCTGACTGCTAAGACATGTTCAGATACATGTAACTAAAGCTTATAGATTCATAAATGTGCAAAGGAAGTAGTTTCTTCTTTTACAAAATATTTTAAAAGGCTAAAAACCAAAATGGAAGATAGTGTCCAGCAACAGCTGACTTTGATGATTAGGGTTTATTTAACTTGCACATATCCACTGCCATTCTCAAGGCCAATAAAATCACTGCATGCCTACCTAGGATACAACAAAGTAAAAGTTCACAAAGGCATCACAAATCACATCTTCACAAGCGCATTGTACAAGGTATGGACAACTTATCAGCCCTTATTGGAACTGTGTACACCATGGTGGCTATCACCATTAGAAGCCTTCTCAGTCAAAACAGTAAATAATGTATAACAGGGAATTGGGCAACGTACAGCCAATTAGTAAAGGAAAAACAAGGCCAACCAAAGCTGAAAACATTCAAAGAAATAAGGCACAATCTCACAGACTGGCTTCAATATCACCAATGTTTTTTTCCTCGGATAAAAAATTAGGCTTTGGGAAGGGAGAATCAAAGTTGCAAAAAGTATTATTAGGAAATAATAAAAAATTATTATCTAAAGTATACAATCTATTATTAGAGTGGGACTTATAGAGTTTATCTTTTGATAAACAAATAAAAGAAGCACAGATCAAATGGGCTCAAGATATCGGACATGTAATACAATTAGACCAGTGGGAAAGGTTATTGAAAATTGATAGAAGATTCAATAGAAGATTCACTGCCTGCTATTCTGTAAAAGAGAATATCATGAAGATGTTCTATAGGTGGCATATGACTCCTAAATATATATAAAATATATAAGACCAAATCCAATCTTTGTTGGAAATGCATGAAAGTAGAGGGTACTATAATGCACCTTTGGTGGGGCTGCAAAAAAGTCAAAAAAATTCTGGGGCTGCATCCACGATGAACTAAAAAAAGATGCTCAGGATATCTTTAGGGGGGGAAATCGAGTCATTCTTTCCGAGTAGTAGGATATGAGATACCACAAGACAGGGAAAAAATCTTTTATGCAACTGCAGCAGCCAGGTTACTCCTTGCAAAGAACTGGAAAGGAAATTATATATCCACAGAAGAGAATTGGCTATCTAAATTAACAGAATTTATAGAACTGGCAAAATTAACTGTGGCAATAAGATATCAAACACATCAGAAATTAAGGTCACAATGGTTATGGTTCGAAGAGTATATGAGTAAACACTGCTCTAAAGATAACATGCTGATATGTTTAGACTAAGCTCGTAAAGCCATCTTGATAATATAATAGTATACTAAAAGAAATAATGTAGTGATACATGATTTGCAATGTAAATAAGAACTTGAATGAAAAAATGACGAGCACTGGTGGAGGGAAGTCACAAAGGTGTATTTTCTTCCACCTATTTTATGTACTTATTTCTTACCTTAACTTTTTTCTTTCGTTTTTCTTCTTTTCCTTTTTTGTTGTTATTATGATGATATTATGGTTGTAAATGTATGTGTATTAATATTTGTATGAATGTCTAATCAAATAAATTAAAATAAAATAAATTTTAAAAAATCACTGTAGAAAACAAATACATTAAAACTGTAGTCCTGTACTTGTTTACCTAGGAACAAGTCCCACTGAACTAAATCAGGCATACTTCTGAATAAACATGTTTAGGATTACACCGTAAATCAATTTACAATGACATGAAAAATATGACTCCTACGATGATGTCCGCTTTAGTGCCTCCCTCAAGAAAATAGCCGTAAACATTCAAAGAGTGCATAACAGTTCATAATACGCTAATAGTAGATTGGGAAATAGTTTACTGTTTTAGCCATAGTGAACATTCCCAATCAAATCAGGATTAATAGGCCACTACTTTTGCTTGACAAAACCATTTCTGGCGAACCAGAGCAGCGCACGGAAACGCCGTTTACCTTCCCGCCGGAGCTTCCCTTTACCTTTTACTCTTGCTTATTAAACAAGAGAGGCTAAACCTGTTATATATTTAGTTGAAAGATACAGCTGCTAAGTTCACGTTTAGGGTGTTACTGAAATATTGCATAACATTAGGAATTATTAGGAATTTAGCTTCTTTTTTTTCTTTTTAAGGATGAGACAAAGTTCAAAGATAGGGAACAGGGTTAAGGGTTTGGTGTGCGATGCTAGAGAGTGTGCTACAGCAGGTGGACAACCTTAAAGTTGCAAGGCTGCTAAATGCATGTTAAGCTTCTTAATTTCTGGATGTTCTATAGTTATTTGCATGTACATGTACCTTGTCTTTTACAGTATGGCTCCTCAAAGTGTTTAAAATAATGGAAACAAAAGGAATGATTGGTAAGCCCCTCCAGCCAGCAAGACCTGCACGCCATCTCTCGTCCCATGGTAAGCATCTTGATGATTTTGGAGTGCATACTTGGAAATAGAGTACCAAACTATATGTAATTTGCTGTTGCATGATGTGGTTCTTAAATATTAAATAGCAATTAGAGGAGAGATCAGAATAAAGGGAGGGAATTTTAAGCCTTTCCTTCTGTGCCACAGTCCTAACAATAGTCTGGGGGGGGGGATGAATTTCTGAAGTTCTTTTAGATGAGGTAAAGAAGTAGAAAGATGGGCATCAAGGTTGAGAACTCAGGGAAGCTGCCATTGTCACCAGTGGCATTTATGATAGTTTAACCCTAAGAGATAGCATTACTAGTTTTTATGTGCCCATATGTATTTATTGCATTTATCTATTACCATTTATGCCAAGACACTATTAGAAATAGTACAAAATATTCTCTGACTGATATCTAGAGCTGATGGCACTAGCTGTTTTGGCATTTAATCGCAGCCCTCCATTACAAGTCATGCAAAGCAAGGTTCTTCTGAATATTCCCTGAGATAAAGTTCCATTAGATATAGTGGGGCTTAATTCTGAGCAGACATCTACAGAACTATGCTGTAAAAATAACCAACCCGCCCCGCTTATATTTTTGCCATATTCATTGACAACATTACCATCCTCTCTGTTATACATACATAAAGTTATATTTTAATTGTACTTTACTCTCCACATTTGGTCTGCTGGCAAGTAATGCTGCTTTTCTCTTAATAACCCTGCAGAGAAATACAGCCCTTCCTCTCTGTTGCGTTCGTGAAAACTCGGGTTCATTTCCTGGTCACCCCTTGCATTTACTACTGCAACTGTCCATTTCTGGCAAAAAAAAATCCTAACTTCACCAAGGAGTTCTGAACCGGTGGTGACTGACCAGGAAAGAAATATTGGCTATGGCGGATAGCTCAATGAAAATGTCAAACCAGTGTACAGCAGCTTTGGGGGGAAAAGTGAATGACATGTTGGGGGTCATAAAGGAATTGAAAATATTATTATTATGTCTTTATACAAATTGTGGTGCAACCACACTTGGAATATTGTGCACACTTCTGGTGTCCACACTTCAAGGATATTGTAGAGCTGAAAAGGGTTCAGAAATGAGCAACCAAAATTATCAAGGGACTGGAGAAACTCCCCTATGAGGAAGCAAACAACATTTGAGGCTTTTTAGTTTAGGAAAAAGGAGTAAGTGGAGATGTGATATAAGATTATGCATGATGTAGAGAAAGTGGATGGAGATAATTTTTTTCTCCATTTCTCAATACTAGAACCCAGTCATTCAATAAAGCTGAATGGAAGATTCAGAAGAGACAAAACATACTTCTTCACATTGTGCATAGTTAAACTAGGGAGTTTGCTCTCATCAGATGTGATACAGACTTGGATAGCTTTTAACAGGAATTGGATAAATTCAAGCAGGACAAGGCTATCAACACGTAGTAGTAATGATGGCTATATCGCCTCTAGCATCAGAAACAATATGAATACCAGTTGCTGTGGAACATGACTGAAGAAAATACTGTTTCATTCATGTCATGCTTCTGAGCTTTCAAAATACAACCACCCCCCAAACTTTGCTTGGCTTTTAGTTAAGAAGTTTATCTCCCCTATTTTTATCTTAAATTGTTTTATCATGTTCTTAGTTGTGTGGTAATAATTTTAGTGACTTGCTTTTATATTTTATGTAAGCCTATATGATTTTTTATTTTAAAGAACTACTTTGAATTTATTATTTTTTGAAAGCACAATATAAATTTCTTCATAAATAAAAAAGCCTAAGTCCACTATGTTCTTCCATTGTTTACTCCTGCCTTAATTTCTGTTACCTTACTAGTGGCGAAACATGATCAGCTGTGCTGTATTTTATATTGTAAGCTTGAGATATTTACAAATCATCATGTACATTGATGGTTTCATGTATGTTTCGTATGGACTAAATATTACACTGTTGCTCTGGATTCAGGGTGTTTAATTTTTGAAGTTGGATTAGAGCAAGAAAGTGTAGTTCAATTTACTAACAAATAAGTAAACATATTAAATTATTTCTACAACATCCTTTCCCACAGTATCAGCAACCACTTTCACTTTCCAGACAAAGTTTCCATGCAACCCTTCTGTACATTTGCATAATGAAATTAGTTCGGTAAGTATTCATCCAGTATGCAAAATAAATAGTATTCACTATATTCTGGGCTACTACAAATATCCCAATTGAGCTTTGATATAACTAGATAATAACTGTGTCTCAACTTCAGTTATCAATTTGGGAGACGGGAATAATGATGTGCTTTGAGATTATAAAGCTGAATGAAATAATGATTTTTACAGTAATATGGTGGGGGGGATGGTGATTTTGGTAGCTGTGCCTACAGAATCAGTAGTAAATAGTTCCATTTACACACTCAGTAGTCTAATCAACATCAAAAAAACGAAGATCATGGCCACTGGGCCCATCACCTCCTGGCAAATAGAAGGGGAAGAAATGGAGGCAGTGAGAGATTTTACTTTCTTGGGCTCCATGATCACTGCAGATGGTGACAGCAGTCACGAAATTAAAAGACGCCTGCTCCTTGGGAGAAAGGCAATGGCAAACCTAGACAGCATCTTAAAAAGCAGAGACATCACCTTGCCAACAAAGGTCCGTACAGTTAAAGCCATGGTTTTCCCAGTAGTGATGTATGGAAGTGAGAGCTGGACCATCAAGAAGGCTGATCGCCGAAGAATTGATGCTTTTGAATTATGGTGCTGGAGGAGACTCTTGAGAGTCCCATGGACTGCAAGAAGATCAAACCTATCCATTCTTAAGGAAATCAGCCCTGAGTGCTCACTGGAAGGACAGATAGTGAAGTTGAGGCTCCAATACTTTGGCCACCTCATGAGAAGAGAAGACTCCCTGGAAAAGACCCTGATGTTGGGAAAGATGGAGGGCACAAGGAGAAGGGGACGACAGAGGACGAGATGGTTGGACAGTGTTCTCGAAACTACAAACATGAGCCTGACCACGCTGCGGGAGGCAGTGGAAGACAGGAGTACCTGGCGTGCTCTGGTCCATGGGGTCACGAAGAGTCGGACACGACTAAACGACTAAACAACAAAGTCTAATCCTTGAAATCTCCCCCAGCCTTTCCTATCCTGGTACTCTCTAGAGATGTTTTGGATTCCCATCAGTCGGAGGTAATATTACAAATGGTCGTGGGTGATGGGAGCTGCAGACCTAAGCATCTAAAATGCACTAGGTTGCAGAAGGTTGTCTACTTCGTATTTCTCTGGAAATTAATTGGGTTTGTATAAAGCAGTTTGAGACCTGATATTTAAGTAATTGTGTCAAGGAACCCATTTAGATGAAGCATGACCATTGATACAGTAGTCAAGCATAGAAAGGCTCATGGGTCAATAGATATGACTCCATTACAAGATAGAAAATGTTAATACTAACTTCCTCATTTTCATTTAAATGTTAAAGTATCTGTGCCAATATCACATGTGGTGACTGCATACGTACCATTTTTGTGTTTGTTTGGGATAGTGAAGCAGTGTAAATCTGAAGTTTGTGGTCTTGGTAGGCAGGCAGATACTGTACATAACAGTTAAGGACACATTTTTTGTGGTAGGGGTATGTTTTGGTTTTGTGATGGCCTTAAATGTTAACAAAATAAATGTGCTATATTTTGTAGCACCTTAAATGCAAGCAATTTTACTGTGGTCTGAATTTTCATGAGCTAGCTTCCACTTTATTGGGTGCATGAAGTTTAATGGCTATGTGTACACAAAGACACACACACTAATTATATTATATAAGCATCAAACAGCACTTCAGACAAGCTTGCTCTGGTCTCTTTCAGGATTCATTTATACACACCTACACCTTGTATGCGGGTGGCACTGTGGGTTAAACCACAGAGCCTAGGACTTGCCGATCAGAAGGTCGGCGGTTCGAATCCCCGCGACGGGGTGAGCTCCCATTGCTCGGTCCCTGCTCCTGCCAACCTAGCAGTTCAAAAGCACATCAGAGTGCAAGTAGATAAATAGGTACCGCTCCGGCGGGAAGGTAAACGGCGTTTCCGTGCGCTGCTCTGGTTTGCCAGAAGTGGCTTAGTCATGCTGGCCACATGACCCAGAAGCTGTAAGCCGGCTCCTTCGGCCAATAAAGCAAGATGAGCACCGCAACCTCAGAGTTGGTTACGACTGGACCTAATGGTCAGGGGTCTCTTTACCTTTACACCTTGTTTGCAGTGTGGGTGTAAAACTGAGGTTATAGGACAGGCTTCCTCAACCTCAGCCCTCCAGATGTTTTTGGTGTACAACTCCCATGATCCCTAGCTAGCAGGACCAGTGGTCAGGGATGATGGGAATTGTAGTCTCAAAACATCTGGAGGGCCGAGGTTGAGGAAGCCTGTTATAGAGGAATACCAACAGTGATTATTATGTTAACAGTGGCTACTTACAAAATAGCTGCTGATCATTCAAAATACAGCGATATTATTATTAGTATTTATTAGATCTGTTAGTTGCTTGCTAGGTATGCAAGCAACTTAAATTACATTTAAAACATAAATATCAATACATTATGCAATAAAAACAGAAAAACAACCCCCTCAAACAGCCCCAGGAAGCTTTGGCAGTGCACGAGTAACAAAATGACATCATCTTAGTCTATCAAAAGCTTGGGGGGGAAATGATATATCTTAATTGGTGCTGAAAATACTGTTTGTGTGACCCAAGCAGTAAAGAGGTTTATAGGTCAAAACCAGCACTTTGAATTGGGCTTTGGTATCTTTGCTTTGGATGCTAACTGACACATGTAGTTTGATGATGGTACCTTTGTCCCTATTCAAGCCACAAGTGATGACAATTAACATCTTGATAAATTGTAATACAGCATTTTCACATTAGTCTCCCTTGAAACTTCTTTTCTTCAAGGTTACAGGGGTCTGGTAGGTCGAGTTTCTGCAAATAGTTTTTGAGTCTTGCCATTTCTGGTGTCAAATTTGCATCAGTTTATTATTCTATTTTAAAATCTGGCCTATTAGTCCATAATCTGGGAAACAATGACATAGAACTGAGCACAAAATTCACATTACTGCTGTCCCCACCCTCTGAGCCACTGCTGGCTGTAATAAGCAGTTCAACCATTTTCAGAGATTAAATAATCAGTAGGAAATGTTAGTAGCTGGCATAATCTATGTCAACTGTCTTTTTCTTTTCTTTTTCTGGCTTTGTCTCTGCACCAGCACTTTGTGACTGGTGGGCATCAGTAAATTTCAGCCCAAGCAGTAGAAGGTTTGAGAACCCCTGTTTTCTGGAGGTTGCAGAAATGCATTGCAGGCAGATTGAACATTGGAAGATGCGAAGGTGAAAGAACCTTTTGATGCTGGCGCTAGTTCCAGTAATAATTTTGCAGGGCAGACAAGTGGACAAACTTTGCATCTCTGTTTGCCACATGGCTTGTTCCTCTGTCCATGTTACATGACATATTGCTGGTGAGTAGGTGTTTTAGGTTGGGTGGCTGTCTGTAAACAAGTACAGGTCTACCACCCAAGGCCTGTGAGAAAGTGTGACAGTCTTACTTTCTACATCTCATTTCCCTTTTGCAGCTACTTACACACATATGTGTGACACTTCATGCTTCTGGTGACATGGACTGCAGTCCATGAAACTTTATGCCATAATAAACTCGTTAATCTTTAAGTTCTACAAGATTCATTGGTTTTGCAACCACAAATGTTGCTACTGCTACTCTGAATTTCCCCCCAATTAATAGAATTAAGCAATCATCATAATAGAATTACGTATTCATCACTATATTTGCATGAACAGCTAAGATGAATTCTAGACTGCGGTAAAACATCAGTATTTTATTCTTTGTTTTTAGATGTGCAAGTCTAATGGAATGCTGGTTTTAAATGACAGTCTAATTCCTACACTGTCAGAGCAGCATACACCTGAAGTTACAAAAGGTAAACATTGTGAGTAGAAGTACTGAACTATACTAATAAACTGGAGGTGTATGGACTATTGAAAAGCCAATTTTTAAATTTGGGACATGTCTTGACGGGCCTTTTTACATTGTCTCAGGATTGAGTAAGAGGCTTCAGGCAATCATTGAGGAAACATGCAGTGATCTTTGCATGTTTACCTCAGATTGCAATGTTAGTCTTGTTCTATTATTTAAAGTTTATAAAACTTTGGAATTGATTTGACTGAGTAAAATGGAGATTTACTTGTGTTCAAGAGCTCCTTCAGTACACAAAGCTCATTGCAAGACAGCTTTTTGTACATCAGAGGTAAATGAGCTAAACTAGGTTTCAACTGGTCGACATTTCTTGTCCCTTCTCAATATTACTAATGCTATAGAACTCTCAGCTTTAAAACTATGTATAAATGGGTATCCCATAGTCTGTAGAAATCCCAATCTATTACAATGCAGCTTTCACAAATACTCACTTGCCAGTGAGGTAAGAATCATAAATACTATAAAAATAGTTTAATTTATAATTTTCATGAGCTGTTTCATGCATGTATGTACTCTTCAGCGCAACACTTAACATTTAAAATTTGCATTGACAGAGAGAATAACATATAGTAGAGATTTCCTCTTGAAGCTTTCAAAGGTTTCACTTGCACAAAAGAAACCAGAATTTCTTCCCGATCATCCCATTGTACTTGAAAAACCAGTAAGTGTTTGAAAGTATTTAAGTAGCTTGTTTTGTGATAAAAAGAGTACAGATTAATTAATTGGTAGAGCATGCTGTTGGTATCTAGTGCTGCAGTCATAGAAGGGGAATTATCTTACCCAGTGCTTTTTTTCTAAAAAAAATGTTTAGGGGTACTCTCATTTTCCTACTCGTATTGAAATACTGCCCCTCAATGAGGCCAAACTTAGATTCACAAAATGTTTAGGGGTATGTGTATCCCTGCATTGCCCCAGAAAAAAAGCACTGATCTTACCCCTCTTCCCACTATATCCCCCAACACTCCTGAATAGCTTCTCAAGTGTCCAGGGACAGCACAAAATGCCTGAGATGCGGAGCAAGGGGGTAATTAGATAGGGGCAGTATTTGAATAGAGCTCTTCTTATGTAAGCTGCCTTCACTCATTTACCCCCTCCTAGCCACTATCACCCAGCAGGAGGCTACAGCAGGAGAATGGGGGTGGGCTATACCCCTTGTACAAGCGTACTTGCTTGAGCAACCTAGTATCTTCCATTTATGCAAGCTCCTTCCAAATTACTGTTCAAGGAATAGTTCCTACTAATATGTTGCACAACTGGGAATTCTGAGTTTTTCAGAGCATCAATTATGATAAGGTAAATATTGTATAATGTGTTCATGTTCTTGTGTTTCAATACTTTCCCAGTAACTCAGTCATTCCCATAATCTGACATGAATACAAGAACTATGGGTATGACACAGTAAAGTGGGGTGTGGCTGGGAATTTTTCAGAGAGCTGCTATAGGGGAATGCTATAAAAATCTTTAAACGTTTCTGGGTTTAAAGAGCAATATGGAAGGTATGGGAAGGGCCTTACAAGATTACAAGTAGAGAAACTGACTCAAATTAATGGATACACTCCCATTTTTTTTATCAACTGCTATTACTACTCCAAGAGCTTGTGTTCTCTTATTTCCTGGTTCTGCTATCCATTTATTATTTTATGTCAATGGGGCGGGACTGGACCTGGTTGGTGGGCCAAATCCAGAGTTCTCCCACCTTTTGTGGACCACTTAGACAGGTGAATTGCCCTACCAACTTATACTCTGTTGTCAGCTTTGAACTCAAGGCTTGCAGAGTGCAACAAGTGTGTGCTTGATTCTTTTCCTTTTGGTAATTTGGTACTTTTTGAATTCAGCACTATTATTATAGCATCACATTCTGCACATATGTCACAAGCAATATACAAAATATATTAAAACAGCCAAAGAACAATTAAATAAGAGCACAGAAACTGATAGCAGGTGAATTTAAAAACAAACAGCAATACAGGTGAATTTAAAAACAAACAGCAATACAAAGTATTGTTGCTGCAGGGAATCAGGGGAAAAAAGGCTCCAAAATTGAAAGAAACCGAATTTTACAAGTGTGCTTCTGTTTCTCCCGTTTCAGTTGGCACTGTTGGTTTACCTGTCTCAAACCTGATGTTACATGGCATTTGGTGATGGGCAGCTGGGGGTGGTTTTGACTAAACCATGTCATGGGCTAAATGGGGAGGCGTGTGAGCTGAAAGTTCCCTTCTGTAGTTTTATGCATATATGTGTGCTCCCAGCTTTTTAAATATTTGCTCAGAGTCTAGTCCTGAGCTGTGATTGCCCTTAAGCTTGCTTAAATATCTATTGCGAATATTCTTCATTAACTAAATTTGGTGGTGGGACATTTTGTCTTGTAGAAAAACTATTTACTACCTACTGCAAGCAACAATAGGTCTTTCTGAAGATGAGGAATGTGTCTTTTTCACCACTAAAAATTAAGGGAAATGGGATCTGTAATGCCAATAGACTGTAATCAAAATTTATCTTTTACAGTTGGTGTACCCATCAGTTCATTTCGGAAGTAAAGCTGTTTTCAACAGAAAACTTATGTGAAAACTTCAAGTTTTGTATGACTTAAACCAATAGTTCACTGAGCTTTTGTAGTTATAAAGGAGAGAACTGCTAAAATGAGGCAAAACCATTGTCACTTTTCAAATTTGGAAATGTTGCCTATGACACCATAGCTGTGATTCCCGAAGGACTGAAGTTCACTTGATCACTTTTGCTGCAACTGATTAGATATGTGCAATGGTGAGGAAGGCTATTCTCATTGGTCGGCTACTATAAACTACTGACTCCTCATGGCTACATACACCTTACAGTAAGCCTTCAAACCACCATCACATAGTAAACATTCCTCTGTATCAACCCTTAGTGAATGTTAAGTACGCTGTGTATTATATATGTATATCTAAAATACTGGCTAGTCTTTTATAAAAGCACATACTTAAATCTCTTCCATTGAAATCATTGGGACTTGACTTTGGTTGGATTGTGCCATTTTTTTTTCTAGTGTTATAACATTTCTAATGTATTTATAAATAGTAGCGGTATGTTTTAATAATTTTATCGTGACCTGTCCTTTTCCCTCTCTGCCCTTCCCCCATTTTTCACCTTATCTTTTTCCATCAATCACTGTAATTCTTCCTAAATAAACTAGATTGATTCAGGGTGGTGTGGATTTTAAACTGTGTAGAGTTAATTATGTGACTGTAAGCCACTGATCTTACTGTCTTAACTTTAGTCATCAGTATACAAAACAGTCCTACTTGGGAGTAGACCTGTTGAAATGAATCAACTTAAGTCCATTGATTTTAGTGGGTCTGTTGAGTAGGACTAAAGCCTGATACCACTCTCTATAACCAAGTGATATCTTTCTAGGTTAACGGTAGCTGTTGCTAGCAGCTATAGCTCTGTGGCACCAGGCAGTGGAATTATATAAAGGCTAAGTCCTATCCTGCTTTCTGTACTAAAAAAATAGTAGTTTGTTCTGCTATACATATCTCCCTTTATGATTGCCAACTTATCTGCTGCTGACATTGTAGACAGATATACAAATAATGGTTACTTGCAACTTGTGCGGGGTTACGTTCTAGGGATTGCGCGTAAAGCCAAAATTGTGTATAGTCAGAACAACCTCTTGAACTGCCCCGTGAGCATCCCTACTACTCCAAAACCAGTGCAGCAAATGGACTTTGCCTCCAACACAAGGTGGAGAGCTTTTAAGCTCTTGCTTTCCTTACTGGGCTGTGTTCCTTAAATGGACATCCTCGTCATAAACATTGTTACAGGTAACTTAAGCGATTTCAACTTTGCAGCCAGTCAGTTGAAATTACACAAATGAAATGCACTGAAGGTGGACAGCTAAAATTCGTTCTCATTTGTGACTTGACCTATCATTGTTGGAAGGAAGACTGGTAAATGGCCTGTGTTTCTGATCTTTTCCGAAGACTGCAAACAGGTTTTAAAACTGAGCAAATCCTTGTGTGTGTGTTAGGAGTGTAGAGATGGAATAGCACTTTCTTCCATGGGCAAAGTTTTTCTTGAAGATCTTTTGGCTGTGCATGGGCTTACAGCGAAGCTTTCCATTTTCCAGTAATAAATAGTAAGCTTGACTTAACAGAGTAGCAGCAGCAGCTAAATATGAGCTGTTAATATAAATGAAAAACTTGTGTCAATCCAGGAGTCTTGCTTCCCATTTAGTTCACATATGTTATATAGAATAGCTTAGTATCCATGTTGAGCTGACTTCAGTGCACACCATGTTATTAAGCAAAAGGCAGCAATGTCCAATGTAAGCATATATGTTAAAATCTACATCCTGCTTTGTGTCCAAAAATGATTTCTCAAATAGTTAGTTAAAACACACAATAAAAGCACTATGCACAATAACATAAATAAACAGAGCCATATGAAACAAATTAAAATCAATAAATACCATTATATAATTCCATAAAGTAGCAACAAATAACTTGTACAATGTGGCCCTTTTTTAAAAATGGAAGGAATGTTATCTGCTAATTTTAGAGGCTTTATAATAAAGTAATGCAGAACATATGTCATTAATAGGAATTATAGCGAAGCTTCTAGTTGTTGTTGAGGATCCACCAGGAAGCTGAAAAGGAAGTATTCATGCTGATTAGACAATTCTAGTATTTCAGCAACTTCTTAAACTGTACTAGCTATTTTGGTTTTTAATGAATGAGTGTATTCTAGCCAATTAACAGTTTGCACAATTGAAAGCACAGCAATATTCAGAGCTTTTCAGATGGAATAAGAAGCTTGTAACTAAAGCAAACTACAAAAATGAAAATAAACCTGGACTGTCACTAAATCAGGTACATGTTAACTAAGCTCTGATTGGCGAAAGGAAAAAAGAATTGGGCAACCTTTCTGTAGTAGCTGAAATTTTATCAGCTAACCAGTGAAACACAGTGATATCTCTACCATGGAACCTGGAGAGAACAGGTGAAATTTTATTATCTCCTCATATGATTACATACATGTACTGTTAAATTGAAACACAATTTCCAGGTCCCCAGAGCCCTAAGACCAGGAGGGTTCTAATATTACTTATTATATCACAAAAGCGAACACATGAGGCAGTGTAAAGGGGAATCCAATACGTATTGTTATTTAGAGCACTTAAATAATTACCACCTTTGGTCCCAGTTGGATACCGAATGCCAAAGATGGAATGAGAATAGTGCTGTCACATTTTGACTGACATTATATAATCTTTGGAGTATTAATGCTTTTGCATTCATTTCACTTAAAGATAAAAATGCCAATAGTGAACAGCCATTGGCAACTCTCTATCAATTTCAAAAGGTCTACTCTGATTAGGACTAATATTGGATACAACCCACTATCAATGTTGTTCCCCCTCGTAACATCCCATCACTACTAATGTATGCTATTCTCGCTAACCCAAATAAATGCATATAAGAAAAGCAGTATTCCAGCTACCACAATGTGTATGTAATGTTGGAATTGATCCTGCTCAACATGGCTAATACTTTACATTTAATTTTTTTGGGTTAATCTTTTAAGATCGCAGGAGCAGCAAAAATGGCATATCATTTAAACAGATTTTACTCCAACCAAAATTCCTGGTTGGTACTAATTTCAGAGCTATATCTGGTAGTCTATATATGTTTTCCCATATGTATTTCCTCCTGTAGGACTAATACCAGTTTTTAGGGGAGATTTAAATCAGTTGTTCTTAAACCCCTCACTCAGTGCCGTACTCTGAATTTGTTTCAACTGCACCCAATGGCTCCTAGTAAGGTTTTCTGTTGATTTATTAAAAATGAGAAACCCTAATCAAAGGTCTCCCACATTATACTTATGCCTTGAATAGAAGGCATAATTCTACCTTCTATTCAAGTGACAATTTGAATGGTATTCATATATTATGCCATCAAGTCATTTATATTGAAGATAAAAAATATTGCTTGTCAAATTTGGTCTATGTTTTAATTTGTTGGAAGCTTCCTTGAGCGACTGCGGCAACCCAGTCAGATGGGCAGCATATAAATAATAAATTATTATTATTATTATTATTATTATTATTATTATTACAGTCATACATATGACTTCACTGCTTAAAAAGGTAACCTGTTACTCAGAAGCATGTTCTACCCTGATCAATGGGACTGACAGCTGGGAAATTATGCAACCCTATGTACACTTACATGGAAGCAAGTTCCATTGAATATAATGAGTCCTACTTCTGAGTAAACATGCATAGGATGTCATTAGTGGGAAATCCCTAAATAGATGCTTCTCTGCTTCTGGAATGGAAAATAGGTGTTGAGGGAAGGCACAAAATGAGGGGGAGATAACTTTTTCACACAGATAACTATTAACAGGATGATTACCAGGCACTAGCATAGTTGTAATATGTTCTGGAGTTTCCAGGCAATCCACATTACTTCTTTGAAATGTCTTGCTGTAGTTCATCTGCAGGTGGCTATAGAAATAAGAGTGATAACTTCATTTACTCTTTCTCCTTCCTATATCAATTCACAGTTTAAAATAAAATTGGATAGAGAACCCTCTTGGTTTACAAATCTGCAAAGCCTTTATTATATAGTATGAGATTGTTAGATAAAAATGTACTACTGAGTTAATAAATAATAATCCAGGTTACAGCCTACACAATCAAAAACCCAGCACTGATCCACGTGTTCCTGAGATGTTTGTTTGGTGGCCCCTCGAAAGTGTGAATTGAACCAGAATATCTGTGGGGGGTTTTATGGAACATTTCTATGTTTTGTTAAAAAATCTCTTCAGGGCTTTAATACATCAGTACACTCATCTTTTTCAAGTCTATTTCATGTCATCCTAATGCGCTTTTGCTTATTTTATGAATACTTCCATCCAAGTGTTCTGAAGGATCAATGCATTTGGAATGGAAACTTGGTATGCTGCAGAAAAGTATAATAATTGGACTATTCTAACTGATCATCCAATTAATATACGTAGGAAACAATCAAGCAATATGCTACTTGTATTTAACATGCCCCCCCTTTTCCCGCCCCCAGCTAGGTGATGCTGATAAATACCGTATTTTTCGCCCTATAGGACGCACTTTTTCCCCTCCAAAAATGAAGGGGAAATGTGCATGCGTCCTATGGGGCGAATGCAGGCTTTCACTGAAGCCTGGAGAGCGCGAGGGTCGGTGCGCACCGACCCCTCTCGCTCTCCAGGCTCTCTGCAAGCCGTGGAGCCGTGCCGGCTCCGCGGCATGCGAGTGCCTGCATGCTGAAGTGTGGGCGCACTGAGCTCACCCACCCCTCTCGCTCTCCAGGCTTTGCGGAGAGTTGCCTGTTCTGGGGGCTGGGGTTGGGGGAAGCTCGGGCTTCTCCCGCCCCAGCCCCGCGCCTGGGGGGAAATAATTCCCCCCTCCTTTATTTCCCCCCAAAAAACCTAGGTGCCCCTTATGGGACGGTGCGTCCTATAGGGCGAAAAATACGGTACTTGTTCTGGAAAATCAGGTTTTGTTTCTAGTAACAGTAGTTGTAGATAGCTGATATTTTGAACTATTTATTTATCATTTTGTCCATAATAAGATATACACATGGCATTTTGTGTACCTGTTCCAGGCATTGTTCTCCCAGAATTCATAAACGATGAAGCGAGATTCACCAGAAAACCTCTGAATAGAAACACTAATAAAACAACAGAATTAATTTGATAAGTAGATAGCAAAGCCAGTATGAAGAAGTAATAACTTTGGTTAAGAAGTAATGAGAACCCTGGCTTCTCACTTTGAGAAGAAGCTGCCGCATGCCTTGGACTTACAAACTCCCAACCTCTTCAGTGGCCACAAGGAGATCAAAAGTTGTTTCCTATCTTAAACTGAACCAGAGTTCCCTGTAATGCCCAAACTTGAGAACCTGTAGTTTGTTTTAATAAAAAAACACACCTTATTTTCAGATCATTTTATTCACCTTCAACTGAAATTCTGTTAGTTTTTTGCAGGAAAAGAGGGGTGGGACACTAAATCCAAACCCCCCCCCCATTCCAAAAAAGAAACAAATCCTGATTGGTAGGATTTCAACTTTATAAAGAAGTGATTACAGTTCTGGCACCTAGATCTTGGAGGGGAACCCCACAAGCAGCAGCTGTTTGTACTTGGGGTTTGTTATCCATCTAGAAATATGTACAGGAAAGCCTCCTGTCGTGCAGTTTGTCCCACAGCTAGAATGGTATGCAGATCTTCAGTACTGGAATGATATATATTCCTACAACTATACTTGTATATAACCTTCCATCCAAGTTCTCTGCAAGGTTTACATAAATGGTAAAATACAATTTGAAATAAAAACACTAAATCATAAATAAGTCACACAACCAGCTAAAGTCATAGAATCATAGAGTTGGAAGAGACCACAAGGGCCATCGAGTCCAACCCCCTGCCAAGCAGGAAACACCATCAGAGCACTCCTGACATATGGTTGTCAAGCCTCTGCTTAAAGACCTCCAAAGGAGGAGACTCCACCACACTCCTTGGCAGCAAATTCCACTGTCGAACAGCTCTTACTGTCAGGAAGTTCTTCCTAAAGTCTTTAGGCTTTACTTGTTTTCAGTTGTATAAATTAAGACACAAATTGTGTCAAATCAGAAAGAGACCAGAAGGTGTCACTATGTACATATGGAATACAGTGTGCCAGGAAAAAGGCAACTATCTCTTTTTGCTATACAGTATTCAACAGGAAACTTTGCAAGTACTGTATGTTAACCTTTTTTCTTTAATGGTAATTCGTTGTTGCTCATAAAACTATTTGGTTTGTTGTAAACATCTAGGTTTTGCAGTCCATTTTGAGAACCCTGCTAAGTATGGCTTCTTTTTTGGAGCAGATTGGGAGTTTTGAGCTACTAACTTTGGCTGGTGCCGGGTCATAATGTGAAGGGTGCTTATAGAACCCCTTCGCTAGTTGTCATCCTGATGACTTCTGAGCGGAAGCTTATAGCCATCTAAATTTTCTCATCCTCTGGGGGCAGCAGATATACTCACTGCAGGCATCCGTCCTGAGAAGAGGCCGTGTCCACATACTGCTTCAGAGCAAACCGGAATTGCTCCAGTTCTTCTTCTATTACTGACATCTGACGCTGAACTATCATTATGTGCTGACAAAAATATTAAGACAGTATTATTGGTGAATGCATTGCACTCCTGATATCAGAGCATTTTTATCTTGCCATCTGGGTTGATTGCATACAATAAAATACGGTATGTAAAAATATTTTTATATGTAAAAATAAGAGCAATATAATGCAAAGGTGTTTTTTTTTTTAAAAAGAAGGCTGAATAAAGCAATGATGTAACTGGATCTTCCCTCTAAATGTAATATAAATTGTGTTACTTATGAGGGTCCTATTGGAATGCTCAGTAAGACAATTTTGCATCCTTACTCATAAGTAAGCCTTACTAAGGCCAGTGGGTCTTACTTCCAAATTAGTATGCATAGGATTGCAAATCCTTGTTAATTAAACCAGAATAGAATATCCAAAACTTTCTTTATGCCTCCATGCAGAGATAACTATTATCCTCATCAATTCATAATCTTTGGGGGGGGGGATACTTACAGATTTAGTGTTTTCTTCAGATACCTCTTCTTCCAGTGGCTCAAGCTTTAGATCCTTGCCAACAGGATGGAGGAGAAATGCAAACAAAAGTACCAGATATTAACTATCCACACAGTCATCCTCTAACTTTGGCTTACAAGCAGCAGAACCATGGCAATTGGCCAATTTTGTCTAACATACCCAAGCTGTTGCTGGAATGTAAGAACAACAGAAAAGTAACTGTGCCTTGGGAAATAGATCTAAGAAACAACTTTTATTTTGTAACCACCTGCCTATTGTCATTAGGATGTGCCACTGCTTTTATATACTCAGCATGGATTCAAACTTCATCTATGTAACAAGTAACACATTTCAGCAACGAGAAAAGAAAATTTTTGGAAGTAGATAGGACAACTAGTTATGGATACTGCCACTGCTGTACTGTGCTGGCTGGGATAGGGAAAGATGCAGTACAAACTGACCAGACATGATTGAGAGCTCCCAACTGTGTCTGCTGCATGGTGGTGAGGGTAGGGAAGAAGGCCCACTTCTTTGCCTCCAGCCCATCATCAAGCACCCACCAGCTGAGGGGTTTTTTGTGAAATGCCCTACAACATGCTACTTCAACCCTTGCCCTTCAGTGGCAAAGAGGGCTACCCAGGTAGGTTATTTAGCTCATTTAGTGGATGTTGTACCTGCTCTGCTACTATCAGTCAGGGATGGAAGGAGAGTGTGATGCAGTAAGGATATAGAGATATTCTTTACAGATTAATGAAGGACCTTGTGCTCACCTTCTGCTCTAGCCTGTCAATCAGTTTCTGGAGTCTGTTTATTTGGGTCATCCACTGGTTGTCTTCCTCCAGCCAGCCTTTAGGAGACGTAAATAATGGAGTTTTAAAACACTGTTGAAAACTATGGCTTTCCTTATTCACTTCTTTGTTTTGATGTGTGTGTTTTCATCCATGTTAGACTATTCAAAGTACTATTAATGTTCAACCTGGATGATGCTCTTCTAAACATCGATAATAGATAGCATTTCCCTACGAATAAGTATTCCACATGACTCAACATTTCTTACTAAATGCAGCTAAGAAATTCTTAAGCCTTTCTTGTCCTGCAGTTTACGGTTACTCCAGTTTATAATTAATTCTGAGGACAGAATCTACGAGGTCAGAGAAGTGACATCCTTCAGGAGTTATTCCAGACTACATAGTTCTTTTTTCTTCCTGGACACTGTGTGGAGATGCAAAGCTTCAGAAGGTGCTAAATATTCAAAATCACATGCAGAAATGTGCTGCTTAAAAATGGCTGCCCGAGCTTCTTACAGTACCGATACTTTGGTTTACACAAAACGCCTATGCTGTCTTTATGTTTAAAGTACAGTAAGACTCACACAGCAGATGCAGTATTTTCAGATAAGCACATAGCCAGAAGGGTGGGAAGAGTTCTTAGAGAATGTGGAGGACTGTGATTCATCTTCAAAATGAATGCTATTAAAATAACTCCAAACTTAGAGCGGCTTTTTCCAGCGGCTTTTTCAACATGCAAAAATGGCCCCCATCCTGATCCTTCTTATGCACACAAGTCTGACTGAAATTAGCAGTGTCACCTGTGGCAGCTCCTGGTGACAAAATGTTGCTGTCACTGTGATGGGTAAAATCTCTTTTCCCTTTGTAAGATAGTTAGCTGTAGATAGAGACCTTAGATTGCTCATGGTAGATATAACCTGGCACATTCCTTATGCAAGGAAATACCTGTCTGGTTTATGGGGTTTATTGGCATTTTTTTTTGTTTTTAAATGGCAACTACAGGAGAATCCAGTCAAAATTGGGACTGTGTTATGTGGGGATGGCTTTATGCCACAGTCCTAATTAACACCCCCTCCCCCAGAAGCTGCTATTGCCTCTGGAAGGGGAAGCTTTCACACTACAGCAGACTTTTTTTGATTCATAATAAAAACATTTGCACTAGATGAGTGCAAAGGACAGCTACAGAAATTGCTCTGTGTCCTGACTGAGCAAATATAGGAAGGAACACAGCTTGTTCTATAAACAAAAAAAGGGGGTAGATCAGTGTCAAAAGGCAGCCTTTTTTCTTGTCAAGCTAACCTGCAGCAACAGGGACCCTTGATCTTGCACACCTGTTTTTGAAATGCCTCAATATCCTACCTTGAGCTAGGAGGAGTTCCCTCTTATCCAAGAGCAGTTTTCTCAAATCCTAGATGTGCCAGGGCAAGACTGAAGTTGGTCATAAAGGAAAGGCACTCTGCATGTGTTCAAATATGTTTGCATTTCAAAAGATGCATTGAAAACCAGTTTGGGAGCTCATACTTTTATCATCTGCATGGTTTCTACAGCCCTTTTAAAACACGGAAGTTTTTCAAGCCCTTTGTCCCTTGCAACAGCCCTTTGAGATTAGTTGGTGACACCTCCACTACAGAAATAGGGAACTGCAGGTAAAGGCAGAGATCTAAGTGAGGTGGACAGACTGTTCAATTATGACTACAAGTTGCTGGTTTTTCTCCACTTGCTTAATTGTATATGCAAAAAGAAGGGCCTGCTTTTGATACTGCGTTGATTTTACCTGTTCCCCGTATTCCAATTTAATATTTTCTCTGATGTTGGATAGCTTCTGGCTTTTCTGTTTCCACTGTATTTTTACAGACAGTTTGTTCAACTGGCAAATAAATGTTTAGGGTGATAAATGCAAACTACTGCACATGTCCACTATATGACCGGAGTTCACACCCAGACTTGTCAGGGCCAACTGAAGTGACAACTTAGGGCCATTCATACCGGTATATCTCAACATTTTGTAAATGTATCCCTTAAAGCACCCAAATCACTCATACATGCATCAGCCAAATGCCTCTTATCAGCACTTGGACTTGGCAGGGCTCCCCCTTTTTTGCATTATCCCTCCCAACTGTACACTTGGTGGAATATAAGAATTAGCAGAATTACCTTTTACGGGGATTTAATTTTCATATTAATTTAAATGAAACTTGCTATTTTACTTTATATGACTTGTTCTTGGTGGTTACAACTTGTAAAGCACAGAAAAGCGAAAATGCAATACTTCTCTTAAATAACGTTACCTTGGTTAAAAAGAGGGCTGACTGGAGAAAAACTGCTGTTCCTTTGGAGTCTTCGACTTGAACGTCTTCCCAGCTGCTTAACTGCAAGCACCTCTGGCTTTGCTGGCTTTTGTCTTACAAATAAATATGTTTATATATGCATAAATCAATTGGATTAATGAAACTGTCTCTTTATTCTGAGCATGTTTCCAGTCCTCTTCACACATACAAACACACATACTAGGAGCTGCCGAGTCACAGAATGTAAACATTCTGACTGCAGAGGGTCTGTCACAAATTTGGCATTCACCACAGAGCCTAGAACATAACCTTGAGCGAGATCTGGGGAAAGGAAGATTTGGGGTGGCTGACGATCCAGGTAACTGGAAAGCAGCACGGCCTTGGGGAGAAAGGGGGAGTCGTTCACCTATCAGAATGAAATAAACATCCCTACAGTAAAGGTGTGCATCTGGTTCATACCAAAGCTCAAATTCTGAACTGATGCAAGCTGCTTTTTTCTGAGGTGACATATGGCTTCACTGGCTAAGGGGCAATATGATTCCATGCGGCTTCCTCTGCCATCAGAGAAGATCCAACTCCAGGGGGCTTGCCACTGTGGCCATAGAAAACTCTCCCACCATTGCTATTCCAACAGCAGTGAAGCCAGGAATGGGGTGTTGCCCCATGGGGCATGTCCTTCACTGTTCAGAGAAGGAGTGGCTGCAGGGAGCGTGCTACCTCCTCCCTGCCAGAAAGTATAGACTGCTCTTGCTGTCATTTGCTCTAGGACTGCAGAAACCACAAGGGAATTGGCCCCATCCACTGGCCAAAGGAACAAGAGCCACCAACTCCTCTTCAAGCAAGAACAGCAGCGAGGGAAGCTCAGCCTAACTTTCCATAACTGTTTAGCACTTTGTTCAGGCCCTGAAGGACTCAACTTTCCCACCCTACTCCCTTTATGTATTCTGTCTTTAGTTTGCAAGTCTGACAGCAGGGCCTGTTTTTCTCTCTCTTACTGATGTGAGCTGCTTGTGGAGGCAACAGTTATCTGAAAAGCAGGCTAAAAGTATGGCAAACAGCTAAGGAAATGTCCAGGGAAGCCATGCTCCCCCCATCCCCAATATGCTAAAGCAACTCCATCTCCAGAGTTGGGATAGGTACTGTATTTTGCGCTCTATAAGATGCACCAGACCATAAGACGCACCTAGTTTTTGGAAGAGGAAAACAAGAAAAAAAAAATCTGAATCCCAGAAGCCAGAACAGCAAGCAGGATCACTGTGCAGCGATCCCGCTGGCTGTCCTGGCTTATGGGATAGCCGCACGCAGCGTCTCCCGGGCAAGGAGAGCGTGCATTCCCTGCCCGGGAGAGGCTGTCCTTCTCCCTCCTCGGGGAAAAGCCCCCAAGAGCCCCGCACACGCTCCACGCGGCTCTTGAAAGGGAGCGCTGAGCAGAGCCTCCCGCCTGCATTCGCTCCATAAGACGTGCACACATTTCCCCTTACTTTTTAGGAGGGGGAAAGTGCGTCATATAGAGCGAAAAATACAGTAATTCTCACCCACTGGCTGCAATGGGAGGAAAAGTTTATAAGAGAGAATAAACGTTCCTTCCCTGGCTTCTGTGAGCTTGCAAGGCTCTGGATGTGGCAGTTGACCCACTTGAAATGCAAACACATACCTTCCCCAGTAGGTAAGACTGCTCTTGAAAAAACATTGCTTGGGTGGAATTCAACTGAGTTTTACTGAGAGTTGACCCAGTGAAATGAAGAAACATGATAAGGTTAGGTCCATCAATGTCAACTGAGTCTACTCTGAGTAAAACCTGGTTGAATACCACCCTATGGAATCACCATTCACTGGAAGGAAATGTATTGAGACTGACAGTGGCTGTGGGAAACCCGCAAGCAAGATTCGAGTGCAAGGGCACTCTCCCCTCCTGTGGTTTCCAGCAACTGGTATTCAGAAACATTACTGCCTCTGACTGTGGAGACAGAGCCATAGCCATCATGGCTTACTAACATTTGATAGTCCTCTCCTCCATGAATTTGTCTAAATTTGCCTATTATGTTTTTCCGTCCACAAAACATTTCTCTAGTGCTTTGCAGCCTCCCTGGCTGCCTGTACTTCCTGATCTGAAAAAGCCTCATGGAAGAAATTACATCTTCCCCAGGGTTATGAATGATGTAAGGCAGGCTTCCTCAACCTCAGCCCTCCAGATGTTTTGAGACTACAATGCCCAGCATCCCTGACCACTGGTCCTGCTATCTAGGGATCATGGGAGTTGAAGGCGAAAAACATCTGGAGGGCCAAGGTTGAGGAAGCCTGATGTAAAGGCACCCAGGAAGGCTGCCCAGTGTTGACTGCTACTGAGATGATTTCTAGAATAAGAGAGGGGAGGGAGACGTTCATTCACAAACACCTTGACCACTTGAAAAGTAAGTTAAGCGCAGCTTTGATAATTTTGCAACAAAAACTGTTTTATCATTCCTAGATGGAAACTAACTGGGGGGAAAACAAGGGATATATTTTCAGCACAGGACTTGTTTCTGCAATCGCAAGGTAATAGGCGCACACAGTATTACTCAGTTGCAACCTCCCCCTGGAACAATTCCTGATACATTTCCACAGGGGTGGGGGAGCGGTTGAAATCTCACTTATCTTGACGGGTTTGTTCCTCTGTGGTTTCCATGGCACACTCCAGGGAATTGTGGAGCGACTGTAGCTGATTCACTGTTTCTTTCAGCAAAAAGCGAGTCACAAACTGTTCCAACTTGGAAGCCTCCTGATAATTCTACAGAAGAGAAATAGACACTAGCAGAAAGGGAAAGTGTAATATTTCCCACTTTTGCAGCTTTCCTCCTAAACATCAGCTGCACACAGTCTGTATTCCGTGGTCTCATAAGAAGACAGCATGTGGTCATAATGTGATTCTAAAGCAATTTCTATACTATTTTTTCCAAAAAAGAAAGGACAGGAAACAGGGCAGTAATTCCTACACTGATAAAACAGAAGTTCTATTGCGGATCAAGGAATACCCGAGTTAAATTGTTAGCAGGTCCTGTGAGCCCAAACTATCCCCATCTACACAGGAGGCTGCCTTCTGCAGCTCTACAGTTCCCTACTCAATCTCTTTCTGGTTGAGCTGGATAATTCTGCCCTGTCTATGCTAGGAGTATTTGGAGCAAAAACGATGCCAACATGCAGCAGAAAGGTCTGCTGTCATAGGAGGCTGCCTGTTGCCTCTCTGCATGATTCATCATGAGAGGTGATAACTCTAATTACAGATAACTTTTAATCTATGGGCAAAACTAGGTGATGCATTAAATGTGTGATAGCATCTAAGCTGTCCAGTTTCCTTTTCTTTCTGGCAACCAGGGAGTTGGCCTTCCAGCCTGCAATATACAGCGAGAGAAGGTTAACCCTCCCCTCCCCAAGTAATCCTGACCAAAATTAGCCCCCAAAGTTCCTATTTGCCCTTGGATGGAAACTGCTATTTCTGCCAATTACTTGGCAGGATTTCCTTCTGGGATGAATAGCCATTTTACAATGTGTGTGGATTTTCTCAGGACTAAGCATGGTTAAGTCTCACATGATTCTCTCCCCCTTCTCCATCATTTCCCCCTGTTATTTCAGAGGAAAAGCTTGAGACATTAAATACACTTCTAACATAATGCTTAGTTTGGCACTCAAACACACTCCAGCAATTAACCTACAGGCGTCAGAAATCATAGATGGGAGTGGTGAGGGAGGCAATACTGTTTACTGCAATTATTACTTTTTATAGCAAGATTAACAAAACAAAAAAAAAGAGGGGAAGGAAAACAAAAAAGAGAAAAGGAAACAAACTCACATTAATAATACAATGATCATCAGTGCATCCATTTCATTTTAAACATATAAGTTGATACATGCTATCCATATGTCCTGATAATCAAATAAAATTGGTGTTTATGAGAAATATGTTCAAAGTGTAGCAAGGCCAGAAAGGGTCTTGGACCATTGCATAATAGATGTTTATATCCTCCCAAGCTTGAAGTATAAGCCTCTTGGGGACCATCAGGGCCTGCAAAATCCACTTTTGTCCTGCCATTAGTTCCCATACCACAGGTATGGGATAATTTAGAAGTACATGGACAACTGTAAATGCCAAGGATTTCACTAAAGGAAATACAGTCCCAAGGCATGGTCTAAAGGAACAAGATGCAGCAGCACAGCTGTAGTTGTGGGTTAAAGATTTAAACACAAAGGGAAGCTTTTAAACTATAGAATACACTGCCATTAGAGTACAGAATTCATCTGTTGTGCAGGAGCTCCCAATGAACTCTAACTGTGCAACCTGAATTGCCCTGCATGTGGCTGAATCCTACCTGAAAATAGCAACCGTCTGGAAGCATCCTAAGACAGAAACACATGCTGTTCCCGCTAGGACATCAAACGGTTATTGAAATCCCAGCTGTGAAGCTGTCCCATGTACCACCCATGCTAATTATGCACCTGAAAACATTAAAGTTGCCACCGACATTAATCAAGCCTGCGATATCACAATTCATAATAGCTGCTACTTCTAAAGCTAAAGGGTGCGGGGAAGCCTGGCAGGACAGATTGTTTGTGACTCCCTTTGGCGCCGCTCTGAAGCTGGCACCAGCTCCGCGTGAAAAACATTTGTGGTGGCCTCTCAAAAGTGACAGAACGCGTTTGTACCAGCAAGGCGAATTTCCGCCTCCCCCTAAATCGTTCGACATGGCTCCTCTAATTGGATTAAAGCTGCCATAGTATCCAGCAGGGCTAATTCCATCGCTGGAAGCTTTGATTCTTTGTGACACCACACCAGGACCATCCACAGTAATGTTGCCGTAATGGGAATTGAAATTCATATTCTCTGGCAGATACCCAAAATGGCTGCCTTTGAAGAGCAGTATCCTTTGTTGACAAATGGACAAAATATTGACAAAGGGGTTCTCGGAAGATCTGCCTCGCCTGCGAGTGGTTTGGTGACATAAAAGAGGCTTTAGTGACGCATGATCAAAGGATGTTCAAATCTATAAAACATTACAGGTGTCTAACCTGCAACAAGAATTCTGATGAGTAATTTGGGGATATGCTAGGTTAGCCTTCATTAGCTTGGGATACCCTCCCGATGTATTAATAATAATAATACCTTTATTGTCAATGTACAACCTGTGTACAGTGGTACCTCGGGTTACATATGCTTCAGGTTACATCTGCTTCAGGTTACAGACTCCGCTAACCCAGAAATAGTGCTTCAGGTTAAGAACTTTGCTTCAGGATGAGAACACAAATCGTGCTCTGGCGGTGTGGCAGCAGCGGGAGGCCCCATTAGCTAAAGTGGTCCATCAGGTTAAGAACAGTTTCAGGTTAAGAATGGACCTCCGGAACGAATTAAGTACTTAAGCCGAAGTACCACTGTACAGTGAAATGTACTCCCCCACTACTAGCTGGGACTGATGGGAGTTGTAGCCCCAAACATTTGAAAGGCACCAGTTTGGCAAAGGCTGTGCTAACTAACGGCAGGGGGGGCATTATTTAGGTCTCGGTGCCACCGTACCCCTCGAAGGGCAGGTAAGGAGGCAAAAAGGGTTTGCAGGCACCCCCGGCCAGGTGATTGGCAGCACCTGCAAATCTATGGGTACAGCACTTTGCAAAAACCGTCAATCAGTTGATGGTTGGAGTTCTCATAGTGGCACACAAGGTATGCTGAGGCTTCCACTATACTCTGCGTGTATATTTGTAAATAAAGGAAATATTACGAAATCAGCAGAGGGATTGAGAACCGAGGAGCAAATGATTACAGGACTTCTTTTTTCTATGACTGTCTAGTAAAGATGCATATAATTGCATTATTCCTTTAGAGAGGCTCGTTTACCTACTCATAAGCACAAGAGGTGGTAGAAGACATGATTTGATTTTTATCGATGGGGTGCGTAAGACTAATTGTTATATTGAAAGAAAGCCTGTGCAATTGCCTGTATTGATTCATGTGGGTGAGATCATCATTCTGAGAGTTCTGACTATTCACACAAGCTTTCCTCTTGCTATGTTTTGCATTGATGGATATTTGTTTTTTCTTTTTGGTGTGTTAAAGTAAACAACAATAATAAAAAAGCTTTCCTCTTGCTAGTTGCAAGATTAAAGCACCAACTTCTCTTGGCTTCTCTTATGTCTAGTGTCATAAAATGCAGGCAAGAAATGAAAGCGAACCCCAGGAGTTCTTGTCTCTTGTGTGGGGGAAAATAACATCGCAAGAAGAAATGTTCACAGCTCTAGATTGCATTCCTGACAGCTCCAGTCCTTTGCTCCTGCTGCCCCACTTAGTCTCTTTCCTCTGACCTTAAGGGTCTATCATGCTTTTAAATAAATTGAATAGAAGCACAGTGCAACTCTATAGCCTGCACAGTTTCAAACAGCTGCAATAAAATTACTATATTTTAATTTTCTAAATGTTTTTTGGGAAAGCATACATAATATTCTTCCCTGTATGTGTGTGCAGCGGGTGGATTCTAATGGGAAACTCATCTCACATCTCAAACCAATACAGGAACGGTAACACAGTTATCATTTGAAATTCACAGTTTTCCAAATTTTGTGATGCAGTTGCCCAGCCAGTGTGACAAAAACACATATAGTAGGGGAACGGTGTACACAAAAACGAAGATATTCATGAAAACGACATACAGAAATGCATTGCATTAGAAGAGATTGCTTGCAAAAATGTGTATTTTCCCCCAAAACTACATATAAAAGTGTGCTTATTGGGGGGGAAATGCACTAAAATGCTGGCAGATTTTAATGTGGATTTAAAAGGGGGGGGGGTCAAAATTGCCATGGAGAAGCAGAGAAATGAATTTTACCACTAGGGGGAAATGACAAAACAAAAAATGTAGCAGATTTGTCTGTCCCCAGTCGTTCTTGGCATACAAATGCCCAGTACTTCAACCCTGGCTTATCCATTTTGTTTTCTTTAAAAATGAATCTCAAGGTTTCAATAGACTTTCATCCGAGGAGCCAGCGGCAGCATCAGGTGCAGTGGGCAGTATAGAGACATATAGCCAATGGTCTCATTCAGTTTCCTTTTTGCCACAACAAACAAACAAATAACATTATACCATTTTTCAGGTAAGCCTCACAATATAGTTTACAAGAAAACCGTTACATCACCAGTAAATAATGATGTTTTCTCTACTCACTAAAAAGCCTCCTCCAAACAGGACTACCAGTTCCCATCTGATTTCCTTAGTTTACAACCAAATACTGAAAATGGCTGCCAAGAAAAATTTGCTCCCAATTATAGTTATGGGAAAGTGGGGGGTCCTTTTCCAGTAAGTCACAGGTGTCAAGTGTGATTCCTGGCTGCTGCCTGCTCTTTCCAAACTGCAAAAGGGGCTGGAGTGGTGGCGAGAGGATGGAAACAGTTCTCAGCCTACCTCAGCTGTTCTGATGCTGTTGCTGGTTCTCAAAACAGTAAAATGTTTGATGTGAATAGCTGCCCGCAAAACAAGGAACACCACCATGTTCCAATAATAGCAAAAGGTTAAGAAATAGGAGTAGCTTCCTTCATTCTGCTTGCTAAGCATTCTGGTATCCTCTTATATCCCCTGCTGAAGACACATCTCTACTTATTTTTTAGGGTTGCTGTCTTTCAAAAAGTAAAAACCAGGACACCCCGAAAGTTGTTGAACTTTTTTAGGAAAGCACTGAAAATGTTGAGCGTTCATGTAGCTTAATGGTGAATTTTGGACATAACGGGGATGTAAAAGATCTGGATTATCATAAAAGATGCAGGAGGAAATGACAAATAATAGGACCCACCAAGGGGAGGAGGGAAGTCCAGGAGATTCTTTGGAATCTTGTTTTTATGTTGTATGTTGGGTATGTAATTGTGAAACTTTAATCTGAAAACCAAATAAAATAAATAAATAATGAAATAATGAAAGTGTTGGTTTTTTTCAAAAACGCCAAAAACCCCCACAATTTTTTTGATTGACTTGCCTAAGACAAAGTGCCACATTTTGCCCCGCATGTCAATTCCGCCTTTGAAATCCCGGGCAGCCCTATATTTTTAAGACCCACCTAATTTCTGTGTTTGTGTTGAGCATTGTGTTTTACTGTAATTGTTGGCACCTGCCCTGGGATCTTGTAGCAAAGGAAGGGTAAATAATAATAATGATGATGGTAATGATAAATATAAATACTTTCAGTTTTGGTAAGTTAGACAGAAAGATAGCTAAAAACAGTTCTTCCGATTTCCACTTTGATCAGGCAAATTGTAACCTGACAGATGCAAGGAAAACCTTCCCCAAACCAATTGTTAATCTGGTCACAGTCCTATTTTGCAGCAGAAGTGACTCATAGCAGCTCATCTCCAGGAGCGAAGTAATGGGATTTATATGCCACATTTCTTCCCATTTCTTCCTCTCCCCAGACACTCCACTATAAATACACAGGGGCTTTCACTCCCTGCATTTTGCCTGTTCTGCCTCAGTGACACAACAACAAGGCATCAGCCAAACATGTTTTTGTAAGGGTATCTTTTGTATTTAAGTCCCATCCTTCAAAAATAAAAGGGGGGTGGGGACAAAGGGTAGACTTAAAGGCATTTTTAATCCACGCATTACTATTTCTTGTTCTTTCTCCCGGTGACATAACATGAACAACTAGGATCCCTGCTCGATTAAGAAACTGGATCTTCTAAGGTTCTTAATTGCTCAGGGAGCAGATAGCAGGATTTCCTTTGCAGACATTTAAGCCCAGGTATGGCAACACACTCAGTGATGTTACAACTGAGTAATAAAATCAATAAGGGATATAAAAGGATATACATTGTTTTATTACTATGGGGGGGGGGGGCAGAGCTCTTTGAACAAGGCAATGACAGTTTTATTCCCTACGTGACTTCAGGTTTTTGCTGTTTTCAACCAATACTGACCTGGTGTTGACTGACCACAGTTTGTCCATTCGTTCTCTCTTTCTCTCAAACCCCCTCACAACGTACTTGGTTACCCTGGATACCAAAGATGAATGATTTATCCAGGGACCCAGTTCAGAAATTCTCCTCAAGTAAAAAACACCAACTGACCAAGGCCTCTACGGCTTTGGAGAGTCTTGTTTTCCGAAGGAAGAGATCTAAAATTCTTTGTTGATCTGCCTCTAAGTTGCACTGCTGAAGTCTGCTGCTGCACAACAAAATCTACATTTGTTTCCAGGGCACCCCTGGGAAACAGTGAGCCAATTGCCCGGAAAAGTTTGCACCATGTTGGATCTTGCAAGATGCTAGGTGTAGGTGTGTTGCATCGCTAAAGACCTAGGGGCGATTGGGTCCTGCTTCTCAACATTCAAATTGTTTGACCTGGGCAGTCAATAATAGGAACATAGGGAATTGCTTGATACAGAGTCAGACCAGTGGTCTATTTAGTTCCAGAGTGTCTGCTGCACAGACTGGCAGTAGGTCTCAGACAGGGGTCTTTCCCAGCCCCATTCTGGGAATGTCATGGATTGAAGGTAGGCACTTTTGCGGGTGGCGCTGTGGTCTAAACCACTGGGCCTCTTGGGCTTGCCAATCAGAAGGTCGGCGGTTCGAATCCCCACAATGGGGTGAGCTCCTGTTGCTCTGTCCCAGCTCCTGCCAACCTAGCAGTTCGAAAGCACACCAGTGCAAGTAGATAAATAGTTATCGCTGCAGTGGGAAAGTAAACAGTGTTTCTGTGTGCTCTGGTTTCCGTCACGGTGTTCCGTTGCACCAGAAGCGGTTTAGTCATGCTGGCCACATGACCCAGAAAGCTGTCTGTGGACAAACGCCGGCTTCCTCGGCCTGAAAGCGAGATGAGCGCCACAACCCCATAGTCGCCTTTGACTGGACTTAACCATCTAGGGGTCATTTACCTTTACCTTTTTTCTACCTTACTTTTGCATGCAGTGCATGTGCTTTACCACTGAAAAACAGAAATGGGTGTTCTGGCAGATCTTTCTAGGAGATAAATGTTTGGAAAACAACCTAAAGTTGCCATCCATATCCTTTGACATTCCAATGTAATTTCAGATACTTTGTGGATATTCCCTTGCTGAATTACATCAAAGGTTCATCTCTAGCCAATAACCAGGCAGATGTCTAGAATTCCCAAAAGAGGACAAGATGGACATGCTTAATTTATCACAGCTAGCTATAAAAACCTCATCGGTTGCCACTGGCTAATTTGATACAGTTCTTCGGATGCACTGGCTAAAAACGTATCTCATTTTTACAAATCGAATCATTGACCAAACTTATGAAAACAGTTGCCTGCATACGGATTTATCAATAACTCTGCAAATGGGCGAGGAAAACGCCTGGGAAAATCTGACAACAATCTAGAACCCCTCCTCCAGATGGGTATATTTTGCAACATGCTCTTGGAATCAAAACAGGATATTCATGGTGGGGTTTTTTTCTGTGCTGTGGTGCTTCTGGAGGGGCTACTGTGCAACGAAAGGGGGACAAAAATAAACCAGAACCTTTGTGGTATAAAAAAGTTACCGGATTTGAACAGGATGTTATGGGATATGAACTAATTGAAATTGAAGCCTCCCAAAACTTTTGCAGGCATGAAGAGTATTGAAATTTAAAGTGTGTGTGTCCACTCCAATAGACTCATCCCTTTACTAGGGACTGAGCCTTTAGGGTGGCCTGTGGAACTCCCTACCAACAGAAATCATCCTTGCCTTCTTTTTTTAAGTCTTCTGAAAACTGTGTTGTTTAGACAGGCCTGGGCACTATGATTTTGTTCTTTTTAACCAACCAGTAATTACTGATGTTTTAAACTGATACTATAATCTTGCATGTTGTACACAACCTTATTATAACACAGTGGTACCTTGGTTCTCGAACTTAATCTATTCTGGAAGTCTGTTTGACTCCTGAAATGTTCGAAAACCAAGGCACAGCTTCTGATTGGCTGCAGGAGCTTTCTGCACTCAAGCAGAAGCCACGTCGGACGTTCGGCTTCCGAAAAACATTTGAAAAGCGGAACACTTACTTCCGATTTGTTTGTCAACTAAGCTGTTCGAGAACCAAGGTTCCACTGTATTATGAAAGTGCGGGTGATAGACAGATAGATAGACAGACAGATCCTAAGTGTTGCAGAAGAACAGGAATAAAACTTCCTCCTACTTTCTTTGTGGAGTCCATTGCCTTCAGTATGGATAGATTGAGGTCTTCCAAAGCAGACAGCACATTTTCATACTCTCCCAAGTGTTGGGAAAAATATTCTAAAAGAAACAGAAATTCACAGCTCAAGCAAAGGAGGAAAGATCAAGGAATTATTCTATTTTTTATATATATATTTAAAAATAGGAATCAAATACATATAGAGAGAGAACAAGAAGCATAAGGATCTAAACTCCGGTAGAAGGCTGCTTCCCATTAGAATGGGGGGTTAGTTTGCTAACAGTCTGATGCTTTCTGACACCTGGTACAGCTTCTGGCTATGCTGTGCTGTATTCTAACTTCTATGTACGCAATCAGCAGCTTGCACAAGGAAAGGTACAATAGATTGTTGAAGCAAAGGGGACATGAAAAGGAAAGCAGCACCAAAAATGGGCAAAAATGTAAAGAAAGGACATGAACCTCCTCGAGTAAGAATGTCAGATGCTAACACCAGCCCCAGCAAGTGGCTATTGAGATGGTACTATAGAACCCTCTTTGTGTAGATACATTACATACACACGTAATTCAGAAACAGTGACAAAAGGAAATAATCACAGGGTGAACATCATTCTAGGGCTTCTTGTAAGGTGTCTGAAATACCTCACACAATATCACATGACCCTCGCCTTTCTATCAACTATCAAAGCAAGATGTAAGGAGGCTCACAAAGCATAGGAAATCACAGACAGAGCTTCCCTAGGGAGTCTCCCCCTCAAAGATTTTTTTTTGAGCGGGGAATCTTGGAAGAATCTACACATTAAACAATCCAGTGTTGGGGGAGTAGGGAGATTGGAGAAAAGGGGCAGGATCACTTAAAGGCAGCATTTGCCTTATCCCCCCCCCAAAGCAAAAGAGGGATACATTTTAAGTTAATATCCTAGAGAGGGGGAGAAGAAATTTAGAATAAAAGACATATGAGAGGTGCATGTAATTCTGCACATTTATCTAGTCTCATTAGTGGTAATGGTTTATTGATTACCTTCCCTAGGAGTTCTGCACAGCTGCATTTTACATAATTAAGTGGTGTGATTAAAAAGGAGCCACTTTGGCTACAGAGCTCTTTTGTTTAGCTCCACCTGTCCGTGACACACCCAGAACGGAAGGATTTGGGACTAAAAATTAACTTACCGAAAAGCTCTTCTGTGTCAAGGTTGCTGTAAAAAGAAGAAGATCATAAAACGAGTGCTGTAATTGCTATTGTGTGCATCCTGTTGCTGTTTAAATGTTAAGCCCAACCACCCTGAAGGCTACATTTATTTATTTATATAAACATTTTATACCATTTCATATAGTAAAAAACCTCTAAGTAGTTTACTTGAAACAATTTTTTAAAACCAAGCAAAACCTTTCCATAAAATTACCTAAAAATTTGATTGAAAGAGAACAGGGTATCGCAAACAAAACTGTGCCAATAAAATAAAATAAAAAAATTACAAGTCAATGAGAGCTTGGTCATTATTGTAGTCCCTTGAATCATCTACGGGAGGGCATTCCAGAGGGTGAGGTCCATGTTGTCTCTTTGGGATATCTTAAAAATTGGCTTGGTCCGAACTGGGGAAGGTGGCCCCAAGTTCTACAGGCCTTAAATGTTAACCACAAAACCCTGAACTTGGCTTGGTAACTAATAGGCAGCCAATGCAGATCTTTCAACACTGGCATAATAGGTGTAAAGCCGGGTATCCAACTTTGCATCCTAAGCAGCTACCACTTCCAAACCAGGCACAAGGGTAGCTTCACAAACAGTGCATTACAGTAGCCCAGTTGGGAGACTACCATTGTATGGACCACTATGGCAAGGCTAATGGAAAGCTCACCATTTCTGAGATGTTCCATGCAATAGCAAGGTCATCCAGAAGTTATTTAACACTCTGCACTTCGCTGGCACGTTTGAGTGTGTCGTATTTTATAAGCAGTAACCTGCCTTGTGCCTGGAAAATTCAGTGAGCCAATGCAGACATCAGAGCATCAAGTATAAATATCATGATTGGTTTTTAAGTGGAGGGTGGGAATTTTTTCTGAGCCAGTACTTAATTCCTGCCATTTGGAGGTGCAAAGATTCCATTCTGCATGGAAGTTGCGTTATCTGACCTGTAAATTTGTTCTCTCCAATTCGGTGCTTGTATTGAGATGTAGCTCAGTTGTTCTCCGTGCCTTCATAACAAATGCACGAAATGAAATTCACTACAGAATGGAGCAGTTGTGAATAACAAATCACGATGACAATGATTGTCATCGTTTCCCTCAACAGATCCATCCACAAACCTGGAACACAATTTGCTTCCTTGCGTAGGAGAATTATTCAAGTCAGAGAATGGCTGTGCAGCTGGGAACACAGGCACCAGATCAGTTTATTCAACTCTCTGAATGGTGCTTATAAGAGCCGTCAGCAACTCACAAGATGCTGTTGTGAGGAACATAAAGGGCAAACTCTTGAACAGGGATTATTGAGTTGTGGGGTATTATAAACTTGTAGACTGAGCACCAGATTTTGTTGGGCCCTGTTGGGATAAGGCTTGGCAGGCCCTGAAGGATGAAGAGGAAGAAATGGGGACTAAATGGTGGGAACCTGGGTAGGAGGAGGAGAAGGCATCTCTCCTCTTGCTGCCCCAACTCCAGTCACTTTAGAATGGGGAGCAGGGATGCTGTCTCTCCCTTTGACCTTCCTGTGGAGAGGAGAGTTTCACTGGAAGCTGAGGAAGGCCGAAGAGGAAGCAGCAGTGACTAAACAGGAGGGCATTGTCCCCAAGAAGCAGGGGCCGCCTTCATAGATAGGAGCAGCCCCCCCGTCTCAACATAGAATGCACTTGCTATCTCAGCATTCCTGCAAAGTGAGAGAGTGAGCGTGCCAAGCCTCATCTTTAGATCTTGGCGGGAGGAGTGGGGAAACTTGTTGGGACATCCTTGTCATTTCCAGCTAGTTCTAAACCTCTTCCCCTGCTCCCAAACTGAATCCTGAGCATCATGTCTGCTGGCGAGCCTGTACTGATACTGGCTGAATAAAGATCTCTTTCTTACTTCCAAGTAAGTGTATTTGTTTTGAGTAGGAGTTGGAACACTATGCAGCTTCAAGGGGACCTTGCATGGACACATTGCCACCTCCATCTCACCCCCACCCCCTTAGTTTATAAATGTAAAAATAGAGCATGTGATATATGCATACGTATTAATATGGTACCCATGAATCAATAATTCTTCTACTAAGACAAATTCACTTGTCCCCACCCCCAGTTATACACCAAATATTAAACGCATCGGTGTGCCCTTGCCTGTGTCCTATTTGCATTCAACATACAGCTGTATGTGGAAAGTTACCTGAAGATGCTATGCTTAATGTGAGTATGTCAACACTGCATGCAGGGTCAACAACAGCCCTGATTTCCTCTCCATGCATTTGCTATGTGAGTCCTGATCCCCACCACACAGTTGTGTGATAGCTCAAGCAAAGGGGAAGTCAGTAGTTCCTGGGTTCCAAGTTGACAGGGAACCTTGGAGATGGACCAAGTTATGGGTTTCAGTCCCATGGTTAGTGATCCTGCAGCTGAGGCAGAACATACAAGTTGCCTCAGCAGTGACCTGGAGCAACTGCCCTATATTTATGGCTTGAGCTAGGTGTTAATTGACTAGAGGCCTCAGCCCATTCATGCTGTTATCAGGTAAGTTAAAGTTCCGGAACGTTCTTCTGTAGCCATTGGCTTATTCTAGGCTCCAGGGTTTCAAGCTGTGGGGTCATCTCCTGATCCTCAGAATCTGCCAGCAGAAGTGTGGCAGTGAGGAATAGAGGAGTGGAGGAAACCAAGAATGATTGTCAGCTGCCATATTTCAAGCAGCTACCACACAATGATATTCCTGAGACTTCAGGAATGAGAATGCAACCTTTTCTTCTTTTTTACAAGTTTTTGGCATCTCCTCATTTTGTAGCATTGCTGAATGCTCCCATCTTTTTCCTTGACACCATTTCCCTGAGGATCCCATTATTAAAACAATTCCTAGGCAGGCGCAGGAGCAAGAACATTTGCTTCTGTAATGAGGTTTTTCAAATTGCGCTCTCGCTATCTATTAACTGTTAGAAGAACGCTTCCTCAACATAAGTCTAAGTTCAAAATGATTTAAATGACAATTATTCCGGTGTTTTAGAAAATACTGTCAGCCTAAAAATGTGCCCACATGAAGCACCCAAATTTATAGTTCAGTCCTTCCTAACAAGCCAATGCGACGGCAGACCACCCCTACAGCAGGACCTCTGAAACAAATGGCAAGTAACTTGGAGAAAGTAGGTGTGTGTGAATATGCTTGACCACAAGGGGAATAAATTTCCAGAGACTGACAGAAATGATATTCCCGCTTTAGGAAATGTTGGACCTAGCTTACTGAGGAGGCATATGAAATGTCCCTGGGGAGGAGTGAGATTGCTTCCAGATTGTCAGTATTTTGCAGGGGAAATTCAAGCACAAATTGGAACTCTAGGTTATGCGATTAAAGCACTCTTGCAACAAATAGATTTTACTTTTTTTTTTAGTGGTTTTTTTTTGCTGTTAGGAAAGTGATAGGGAAACACACTGAAAAGTGTGAGATGAACCAATGATTAATGGGAAGCTGTGTAAACACTGCACCAGCAAATCAAGACGAATGATAATTTGTCATCACGTCTCTGCAAACAAGTCAGAATTGGTGCTCAATAAAGATCGGATATAGTCCAGCGCAACGTGGGGCTCAAAAGCATGACCCTGAGATTAAGATTCTCATGCTGTACTAACTGAGCTATTCCAGCATTGCTATTCTGTAGGCATGCTGGAAAAGCAGAGACATCACCTTGCCAACAAAGGTCCGTATAGTTAAAGCCATGGTTTTCCCAGTAGTGATGTATGGAAGTCAGAGCTGGACCATAAAGAAGGCTAATCGCTGAAGAATTGATGCTTTTGAATTATGGTGCTGGAGGAGACTCTTGAGAGTCCAATGGACTGCAAGAAGGTCAAACCTCTCCATTCTTAAGGAAATCAGCCCTGAGTTCTCACTGGAAGGACAGATCATGAAGCTGAGGCTCCAGCACTTTGGCCACCTCATGAGAAGAGAAGACACCCTGGAAAAGACCCGGATGTTGGGAAAGATGGAGGGCACAAGGAGAAGGGGATGACAGAGGATGAGATGGTTGGACAGTGTTCTCGAAGATACAAACATGAGTTTGACCAAACTGTGGGAGGCAGTGGAAGACAGGAGGGCCTGGCGTGCTCTGGTCCATGGGGTCACGAAGAGTCAGACCCGACTAAATGACTAAACAACAAGGCATGCTGGACCTGGAACCTCCCCGAACCCAAACTGATTTGATGCTGGCTTCATCCTTGTCAATCACAACTCTTCCGGAACACATCTTAAAAACTGTCCACTTGAGCACATGCTTTGCCTGGAGGATCTATGCCACCTCTCCTAAATTATGGACCTCATGCATCCCCCCAGCACGCTGAAAGATGCCTTGCACTATGGAAGATACTGGAACTAAGAATTATGCAATTTTATCCACCTGGAAACTAGTCTCGAGACATCTGGATATGCTTTTCGTAATTTGCTCTTTGGGCAGTGACAACACAATGTGAAGACTATGGCTCATGTCACTGCTTTTAAGACGTACACATTTAACTTTTTAATGGAGATACTATGAACTGAATGCATTTGCTTGTAACAAATTCCAGGGAGTAACTATGGATTTACTGCTGCCGTTTATAAGATGCTGCTGTTTGCAACAAAGCAGCAGAAGTAGCAGCCTATCATCAGGCTGACTGGCTGGTTACAGTTAAAAAAACAACAATTGAAATGTAACATTATAGAACAAGTCCTCCTTTCTTTATCTATCTTTAGAACCCTGGTATTCTCCTGCCTGTTATCCTAATGAGCACTTAAGCCAACACAACAGGAAAATAACAAGGATAAGCTTTGGATTTAACATTTCTGGGGATTTAGGCAACAAGCTATTAACAAATAAATAAAAAACAGGATTCATACAGTTATTATCACATTGCCCTCAGAGTCTGGGGAAAACCCAAGATCCTCAAAGCAGAAGCGCTGCCTTGGGGGAATAAATTTGACCTCACAACTAATGTGCAAATACTGTGCATCTTATGTAGTGTGAACGGTTCATCTGCAAAGATCCTAACATTACCTATAGAACTAGCTGGAAGGCTATTAAACAGACCTTGGGGAGCTCTTACAGCTTAATGCATGCCTGAGGCCACCTGGCACGTTCTGCCAGAGGCATCCAGCCTCCCCCTCTAGCAGTTTACAGGCATTCTTGGTGTGCTAAATGAACACATATTGGGGCATATGGGCAGTGCCGGATTCATGTATAAGCTAAACAAGCTATAGCTTAGGGCGCCAGTCTCTTGGGGGCCCCCAAAAAATTTAAAGGAAAAAACCACTGGATGTACATTTCCAAAATATAAGATAAAAAACAAATAAAATAAAATCTACACACAGCAACCGTGTTTTGTGTTGTGTAGGCTCCTATTTGTTATGTGCAAATGGCTTTCAACACATATTAGGTCCATAAATTACCATATAGCATATATTCAACACAAAAAACAGCGACAATTTGTTGTTGACAAAGGACAGCTGGACATATAAAGGGCCCCATTACCTTCAGTAGCTTAGGGCCCCACCAGACCTAAATCCAGCCCTGCATATGTGTATTAAATGGAATATCTGTAGATAGGTCATGTGCAAATCTAAGGTGCCATCCACATTTACGCTTGCCCAGGGGAAACTGCTGTTTAGTGCTAAAATGGAATGAAGTATGTCGGGTTTTCTGCAGTTTGTTCTGATTGAGTGGAAAACAGCAGGTTTTCCTGGGGAATGCGGTGGGGCAAATGGAAAACCACTCGGACCCATGCCTAGAAAGCATGGGCAAGCAGAAGTGTGGACGACCCCCCAAACACAAGAGAGTTTGAATTACGTGGAGACTGCTGTCCAGTTATGCAGCTGTATGCATGAGTGCTGTTTCCTGACTTTCTAATGAATATGTGCTGGTTGGGAGTCGGGTAGCCATTTGCAATTCATCATCAAAAGAAAAAGAGGATACATAAAATTCACATACAGTGGTACCTCGGGTTACATACGCTTCAGGTTCAGTGGCGTAGCGTGGGTTGTCAGCACCCGGGGCAAGGCAAGTAATTTGCGCCCCCTAACCCGTGGATTTTAGCAGGGGGCAGAGAGCTGCGAGTGCGAGCGTGCCCCCCCGATGTTGCGCCCGGCACGGCCGGGCCCCCCCTGCACCCCCCACGCTACGCCACTGTTCAGGTTACATACGCTTCAGGTTACAAACTATGCTTCAGGTTAAGAACTTTGCTTCAGGATGAGAACAGAAATCATGCTCCGGTGGCGCGGAGGCAGCAGGAGGCCCCATTAGCTAAAGTGCTGCTTCAGGTTAAGAACAGTTTCAGGTTAAGAACGGACCTCCGGAACGAATTAAGTACTTAACCCGAGGTACCACTGTATTCTCTCAAATTTCAGCAGCGCCCTGCACAACACTAAAATTCAGCACTCCCCCTGCCCCTCACACTCTGTTCTACAGCATTGTTTTGGCACCCCATGCAGTGGGGCACCCAGTGTGACCACACTGGTCCCATTACCCTAAAACTGGTGTAAGGGTGCACATTTTAAAGTAATGCCTATAATTTGGACAGAGATACAATACACCTCGCCATAGTAGAGAAGCACACCCTCCAACATTTCTTAAGTAAAAATAGGGATATCTTATTCAATAATAATAATTTTACTATTTATACCCTAGCCATCTTGACTGGGTTGCTCCAGCCACTCTGAGAGGCTTCCATGATATATAAAAACACAATTAAACATTAAAAAGCTTCCCTACACAGGGCTGTCTTCAGATGGTTTGGGGTCACATTTTACTATTTATACTCTCCAACATTCCTCTGATGAAAATAGGGACACTGGTGGTGCTGTGGGTTAAACCACAGAGCTTTGGGCTTGCTGATCAGAAGGTCGGCAGTTCGAATCCCCACGACGGGGTGAGCTCCCGTTGTTCGGTCCTAGCTCCTGCCAACCTAGCAGTTCGAAAGCATGCAGTGCAAGTAGATAAATAGGTACCGCTCTGGCAGGAAGGTAAACGGCTGTGCACTGCTCTGGTTTGCCAGAAGCAGCTTAGTCATGCTGGCCACATGACCTGGAAGCTGTACGCCGGCTCCCTCGGCCAGTAAAGCGAGATGAGTGCCACAACTCCAGAGTCATCTGCGACAGGACCTAATGATCAGGGGTCCCTTTACCTTTACCATACCTGCCAATATTTCTCCACTGAAAATTGGGACATTCTGGGATCAAATTAGAAACTTGGATGCCTTCTGTAAATCTGGGACTGTCCCTGGAAAATAGGGACACTTAGAGGGTCTGGGGCAGCCTGTGAGCAGGTGACCTGTGTTTTCGTGTGTGTGCTGGGGCTGCTGTCCACCCACTAACTGGTGATGAGGAACCTCATAGCCCCGTGCTCCCCTTCTTTACCCTCAAACCAGATTTGGACCAGATAGAGCACTTCTTCAAACAGAGGGCTGTCCTCCTAGAGAAAAACCTGTTGGCGTGATGAGACAACAGTGACACCTCCCTCTCTCCCATTCATTGAATGCACAGGGCTATGGTGTGGTGGTTGAAGTGTTAAAACTCCTCGCCATGTGTAGAGAGGACCCGTTCTGTGAGTTTACAAACTAGTCCTTTTCTTTCCTTTTTCTGATAGGGTAAAAACAGTCCCCCACTGTTTCACAAAGGAATGATGGGGTGGCGAGGTTCAAGGCCACAGCTGGTGTTAATCAGAGTAATCAGTAAAGCTTGGTAAAGGTAGCTGCAGATTTGATGTAAGGCCTCCATACACCAGCTGAGCCCAGAGCCTCTAATTGTAATTTTGAATCGTCTTAAAGTGGAATTTTGAGCCCTGTTCCAGCAAATGGCAGGGTGTAACTTGAGGGTTGATCTTCCCGATTTGCATATTCTTCGCTTTCACCTTTCACTGAGCTACAGATAAGATATACCAGCAGAGCAGCTCTTTTGCTTCTTACTAAAGCTCAGAATTGACTTCTGCAGCAGCTCTAAATATTAAGTAGGCAATTATTTCTTTTAGCTCATGATTGACCATGTTCCCCTCTGAACTATAACGCAGATATTCAAGGTGAAATAGTGCAATTGGCATGACTTTCCCAGTAACTGCATCACAACATATTATAATTATAATAATATTTTTTTTTATTTATACCCCACCCTCCCCAGCCAAGGCCGGGCTCAGAGCAGCTTACAAGCAATAATAAAAACAAGATGAATGATTACAACTTAAAAACAAAAATAAAATACAACATTAAAATAATGGAACATTAAAATATTAAAATGTAGCCTCATCGCAGGAGGAGAAGGAAAAGAAAAAAGAAAGAGAGGGAGGGAGGGAATCAAACTGGCTCCAAGCCAAAGGCCAGGCAGAACAACTCTGTCTTACAGGCCCTGCGGAAAGAAATCAGATCCTGTAGGGCCCTGGTCTCATGAGACAGAGTGTTCCACCAGGCCGGGGCCAGTGTTGAAAACACTGAAAATATTTATATTGTGGTATAAATAATGCCGTGTTCTAAACTGCAACCCACTCTGGGACCTTAGAGTGGCGGGTGGATAATAATCAAAGGAATAATGTAAGAATGCAGTTTCTGGGGAAATCATACACCAATGCAAGGCAGAGGAGCCAAGCCAGAAGAAAAGGGAGCAAAGCTGGTTGGCTCCAGAAGGAAGGAAGAAAATGATATACAGAAGCAATGTACACAGGTTAATACATTAGCAGGGTTTTAAGAATACTTGTAATTTTATTATGAATGGACAATAAGTAATTCAAATGGTTAAATTTTTACAATGGACATGTAGTATCTTGATATACAATGGAACCAAGGAAGGGAATAGGGGGAAGTCAATTTGTTCTGTTTGGATTCTTTTTTCATTATTGCTGTTTGTTTTATTTTTCTTACTATTGGAAAATTAATAAAATGTTATTTAAAAAATGCTTCCTAATATTAATGACATAGCCCAGTTCTATGCATGTTTACTCAGCAGCAAACCCCACAGAGTTCAAGGAGACTTTCCCCAAGTAAGTATACAGGACTGTGGCTCTTTGCAATCACTGGTCCAAGTGATGTATTATCATTTGCATTTAATAAACTGGAAATCAATAATGACCAATAGCAACTTACCCAAGGCTACTCTCTGAGACATAGGCTATGATGGCACCTGAACTCACATCTCCTAGGCTCAGGCTCAACATCCTATCTAGCAACACTGGCCTTTCTAATCAAAGACACCAAGGATCAGCCTGGAAATGTGTGACATTCTAAGCACTGAGCTATGGTCACGCCTCTTTTCAAGCAGGTGTAGAATATGGATGGGGAACCTGTAATATTCTTAAGTGGGTCCCTAGTCACATGGTCGCACACCTTCCATGCACCACAGAGGACTCCAAGAGAACAGCAGAATGCCTGCTCTATGAAACTGGAACTACCTTTGAGGCCAGCTGAAACACAAATAACATACGTACAGGGTCATGGTGCTCTACCATTGATTTATAACGAGCCTTCCTTCTCAAAAGAGGCAAAATAAATAATAATATATATATACCCCGCCCATCTGGCTGGGTTTCCCCAGCCACTCTGGGCAGCTCCCAAAATAATAATAATAAAATAATAATAATAATGTGATAAAACATCAAACATTTAAAAATTCCCTAAACAGGGCTGCCTTCAGATGTCTTCTAAAAGTCAGATAGTTGTTTATTTCCTTGACATCTGATGGGAGGGCGTTCCACAGGGTGGGTGCCACTACCAAGAAGGCCCTCTGCCTGGTTCCCTGTAACCTCACTTCTCGCAACGAGGGAACCACCAGAAGGCCCTCAGCACTGGATCTCAGTGTCCAGGCTGAACATTGGGGGTGGAAAAAACCAGAAACTGGGAGTTACAAGGGAGATGAATTACCCATTTATTGTTATTTTTGTAGCATCTTGTTTAGAAACACAGAATGCAGGCCATGGGCACCAAACAGGGTATATATAGGCTGCTGTTCCATGGCATTTCATATGCTATTCGTAAAGCTGCAGTTTTCCCAGGAAAATTCATATTGCACAACCATACTGCCTTTCTAAAGGCTGCGCATATGACTTTTAAATAACGTTACCCACTCTGTATTGTGCGTGTCGATGGTGTGAAACAGCTCATGCAGTTCCTCTCTGCTCAGGATTCCGTCAGCGAAGTAAGCTTTGAATTCATCAAAGGACAGTTTGCCATCATCTGAAATCAAAGACGCAGAAAGAAAATTGGTTGCACAGATGGCTGGTTTTTCCCTTTAAAATCAAATTGATTCTAGGAAGGTGTTTCTTTAAACAACAAGTTTTCTCATTTTTAATCTCTGCGTAGAGTTGAGCTCTAATACTAAAGGGGGGAAAAGAGGAAGCAAGAGAGTTAACAAAACCAACGATCAATAGATAGGCACAACAGCAGGCTACTTCATGTCTTTCCTTAGGGAAACACTTTTTTTTTAATGTATTTTTATTAAAGATTTTATTGATTTACAAAAGTATGTGCAGTGTCTCTCTCGTATTTTTTCCATGTACAGTGGTACCTCGGGTTCCATGCACTTCAGGTTACATACGCTTCAGGTTACACACTCCGCTAACCCAGAAATAGTGCTTCAGGTTAAGAACTTTGCTTCAGGATAAGAACAGAAATCGGGCTCTGGCGGCACAGCAGCAGCAGGAGGCCCCATTAGCTAAAGTGGTGCTTCATGTTAAGAACAGTTTCAGGTTAAGAACGGACCTCCGGAACGAATTAAGTACTTAACCCGAGGTACTACTGTAACATTTTTACAAATCAGTTTCATTTGTTGAGACATTAGGAAGAAAATGGGGAAAGAGGTGGGGGTGGGGTCGGGTGATGATGTTTCTATTTTACTTAATATATGTAGGGATTGGTGTCAGTGTTGCTTGCGCAGGTTCTTTGCTGTTCACTTATGTTCCTTTGGTGGTGAGAGAGGTTGGGGTTGGCCTAGGGTGTGGTTGTTCATTTGTAGTTGGCTGCGGTGGTCTTTGTTTTCATCTGTGAATGGGGTGTGTGGGTGTTTTGGATCAGGTTAGCCATATTGATTTGTATGCTGTTGGTGGATTTTTGTCATTGTCTTGTTGGGCTGTGTATGTGATAAAGGGGAGCCATACTGGCGTGAAGGCGTCTTCTTCTATTTGTCCCCATGTCACTTTCAGTTTATTGGTTAATTTTTCTAGTAAGGCTGTTTCCCATACTATCTAAGCATCAGTGTTTGGTATCTTGGTGGCATCAGAAAGAAGGCAGAAGCATAAGGAGCCTGAGGCTGGAAGTGAAATGTGGGTGTTTAAAAAACAATATATCAAAGTTAGCCCAAAATTGGAGATTTTTGTTTGAGGATACACCCACTTCATGTCAATCCAGCCAAGAGTAGTGATGAATCTTGGTGAAATGTTTTACCCAAAGCTTCAAACTTGTTAACATCTGTCATCACCAAGGGCTGATCTTCTCAAGGCTGGAACCCCCACCACTCCAGTAATGTTTGAATGGTGCCAATTGTCATGTACAACTTTTCCCAGGACAATGCAGAGCTGGTGCGTGAACTTCTCACCCACATGCTGCTATTCCCACATGATTTAAATGGGACCTGAGCACAGGAAAGCAGAAACCCCACCTGTAACTAGAGGGGAGGGTATGAACCTGGCCTGGTGCACACTGAGCCATCAGTCCCTCCTCGCCCCCAGAATCCAGTCAACCGAAACCCCTGGACCTGGCTCGCCAAATTGTTATAAGAAAAAAACTGCTCCTTTTCCTTTATGGGGTACCCAAAAGCCTGTATAACAGGGGTCGGCAAGGTTTACTGGCCACGGGCTGGATCACTCCCACAGAGATTGTTCGTGGGCCGGACGGGTGCAGCGTAATGCCGGAAATTGCGTCTGTGCATGTCCAAGGTGCCGGAAATTGCTTCTGCGCATGCCCAGACGCCAAAAATCGTACCTGCACAGAAGCGATTTTCAGAGTCTGGACATGTGCAGACGCGATTTCCAGTATCTGCATGTGCGCAGACGCCATTTCTGACGCCGCTCAGCGAGTCCCCACGCTGCGCCGCTTTAGCACAGCACGCAGGGGACTCGCCAAGTGGGTGGCTTGGTTGAGGGGTGGCTTGTGGGCTGGTAAAACCGTCTTCATGGGCCGCATCCAGCCCATGGGCTACATGTTGCCAACCCCTGCTGTATAGAGTCCTTCTGTAGGTTCCGTATGGGCAGAAGAAAATAACAGAGGCCAACCAGAGAATATTGAGAAGCAAAGCAGCTAGTAAGCCTGATCTTTATTAAACTGTTTCAGCAGGGTGCTCACACCCCCAAGCAGGAGGGAGGAGGAACCCAGAACATTGGTGTGCAAGCTCTTATATAGACTTTCGAAATTCCCACCCTGTAGCTCAATGCCACCCCCCTATACATCATATATACATCACTGAAGGCCCTACAGAGACAATTTGATGAACATAAGTTGAAGCTTGCTATGACTGAACTTACAGAAAAACAGACGAATCTGAGGATTAGAGTTCACCTTTGGTGGACATGCCCAAGGATTAAGACACTTTGGGAGATGATTCATAACTGTAATGAGTATGGGTTGCTCGTGCGTAAGTTGCCGCCTCTCCTGGCTATGTTGCCTTGTTTAAACCTTTCTGTCTGGACAGCCCTTCACTTCGTGGCTGCCTCAGTCGCTAGCAGAATCCATCAGTGGGCGTTTCTTAAACCTTTTCCAACATAAAAGTTGTTTGACGCCAAGTCTCCTCCTACTCTCCCTGCGCAGAAGGCTTCCGCGCAGGGAGGGCGTGGGTAGCGGAGGACCCGTGCTCTCCCCGCTGGTGTCCGGTGAAGAGTCCTGGAGCCCTCTCGCCGATTCCCCCATCTGCCCCCCTTTATCTCTGGTGTTGCGCTGATTTGCTTCCCCATCTGCTGAGCTGCCTCTCTCCCTGCTGGGCCCTTCTCCAGCATCATTTGAGAGCCTCCCCTCCGCCTCTAGCTCCGATGTCAGTTCCCTGACAATAACGAAATGAAAAAGGTATTTAAATATACCCTTTTGAAGAAACCAGAGGCCTTCCTCCTGGGCATGGTCGGCCAATTGGTGTTAAAGAAGGATAGAACTTTTTTCACGTATGCAACAATAGCAGCAAGAATACTCATTGTGAAGTACTGGAAGACACAAGACTTATCTATTCGGGAAGAATGGCAGACGAAGTTGATGGACTATATGGAATTGGCAGAAACGACTGGCAGAAACCCGAGACCAGGGAGAAGAGTCGGTGGAAGAAGACTGGAAAAAGTTTAAGACTATTTATAGAAATACTGTAAAAATAATGAATGTTAGAAAAATGTTGGAATGAAGTTATATGGCTTTAGTAGAAATGCTATAAGGAATCAAGTATAAATAGACTAATAGAGTATTAAAGGGAAAAATAAGATTAGAATATGTTAAGATAATTATAGGATAGAAAACAGAGGAAGATGGAAAGGAATTGCTGAAACAATTAACAGAAGTGGAATACAAAAGGGAGGTGTGAGGAGGTCGTGGAAATAAGGGAATGAAAGATAAGATATTGAAATTGTTTTGTGTTTTAAATGGTTTGTGTCTTGTTTTGTTAGTCTTATGTTTTTTCTGTTTTTTTTGTTTTTCTGTTTTGTTGTGTTTAAACAGTTGGAAAATTAATAAATATTATTTTTTAAAAATATATATATATACATCACTGAAGGGGCAGTCTACAAAGCATGTTCTCCTTCATGGAGAGCACGTGTTGCGGTGGGGGCTGCCAGGACACTCCAAAGTTGGGGGCGGGCTAATAGATCGTTGGCCACTGATGCGATTGGGGCTTCCCTTGTTGTTGGGAAGAAGTTAATGTTGCCATTTGTTGATTGACAGCCAGAAATGCTAAAACTCCTTGCACGAGGCTAGGGCTTCCTCTTTTCGACCGTGCATCGGATTGCCCATCCCCCCTCCCTAGAATTAGGGTTGTTTGCTTTGACCTTGCTATGCCTGTCATGGGGTCGTCTGCTCTTGGGGCAGGGGCCTGGTAGGAATTTTGTCCATCTGGCTGATTGGCTGGGGCCATTTGGTTTTTGCCTACTGCGTAGCAAATCGTCACAACTTGTAAGGTTGCGGTTAGGCATTGGTTTATGGTTTGGTTGGTTGAGGGGCAGTGGTTGAGTGCCTGCCCTTGGTAGGTTGAGTGCCTGCCCCTCTAATGCTGCTGCTGCAAGGGATTCCATTAAAGGAATTGGGGGCTAACTATTGCTTGTCCACTCTGTCAAGGGGGTCGGGCCATAGCAATGAGCTCCTGGTTGCATTTGGGGTGAGGGCAGGTTCCCTGCTCCGTCGCTACCCCCAAGTGTATTCCCCTATTCTGACTTTCGCATCGTGCGGAATGTCAGTCTGTCCCCCACGGTGGGGGCAGATAGTCGCAACCAATGCCTAAGCAACCACTCACAAATTTGTATTTTAATAAAGTTGTGGCCAAACTTATGCCAAAAATCTTAAACAAAAATTCTCTGTGATGTGTGAGTTATTGGGGTGGCCCTGGGGACCTCGACACGCAACAGAAATCCTGTTTCATAACAGAACCACACGTAAAAAAGGTTACGTGAGGAAGAAGAAAACCTTTCCGTCTGTCGCTACAGGAAGTGTGCCGCAAAGCTGCTATTATTTGAAGGAGTGTGGACATACTGGTTCATACTTTGCTGGGAATGTCTAAGCATGCCAGAGTTGAAGAACATGGCTGCCGATTACTCCAAATTAGACCCCAGATATCTCCCAATGTGTGCTGCTTCTTCATGATTTTTAACCCAACAACTTTAGTTTCCTGCACAATTGTGCAAAACTGTGGACTGTTTTCTGGAGGTTATATGCAAGGTTGAGGGTGTGCACAGCCCTGTGGTTCCTACACGATTACAAGTTAAAAACCAACCCGAAGAGGTACTAATTACTGAGTTGGCTTTTTAAACAACAGAGCCCAAACTTGCACACAGTCAAGCACGGTATCTTCCTAAGCTTGTTTGTAGCAATGCAAGATATGAAAAGATATAAAAATTACACACCAGTATTAAGCACAGTAACATAACGGTAGCTAAGGGATCAAAAACCATGAGCTGCTAAATACAGTGGCACAATACTTTGCCCAAGATACTCTTGCTTTCTCTTGTCTTCTTTTCTCGGCAGAACGGTCTTAAACATCAAATTCAGAATCTAAATGTGCCTGTCATTTGGCATCAAATGTAAAACACTGACTGAATGCCAAGAATAAATTTGCCTTGATAAACATGTGATTTTGTAAGTAGCTTCACTTCTACATCCTCCAGGCAACAAGTTCGCTCAACTCTTAACATACTACTGCATGCCACCCCTATGAGTGATGTGAGATTCCAGGGGTACCAGGCATGCTTTACACAGGATTTGTGGTTCCTTTTGGACAATTAGGCACAGCAGAGACTACAGTGCCTTTCTGATATATGGACACACACACACACACACAACCTGAAGATTTCAACAGAGAAAGTTCAGCACATCAATATCCCAAAGAGGGTTCTGTCCCTCTCATTTGCACAGCACTGAACTGACACCAGCATCTCTCTGCAGCACATTGTTTCTTAATGCCAAACTGCCATTCTAAAACTCCAGTCCTCCCTCTAAAACTATGGTACTGCCTTTAAAACTACATCCTTCTGTTCAGGGACGAAGGAAACCCATCCATTTGCAAATGAGATTTGCCTTGTTGTCCTTTGACTTGCCAGTGGCTCAATACCCCCAAAGAAAATTAGCTTTCACCCATGTTGATTGCCTAGGATTAAAGGGGGATGGATGGCTGATACTCAATTTAGGAAAATTGCCTAGGTTAATTAACTCTTCATATATGCTTATCCCAGGAGATTAACAGGGGCTAACACACATCTTAAATACACATGAGTCTGGCTATTACTTCCAAGGAAATTAGTTTTGGCACCCCCAAACCTTAATTAAAACCTGGCTTTAAATTTATTGGGAATTTAGGACATCTTGCACCCCCAGATTCATAACAATATTAAAATCCTGGATCAAACATTATATGCAAAACCATGGGAAAACCTAGAAAAATGGGCTTCTTAGGAAAACGTGGAAATTAACAGCCATGCTTAATGAAGGAGAGAGGTTTAGAGAAGATATTAGTGAATGGAATCTGGTAACGCAATAAAGTTAATTCTTTATTCAAGGAAGCTGAAACAGCGCAGGCCTAGTGATCCTAGAATCCGCTTCCCAGTAAGTCTTGCTGCAATGAGGTACAGTTGTACCTTAGAAGTCAAACGGAATCCGTTCCAGAAGTCCGTTCGACTTCCAAAACATTCAGAAACTAAAGCACAGTTTCCGATTGGCTGCAGGAAGCCGTGTCGGACATTTGGCTTCCAAAGCAGCTCGCAAACCGGAACGGTCACTTTCGGGTTTGCGGCGTTTGGAAGCCAAAACATTCAAGAACTAAGCTGTTTGAAAACCAAGGTACGACTGTAGTTGCAAGGACGGATGGCCCTCTCCTTCCCACCGCTCTCTAATGCTCCTCTTCTTGAGGGTCTTTCCCAAGCAGTCACAGACTGCATCTGCTCACAACCACTCTCTACTCTGCCCTCTTTGTGTGTTCTAGGAGACCAGGAGAGAGGGGAGCTGGTCGCAGCACCATCTCTGTTTCCTCTGCTTCTGTCTCTGACTCTGGACTGCAGTATGCCATAGCCTCTTCCTGCTCACTAAACCCCGTTATCTCTTCATCTTCCAACAGGTCCTTCTCCCAGTCTGCTCCCCCTTCTCCCTCTGACCACTCATCGTCATTCCACCCCCAATCCCCTGGGCTCTGAGCCTTCTTCCCCTGAGGATTCCCCAGCTAGTGCCTCCGACCACTCCTCTGACTCCAGCCAGTCCATGACAATATGTTTAATGACAAGAGTTCAGAAATGGCAGGCGGTAAGTGGAGGGTGAACTGCTTGTTTGGAAGGCATTTGTCCCCCAATCCCTTCTGACACCATCTATGATGGAAGTGGCAGCCCCTATGATGGTAGTCACCTACAGATTTTTGTAATTCCTGGTGGAAGAAGCTGATCAAGGGTGCCTAGGCAGGCATGTGGAAGTCGGAGGGGGCATAGTCTCCCTGCCCCGAAATAAATAATAATAATAATAATAATAATAATAATAATAATAATAATAAAAAATTTATTATTTATACCTCACCCATCTGGCTGGGCTTCCCCAGCCGCTCTGGGCAACATCCAACAAAATATTAAAATACAGCAATGCATCAAACATTAAAAGCTTCCCTAAACAGGGCTGCCTTCAGATGTCTTCTAAAAGTCTGGTAGTTGTTGTTCTCTTTGACATCTGGTGGGAGGGTGTTCTACAGGGCGGGTGCCACTACTGAGAAGGCCCTCTGCCTGGTTCCCTGTAACTTGGCTTCTCGCAGTGAGGGAACCACCAGAAGGCCCTCAGTGCTGGACCTCAGTGTCAGGGTAGAACGATGGGGGTGGAGATGCTCCTTCAGATATACTGGACCGAGGCCGCATCATCAAGCACCAAGGCTGCATATCTTATTGTCCAAAGAAGGCTGAAAGCTTCTCCACACCAGATTTCCTGGCTCTCTTGTAGAAAGAGTGACGTAAAGGACTTCCGGGTTAGCGCCATCGGCGAATGGCGGAGTTCCTCCAACTGAAGGAACTGGCTCCGTGGAAACTGGGTCTTCCCGCCGTGGCGAAGGTGGGGACCCGCTAGAAATCCCAGGCGGAGGAAGCCTGGGAATGTGGGGTTCGGCAGGGCACCAGGAGCGCCTCCCCTACTCACGGGGAACCCCATTTTGGGGTTCCGGAGTGAAGTGGGGTGAGCGGCGCGGTGCTGCAAACTGATTGCTACTTTCACGGAGTGAAGCCGCACAGCCATTGCCGGAGAGCGCTGACTTTTTCCTGTGGACAATTGGATTTAAAACAAGTACCCGTGAGTAGAAACGGAAAATTGGATCAAGAAATACCCTAATTTGGCACCGAAGCGGGAAGGTTCAAACAGGAAGTCCGCCTTCCGCTTTTTGTATATAGACTGAAGCAAAAACCTTGTAAGCTAAAGTCCGGAAAGTTGTTAAAAAAGTCTAAATTTCCTTCATTTATAACCACTAAAACTTGGAAGCAGGAGAAAGGGGGGGGATCTTTGTTTAAGCCTGCAGGAGAGGGAGTGAAGAAAGATAAGCTTCCACCGTCTCAAACCTGGGACCGGGGGGGTCAGAGACAGAAATTGTTGGAGAGGTTCACTGACTGTGAATGGAATACTTTGACAGATAGCCAAAGAAGAGAAATAAACTGATTCCAATGTTGCCTTTTGCATTCTAAAGAAACAAAATACAGTATCTGAAAAATGAAAGTAATTTTCCTTTGTTGGATTTGCCTTAAAAAGATGGATACAAATAGAAATTGTCTCCTCTAGAGGGAGCTTGTTAAATTGTTGCTGCAGTCTACTTGAGGACTCTACAGCTGTGAGATTAAGATCGTGGGATCAGTCCTTTTGACCACGAATAAAAATGAGCTGGGAGGAAGTTTTGGTGCTTGCTTTATGCAAGACAAGTGCTTTGTTGGAACAGATGCATGAGAAGATGGATCTGATGAATGAGAAAACGGATTTGATGACTGTTGTGGTCAATAACTGTGGACAAACAGGGAATATTGATACAGAAACCATTCAGGGACCAACTCAGGAACCTGTATTGATGGGGCAAGTGCAGAAGATAATGGAGGAGGTTGCGGTTGCACCTCAAATAATACAAATGGAGAGATCCGAGGCCCTGCAGGAGCATAAGCCGCTGTCTTTGAAGATTGAAGCTGGAGTGGGCCAGGGGGAGTCTGGAGCTGAGGAGGTTCTTAACTTCAGAGGGACTTTGAAATATGCTCTTAAATATTTTTTGGATTACATTGATGACTGTGGGGAGTGGGACTGTGGGGAATGGGCTGGTTTGATGAAGGGAGATGGAGATAATCTTGGGCTGGAATCTCCCAGAGACCTACTCCTCAATGAGAAAGGAAAGAAATTAAGAAAGAGACCAACAAAAGACAAGGAAAAGTGCAGGTATAAACAAGAAGAAGAAGATCTGCAGAAGGGACATGGAAGAGACTTAAGAGCCTCGGATATAAGATTACCGGGTTGATGGACTAGATGGAATGGACAGTAAGGACTGACATGACCCGAGACCAGGAAGAAGAGACGCTGGATGAAGATTGGAAGAAAATTTATAAAGAAAAATTTTTATTTAGGGAATTAGCCTAAAGTTAATGAGTATTAGGGAAAATGTTGGAATGAAACTATATGACTTTAATAGAAATGATATAAGGAGTTATGTATAATTGAGTATTAAGTTTCAAGCTATAAGGTATTTTACGGTAAGATAAGGTTAAATAAATTAAGGCAATTTGAATAACAGAATATGGGGAAAGATGGAAAGGATTTGTTGAGCTAATTAATAGGTTAAATTGTTAAGATAAATTATTTAATAAAAATTGAGAAAGATGGAAAGAATTTGCTGAAATAACTAATTAAACTAGAATACAAAAAGGGAGGTGTGAGGAGGTCAATGAAACAAGCAAATGGAAGTTAAAGATATGTAACATGGGATTTGTGTCTTTTTAAAAATCTTTTTGCTGTATTGTTGTATTGGTTTTTATGCTTTGTTTTTTCCCCCTTCTTTTTTATGTATTGTAGTGTTGTTTCCTATTTTTTCGTAATTCTGAAACTTTTAATAAATATTATTTTTTTAAAAAAAGAAACAGTGAAGTAAAAAACAAAACAAAAAACCATCTCTCAACCCAATTTAGGGCTGTCTCCAGGCTCACAGTGGCCACAAGGGAATAGCCCTCACTCAACCCAACCTTGAACTAAACAATGCCCGGGTGCCACAAGAAGGGCTTCAGCTAGTTTCTCTCAATGACTTTCAAAGTAGAAGAAAGATGCCAATTTTCTGTCCTCTGATTTTTCCAAAAGTTCACATCTTGAAGACAAGACGAATCATGAAATGAAAGCCTTCGCTGAAATCCCATTTTCTTCAGATGAAAAGTTAACCAAATGGAGTATCATTCCCCCTGGCAACATATCTTTTGAGAAATTATTTCACCCACCTTCCTGATCTCACATACTCTCTTCCTAACGTGTTTCATTAGCATTTTCTCAAGTAGTCATAGAAACCTGTTTAGAGCTCTTTGGAGAATAAACTAAACACTAAAAGGTAATATATATATATTGTTTTATATGAGAATGGTGTTTATCTCTGGCAGCTTACCCACCAACAATGTGTTCAGTGAAGGAAGATTATATGGACTTTCCCAGCGGGCTGCAGTCTAACACATAAATCCTAACGACAGGGTGTAAAAGTTTTCCTAGGGAAAATAGGAAACTACCTTACATATTTATAATGGTATGGGGTTGCTCGTGCGTAAGTTGCCGCCTCTCCTGGCTATGCTGCCTTGTTAAACCTTTCTGTCTGGACAGCCCATCAATTCGTGGCTGCCTCAGTCGCTAGCAGAATCCGTCAGTGGGCGTTTCTTAAACCTTTTCCAACATAAAAGTTGTTTGACACCCAGTCTCCTCCTACTTTCTCTGCGCAGAAGTCTTCTGCGCAGGGAGGGCGTGAGTAGCGGAGGACCAGTGCTCTCCCTGGTGGTGTCTGGTGAAGAGTCTGGGAGCCCTCTCGCCGATTCCCCCATCTGCCCCTCCTTATTCCTGGTGTTGCACTGAATTGCTTCCCCATCTGCTGAGCTGCCTCTCTCCCTGCTGGGCCCTTCTCCAGCATCATCAGAGAGCCTTCCCTCCACCTCTAGCTCCGATGTCAGTTCCCTGACAATATTGAAGCAGACCAGTAGCTTGATACCATCTACACTGACTGGCAACAGATCTCTTGGGTTTCAGGAAGGGGACACTCCCAGCCCTAGCTGGAGAGACCGGGGATTGCACCTGGGACGTTTTGCACTATCATTTAGCTGCCTAGTTCTTACTTACAGCAAGGAGCTTAGGACCCAAGGCCCAAGTAGCTATTCTGGCAATGGTTCCACCTAGACCAGGGGTCTGCAACCTTTAAGACAAAAAGAGCCACTTGGACCGAAGAAAAAAAACCTGGGAGCCGCAAAACCATTGCGACATTTAAAACAGTGGGGAGTGTCGGGGCACACAATGCGCCTCCTCCCCTCGCTAGTATCCGCCCCGGAGCCGCGGCAAAGGTGTAAAAGAGCCACATGCGGCTCCGGAGCCGCGGGTTGCTGACCCCTGACCTAGACAGATCCGTCATATTAAAACAATTCAACGCTTCAACAGAATTAAAACAAACAAACCCTCTCTTGCACTGTACACAATTTGACAAGGATATTATTAAACCAAATCTATGCATCAAAACTTTAGATACTCTTTGGGGTAAATATAAACATAAATTAAGTCAGGGACTCTCAATTCTGGCATCATTTTCCTATAACGAAAAATGGAGGAAGAGGTTCCATTGGGGAATATTAATTTATGGAAAATGCATGGGATCATAGAACTTAAGGAAAATCTACCAACTGTGTTGGCTCAGAGGATACATGCACTTCAGAAAGACTTGGGGGGGGGTTGGGGGGAAGGGAGCGTTGAGGGTTAGTCACAGGTTTTTTTTTTGCACCATATAAACTCTCTACACATCATGTATTCTCAGTCAACTATGCTGTGCCTTTCCTCACTTCTTAATTATTGTCTGCCTTTTAGGAATGCGGTTAGAAGGAAATGTAAACACTGCACAGCTGTTTCTATGCAGGACCCAGTTTCTATTTGCAATGCAAGATTTCTGCTTAGATCTTGTATTGTGAAAGGGGGAGTAGCAGATCTAGAAGTAAAAACTGAACTTATTGAGGTTATCATATTAAAGCTCTTGGCCCACCCGTCCCAGGACTTTCAACTATAACTAGCACTTAGCATTAGGTAAATTAAAGCAACTACCTTAGGTTGTGGATACTAAGGTGAGGAATGTCACTGAGGTGCTAAAAGATGAAGTGTCGTGTGGCCTGCCTGGTTCTCTCAGGTGCAGGGAAAGATGCTGTCCTGTTATTGCCATAGTTGAAGTAAGCATCTTTCTAGAGAGCAACTCTGTTCCCTGCATCTCTTTTAGTCCCAGTCTGAACTGCTCGCCTTTCCACAGACACAAAATTAATACATTAGGACCTCCAACCTTTATCACCTATGGCAACAAATCACTTGTACTTGTCCACCTATTTTACATAACAAAACCAAATCAGTTTTGCACATTTGACCAGTCAAACTAAATATCCCAATGGAATCCCTTAGTGCTTTAACACTACATTTCTCTGAAAAAAGTAATTGGACTTACCATTTTTATCTGCTCTTCTCAGGACCTGCAAAGAAATAAATTCAGGCTTAGTGAATTATACTGATGGTACCTCTCTCCGAAACTCCTAATGACTGCTCCCAACAACTTCATGTAGATGAAGGCTCAAAGGCCCCCTTGGCAAACTGGACGATAGCTGTTCCAACCCAAAGATTATAGTGATTACTGTATCTCAGTACAGGTAATATTTCTGGAGGTAACATTTTCAGTTGGATAAGGGATGGTGAATGTGTTCCAAAGTGCATCCATGCTAAGTGGGGAGTCATTCTCAGTCATGCACAAATTAGCAACTGCATGGAATATGGCTACCAACTTGTACTGGTGGCCACCAACCAAAGATAGCTTGGGAATATTTTGCTCAATGTGAGGCTTGAACCCACGACCATGAAAATAAAAGTCTTGTGTTCTACTGACTGAACTATCCCAACGGTATTTAGCACATGATATAATCAACATACAATAGTATTTATTATTTAGCAGGATCTGACCATTAATTGTGTATGGGATTCAACATCTGATGCTTGTCAAAACCTTGTAACCCAACAAAAAAACACTATTTTAAAGGCTTGTTTTCCCTCTGCCTGGCTTAGGACAGCAGCCGCTGCAGCTGAATGTACCTGATGTAATCTTATACCGTCTTAATTTACCAGCTTCTTGTGCACAGGATTTCCCCCTAGATGCCTGATAAATGCCAGCCATCCTTTCTCTACATGCTTACAATATTAATTAAGTTGGCATCTCTGATTGAAGAGCTGGACTTGGTTCTGTTGCAGATTTTGGTCTCATTTTTGTGCTTCTCTAGATTCACTTTGTTTCTTACAATGTTTCCTTTTTCCATACATAATTTTTTAGATTTAATTTTAATTAAAATTTAATTTTAATTATATTTTTATATTTAATCTCCCCCCCCCAAATGCATTTATATTCTTTTGTGTGACCTTTGAGGACCTTTTTGGGTGGAAAATTGATCTATACAATTTAATATCTATCGTATCGCATCATATCACAGACAGCCTATCCAAGCACTAAATGAGATACAGTATAGATGTCCTTCCATTTTCCATGGCAATCAACTAATATTCGAAACCAGTCTGGTTGTCCATAAGAAAGTGACCCAATTAGTAGTTTGAAGTTTTTAATTTCCCTTCATATGTCTTTAGCCACTGAAATTAATGAGCACAACTAACTTAGTTTAACCCACATTTATTTTTATTTATTTTTACAAAAGAAAAACATAAATGCATTAGAGGAAAATAGTATAATTTTGCCTCCTACAAATGATGGTGTGGATTGCATTTTTTACTTTGATTTGCTCTCCCCATTTGACAGGCTAACTTGCTTCTCTTTCTATGAGTGCAATCCTATCCACACTTACCTGGGAGTAAGCCTCACTCAAATGCAAACAGACTTACTTCTGAGTTGATACAAATAAGGTTAGGATTTGTGCGATGAGGCCCCCGCCCCTCAATTCTTATTTTTCTATACAAGTGTATCAGAACGCCACTTTCTAAGCTGCCTTATCACCCTGCATACTAAAAACAGTAATAAAAAAAATCTCCAAGGAAATTATGCATTGAAGATTCCCGCAATGCCCATCGACGCTATCACAGATCTTTCTTTTTACTACGGGAGTACTATACATATTCGGTAGCAACCTTGAGTAGCAACCGAGCAGCAAAACGTTTTTTTCACCTCCCCATTTATCCTATCAATTTCGGAGGCGTCAGAACAACACAAGATGTGGATGCCTATGATCCCATTCTCCAGTGCTTTTGTAAAGTTTTTTTTTTTTAGTTTTAGTCTGAGGGAGGGGTTTTAACTGATTCACCTGTGCCATTTCTCAACCCCCCATCCAAAAACTAGGAACGTAACGAGGAAGAGAAGAAAGGACTTTGTGTTGAGACACCGCGCCTGCGATTTGCCTCCTGTATGGTTCAATTTTGGGGATGCTCATGGCATCTAAAATGTTGAGGATCAAGATTTTTTAAAAACCCAAAACCATGTTCCAGCATGGTCCCCTGAGAGCTGCCGGACTCTTTTCACCCTGTTGGGTGGCTCATAAATCTAATCATCATCATCATCATCGCTGCATGATAGGCAAACATTCAACAGGTGAAGCTTGCCTCCTCGGTCCGCAGATGCAGCGAGCGGCGGAAGCTTCACCTGTGGATCGTTTGCAGCTCTCGGAGGCGCAGGTAGGAGCCCGGTGGGGAACAGGCGGCCATCCCCCCACCCAAACCCCCCTCCATGCTCCCTTCCAGGGAAAACTTTCTAATTTAGATGCATCCATCTAAATCCAGAAGATGCGGAAGCTTGGGGGGGGGGGTGGAAAGGGGAGATCACCAACCAAGAAAGCGCAACAGCTACAACCCAGAGTTACAGGCGCCCTGCTTACGTCGAGAAAGATGGAGAGTCCTTTGGTCATGGTCAAGGCAGCGCGGAAATCTTCGCAGGCGTCCGCGGTGGAGGGAGACGTTTCCGCGCTACCGTCCGCCGCGCCGTCCATGTTGCCGGCTGCCGCGGCGAAAGTGGCGGAGGGCTGGGCTGGGCTGGGTGGGAGCGGCAGGCGCTGACGGCTCCTCCCTCCGGGCCAAAGGTCTTTGGGGGCGTCCGGGCCGGGTAGCTGTCTCCGCTGCTCCGCCCTCGACGGGCAGAGGAGCGAAACCAAGGCGTGCTCTCGCTCGCAGCCGTCGGCTTCCCCTCCTCCTTTCCTCCCCTCCGTCTTTGGGGAACTCGGCTGCCTGCTGCTGAATCGCCGCCCAGCGCGTTCTGAACCTTATTCGGTGAAGCAGCCGCGAACGCCTGCGTTCCTGAGCATGTGCAGAGTGCCTTTTCCTAGGGAGCTGTGCAGCAGCGGCGCGCAATACAGCTGCTCGGCGGACGTGGCAGATTTCGGAGGTCTCGCGTTTCCTTAGCAGGATTCGCCCACCCAGGCCAGGATCCTGCTTCCTGCAGCAGCCAATCAGGTGCTTTTGGGAACTCCACAGGTGGGGCTTGAAGGCAGAAATTGCTAGTCGGAGATATATGCTACCTCCGACCATGGGGGCTCCATAAAGGCTTAGTTCACATTAGAAGTTTAAAATGTAGCCATTCCCGCCCCGCCCGACCCAGCTGCATTTCAAGCCAAATTTGCATGGTGTGTTCACATCAGTGTGAGAAGGGGCAAGAATGTCTTCCTTCCCCAACTCATGGGATCTTTTTGGTTCTCTCTTCCCTGCAATCCCTCTACCAAAAAAATACTCATGAAGCTGCCCTCTGCATATGTGAGACAGCTGTTCGGGTGTTTACATGGGTGCTAACTCCACATCCAGTTTTCTGTATTGTTCTTGTGCAAGAGTGTGCAAGCTGCCTTGAACTGCCTTGGTTGGTAGAATGATGAAGTGCAACATCATCAACATCATCAAACTATTGCTTCATACCTTTACATTTCAGGGCAGAGTCCCAGAACTGACAACAGATGCTAAGACTCGGGGCATGTACACACGGTGCGATGATGTGTACATTCAGTGCTGGATGCAGGTCCTTTTTGAGGTGCTGTGCACACATCATCCCCATGCCATCCCTGTCCAACACTGCTTGCTGATCTAAAGTGCATTCTGCTGTAACAATTGCAATCCATTTTGTGTACAGTGGTACTTCGGGTTAAGAACTTAATTCATTCTGGAGGTCTGTTCTTAACCTGAAACTGGTCTTAACCTGAAGCACCACTTTAGCTAATGGGGCCTCCTCCTGCTGCTGTGCCACTGCTGCACAACTTCTGTTCTCATCTTGAAGCAAAGTTCTTAACCCGAGGTAATATTTCTGGGTTAGCTGAGTCTGTAACCTGAAGCGTATGTAACCTGAAGCGTATGTAACCCGAGGTTTCACTGTATGTTGTTGTTGCACCCATCTGTCTCAAGATATAAAGGAGTGCACCACCAGATGTGAAGTCAAACTGCTGCATTATTACCAAAGTGACCTCCCTGGGGCGCAAGCCTAGGCTGTGTGTATGGCGGTCCTGGGCTGCCCAGTCGACAAGACCCTCTTTTTGGCCTTGCTGGTGTGGTCCAAAGGACAGCAGAGCATTTTGCACAGCTTGGCTGCAGGAGTTGCCAGAAGGAGGCGTACAAGACACCATCCAACTGTCTTAGGGACTCCACTCTGGATTTGTGTAGGGTTTACTCCTTAGCCTTTTCTTCTCCTGAAGTTATATAGTATAGGGCACTTGCTATATGCATGTGCACACAGAACGTGCTTTCTCAGGTCAACTCCACGAAATGGACAAAATAGGAAGCAGAGCAGTATCATCTGCATATCAATACAGTATATCAACACACCAGTTTCTGGCCCCTCTCTTTTGAAAGACTGCAGAAAAAAATATTTTTTAAAAAGAGGTCTCCAGAAATACTAATGGAGGGGAATAGAGAACACCATTGCACACTAGTGTGAAAGCATGCCCACCCGTGTTCTCAGACAATATGGAGAGTAACTGCCACTTTGGGTGACATTATCACTGTGGTGCAGTGGGTCAGTGCATCTGGCTGTTAACCGGAAGGTTGGTGGTTCAAGCCCACCCAGGGATGGCTGTGAACAGGATCCCTGCATTGCAGGTGGTGGGATCAGATAAACCTCAGGCTCCCTTCCAACTCTACTACCCTTCTATGAGTCTACGACCATGAGACTCATTGCAAACAAAAGAGACTCTGTGTACAAAGGTGCACTGTGCAGAAAAGGACCCCTGTGTGTTTCAAAGGCTATATATGTGTATATAGCCTCAGGCTGCAAACCGTACAAACTAGGGAGTAAATGCCATTGAAGTACTCAGCGGGACAAACCTGCTTAGGATTGCTCCATTAACCTTGGCACAGATTGTGCGACACGTCTCTTTATCCGCACAAAATGAATCTGTCGCCTATCATCTACAAAGGCAGAGGGTAGGAGGGATCAAAGAGGGTTTCCTGCCGGAGATTTCTGTTCCGGCCAACTAAAAACATGTGCAGCACAGCGAGGGTTGAAACAAATGCACAAGGAACAAAGGAAAATGAGAAAGGTCTCTCTGTGTCAACACGATTAAATTTTAAGTGGTAGAAAAACCCATCTTTGACTGGATGTTGAGGACAGTGCCATCAAAGAGGATACCCAGATACAAAGGTGGACTACAGTCCTGAATCATTTATAAGTGACATGGCGAAGAGAATTTTCTCACCCTGCATGACAAGCTGTAAACTGCCCAAACAACTCCTTGTATTAGTATCACTGCTGAAGTCTTTACCATCGGTGTACCTTGTGCTTTAAAGGGTGACATATGCAAAAGACAGACTCCTTCCATTCAATGTAAAATATAAAGGTCCAGGGGAGGTCCATAGTTCAGTGGCAAAGCATTTGCTTTGCATGCAGAAGTTCCCATGCAGAAGTTCCCTACCTGAAACCCCCAGAGAGCCACTGCCAGTCAATGTAGACTGAGATAGAGCACCTTCTGGTGGTTCCCTCGCTGCGAGAAGCCAAGTTACAGGGCAGAGGGCCTTCTCAGTAGTGGCACCCGCCCTGTGGAACGCCCTCCCACCAGATGTCAAAGAGAAAAACAACTGCAGTGGTACCTCAGGTTACAGATGCTTCAGGTTACAGACTCCACTAACCCAGAAATAGTACCTCGGGTAAATAACTTTGCTTCAGGATGAGAACAGAAATCGTGCTCCAGCGGCACGGCGGCAGCAGGAGGCCCCATTAGCTAAAGTGGTGCTTCAGGTTAACAGTTTCAGGTTAAGAATGGACCTCCGGAATGAATTAAGTACTTAACCGAAGGTACCACTGTATCTGACTTTTAGAAGACATGTGAAGGCAGCCCTGTTTAGGGAAGCTTTTAATGTTTAATAGACTATAGCATTTTAATATTTTGTTGAAGGCACCAGAGTGGCTGGGGAAACCCAGCCGGATGGGTGGGGTATAAATAATAAATTATTATTATTATTATTAAGGAGTGGACTTAGCACAAGGCAGTTTCCACTATTTCAATATTTTTCATGTCTGACCTGTGTGTGATCTTCATAGAATCATAGAATCATAGAGTTGGAAGAGACCACAAGGGCCATCGAGTCCAACCCCCTGCCAAGCAGGAAACGCCATCAGAGCACTCCTGACATATGGTTGTCAAGCCTCTGCTTAAAGACCTCCAAAGAAGGAGACTCCACCACACTCCTTGGCAGCAAATTCCACTGTCGAACAGCTCTTACTGTCAGGAAGTTCTTCCTAATGTTTAGGTGGAATCTTCTTTCTTGTAGTTTGGATCCATTGCTCCGTGTCCGCTTCTCTGGAGCAGCAGAAAACAACCTTTCTCCCTCCTCTATGTGACATCCTTTTATATATTTGAACATGGCTATCATATCACCCCTTAACCTCCTCTTCTCCAGGCTAAACATGCCCAGCTCCCTTAGCCGTTCCTCATAAGGCATCGTTTCCAGGCCTTTGACCATTTTGGTTGCCCTCCTCTGGACACGCTCCAGTTTGTCAGTGTCCTTCTTGAACTGTGGTGCCCAGAACTGGACACAGTACTCCAGGTGAGGTCTGACCAGAGCAGAATACAGTGGCACTATTACTTCCCTTGATCTAGATGCTATACTCCTATTGACGCAGCCCTGAATTGCATTGGCTTTTTTAGCTGCCGCGTCACACTGTTGGCTCATGTCAAGTTTGTGGTCAACCAAGACTCCTAGATCCTTTTCACGTGTACTGCTCTCAAGCCAGGTGTCCCCCATCTTGTATTTGTGCCTCTCATTTTTTTGCCCAAGTGCAATACTTTACATTTCTCCCTGTTAAAATTCATCTTGTTTGTTTTGGCCCAGTTCTCTAATCTGTCAAGGTCGTTTTGAAGTGTGATCTTGTCCTCTGAGGTGTTAGCCACCCCTCCCAATTTGGTGTCATCTGCAAATTTGATCAGGATGCCCTTGAGTCCATCATCCAAGTCGTTGATAAAGATGTTGAATAAGACCGGGCCCAAGACAGAACCCTGTGGCACCCCACTAGTCACTCTTCTCCAGGATGAAGAGGAACCATTGATGAGCACCCTTTGGGTTCGGTCAGTCAGCCAGTTACAAATCCACTGAGTGGTAGCATAGTCAAGACCACATTTTACCAGCTTCTTTACAAGAATATCATGAGGCACCTTGTCAAATGCCTTGCTGAAATCAAGGTAGGCTACATCCACTGCGTTCCCTTCATCTACCAGGCTTGTAATTCTGTCAAAAACGAGATCAGGTTAGTCTGACATGACTTATTTTTCAGAAATCCATGCTGACTATTGGTGATCACAGCATTCCTTTCTAGGTGCTCACAGACTGTTTGCTTAATGATCTGCTCCAGAATCTTCCCTGGTATTGATGTCAGACTGACTGGGCGGTAATTATTTGGGTCCTCTCTTTTCCCCTTTTTGAAAATAGGGACAACATTTGCCCTCCTCCAGTCTGCCGGGACTTCGCCTGTTCTCCAGGAATTCTCAAAGATGACTGCCAGTGGTTCATTAGCAAGCTTTTTTTCCCTTTGGTCATATAGGGCTTCTATAAAAGAAATCCACAGGCATGTGCACATTTTCAGTCAAAATAATCAGACGGTAAAAGCAACAATGATGCAATTCTTATTCTCTGTAATGGGATGCTTTAAAAGCTCTTGTTGCTCACTTGTTGACAGTCAAAACACGAACAAGTGCTATGGCGCCCTCTGGGGGAATGATGCTGTATGGCAGTTTAAGATAGTAAAAATAGTTGACGCACGGAATATTTTCCATGGTTATGCAGGATCTCTTTGAGACAGAAAATAATTGTGTTGCATTTTTTTCTTTTGCTAGGAATAAACATGTGTGTAAAAACTTTGTACATCCAAACTAGACAATATTCCTTTGTGGGAATTCAGTCCAGGGCAAAGGAAAAGTAGCCCTGTTAGCCCATAAGGGGGTGGGGGAATCAAAATCCGTGTTAGGGCAAAACCTTTATTAGGTCAACTAGAGTGTCACAAAACAGTGTGCAGACTTTTGAGTTCTCAAGAACTCTTCATCAGGGTAGATGGTAAATAAAGCGGGGATTTGGCAGTGAGTGGACAAAAGAAGTTGGTAGTTGGTGAAGTTCACAAAGACTGCATCTGATCACAAGGTGAAATGTAAGAGGAGGTAGCAGACATTAAAAAAAGAAGCAGCTCTGTTTGGTGCTCTGCAGGTTTCAGATTGCACCTTCCACCTGCAAACCACCCATGCCCCCATCTTACACTGTTCAGGAATTAGGCGTGTCCCCTGACCCTCCATGGGTGCAGGGGGGGCTTCAGGGACAGGGGAGAAGTGGGACAAGCTTCCTTCTGTTTGCACTTCTCAGGGTCCAACTCAGGCTGTTGGGTTGGATGCCAAAATGGGAGACAAAGGAAAGATGTCAGGCCTTGTTGCCTCAGCACGTGCGGGTGGTGTTGTGGTCTAAACCACTGAGCCTCTTGGAATTGCTGATCAGAAGGTCAGCGGTTTGAATCCCCATGACAGGGTGAGCTCCTGTTGCTCTGTCCCGGCTCCTGCCAACCTAGCAGTTTGAAAGCATGCCAGTGCAAGTAGATAAATAGGTACCGCTGTGGCGGGAAGGTAAATGGCGTTTCCGTGTGCTCTGGTTTCCGTCATGGTGTTCCATAGCGCCAGAAGTAGTTTAGTCATGCTGGCCACATGGTCCGGAAAGCTGTCTGTAGACAAAGGCCAGCTCCCTTGGCCTGAAAGTGAGATGAGCGCCACACCCCATAGTTGCCTTTGACTGGACTTAACCGTCTATGGGTCCTTTTCCTTTACTTTTACCATACAAATCCATACAATGTCAATTGTTTTCATCTGAAATAATTTTTCAGTACTAGGCCTGGCTTTGTAGAATAAAACCATTTGTACTACAGATTTCAGCCGTATGAGAGTATGTGGGGAATTTTATTTTATGAGAGAGAGAGAGAGAGAATGAGAACCTAATTTGCCTCCTCTTTCTTCTACAGCTTGTCAGGTTATTAAGTTTTCATTTAGAAAAAGAATACTGTACCAAGATATTCAGACTGTACAAATTATTTGCAGCAAGAAGTGGGCAGCCAGCATGTAATGATTTTGTGCTTCCAGCCGGAAAAAAAATCACTAACATTGAACTGAACATGAAATTGGCTGTTTCATAACTAAAGTACTATCTAGAGTTAAGTGGCGTTCTTTGAAAGAGTCCCTTTTAGCTGAGCAGATTTAAACAATCTCCATCTCTAATGAGGCAACCACATCATTTTTTAATGGGTAGTGGTTCATGCTCTCCTTAAATGATTGAAAAATGCACTGCATAATGGTCACATCAAAAACATCATTATGGATCAGATCCTGTTCCTAGCCCTGGGCTGGGCAGAAATGTGCAGAACTTGCACTGGAAGATGAGACTGAAAGAGCATCCTGTTCATAAACTAACCGCTTGTTCCGATATTCTTTCCACAGACAAAAACAGAAAGCAGAGGCTTTGCTAAGCTATCACTGGACTTAGGCTGCACTTAATCTTAACTGTCGGGGATTGGTTCACATATGCATGAACATCATGTGACCTCTCACAAT